TGTGTGTGTGTGTGTGTGTGTGTGTGTGTGTGTGTGTGTGTGTGTGTAATATGTGAACTTTTAGGATTAGCTGACAAGATAGTTTAGCTACTTACATATTAAAGTATTATTTTATCTTTGGGTTATGATTATGAAAATTCATAATTTGCTTCATGGTTCATGGTTTGCTTCTAACTGGGCAAAGAGCTCAAAATTGTTATGATTTCAAACCTATAAAGATTCATATATACTTCATACCCATTTCATGGAACTTAAAGACCTAACAATGCATTTTAAGTCCTTGGAATTAAAAAAAAAAAGGAAAAATTTTGAATAGCCATAGCAAAGAATTAAACTTCATTTTTAATACCTATAGAATTATATGAGATTAGTTTTATATAGGTAGATATACACATATACATATAGATATATATATACACACACATACATACACACATATACAAAAACGCATGTACATAAATACATATATTTTGGTGAGGCAATCAGGGTTAAGTGACTTGCCCAGGGTCACACAGCTACTAAGTCTCAAGTGTCTGAGGCTGTGTTTGAACTCAGGTCCTCCTGACTCTAGGGCCAATGTGCTGTCTACTGCGCCACCTAACTGCCCCTATCTTACTTCTTTTTAATAATTCCTTGAGAAGCCATCCTCTTAAGAAATTTGTAACTCAAGCGTGGTGATTTCTACATTTCTTATAAAAACAACAGGCATATACCTACTGTTTTTTTCAAGCATTAAATAAATGTCACCAATTAGAATACTACTTCACGTACTAATTTTTTCCATTGGTTCAGATGGTCTAAAAAAGTAATCATTAAGATCATTATCTTAACTCCTTTCTTCCCTTTAGCATCAAACCTTTTGTGTGCCTATGCATATACCACCAGATAGAATGCTTTTGTAGTTGTAAGGAATTCCTGATTCTTAGAAGTAAATATTGTCTGAACATATTTAATCCTTTAAACAAATACATCTTAATTCAGTGTAAATAGACCCATAATAAGCAGTTTGCTACCAATGACAGGTGCTTTGAAATCAGTTCTATAATTCATGATACAAAAATAATATGAGGTAATTTCAGTAAATGTACTAAAGAGAAAATTAGTCTATCATTGATCTTCATTTTGTGGAGGTTCTCCTGGATTTTTAAAGGCTATTCAAGTAGAGCACAAGATTTGACAGATGCTACCATTCTGGAGAGATTTTTAAAAAGTCTCAGGACCCAGAGTATCTGTTTTCTGAGGACCAGCCTGGCTCAATAAAGAAGCTTATCATCTGAAGGCTGGTTACTTTGTGGTAAAATACTTGGGCTTGGCAACCCTGATAACAAAGAAAAATAGAAAGTAACTCGCAGCCTGTGCCACTCACTTTTACTTGTGCAGTCTTGTTGATAGGGGGAAGGTTAAGGATCAGTTTGTAGACCACCTCCTTTCTTCCTCTCCCCCAGGATAAATGTTAACTTGGGTTTGGGTTCTTTCCATGTCAGGTCTTCATTGAACCACAAATAGAACTGCTGAGGGAACAAAAACATAAAAATCTTAACATTCTTGTTATAAATAGTATCAGAAGACAAGAGAAAGGTACAGCCAAATATGAATGGATGTTTCAAACATTCTTTTTGGAGTGGAACATAGGAGATCTGAATTGCAATGCTCCTGATAAATAACAAAAAAACTACTAGAAAATAGGTATAGCTTATGTACCAAGATCTTTTGCAGACAGTGAGGAAATAGAAAAATTCTGTAAAGAACTTCATAATATAATAAGATTATAAGACATAATAGAGAGAAAAACTACTTTAAATAAAGTTTAGGGAAAGAGCCAATTAATTAAAGTCATCCCAAAAGCATTTAAGTATGAAAGGAGGAAAGCAACAAAAAAAGAAAGATAGGAAAGATCTGCAAAGGTTTTTCTTTTTCTTTTAAATTTTATTTTTATTGATACCTTTTTAAATGTCATTAATTTTTTAATTCATCATTATTCCTTATTAAAAACTTTAACAAGTGAGAGAGAAGCATTTCAGTGGAAATAACCAACACATGGACCATTTCTGACAGTGTATGTAACATTAAATATCCATAGTCTTCCACCTTTCCACTAAAGAGAAGGAAGGTGCATTTTTTCAACTCTTCTCTATGGTCAAACTTAGTTATTATAATTATACATCATTCAGTTTCACTTTTTTGTACTTTAAATTTATATTATTATGGCCATATATGTTGTTTTCCTGATTGTACTTACTTCACTATGCCTCAGTTCTTATAATTCTTCCTTAGCTTCTCTGAATGCTTCATATTAGCAATTTCTTCAGAGCAGTATTCCCACGTGATATTCAGTACCATAATTTATTGAACCTTTCCTCAGTTAAAAGGTGCCAACTTTTTTTTTTTATCCTTTGCTACTACAGAATGTGCTGCTATAGATATTTTGGTGTATGTGGTGCCTTTCTATCTTTGATCCCCTTGGAATATGTGTTTAGCAGTCAAGTCAACGAGTGTTTATTCAGTTTCAACTATGTGCCAGGCACTGTGCTAAGCACTGGAGATACCAAGAAAGGCAAAGAATTGCTCTAAGTTTCTCTGACAAACACCTCATCTCTCAAATAAATAGAGAAATGAGTCAAATTACAAAAAAAAAAAGAGCCATTCCCCAGTTGACAGATGATCAAAAAAATATGAAGTCAGTTTTCAGATGAAGTAATCAAAGCTATCTATAGCCATATGAAAAAAAAATACAATGCTCTAAGTCACTATTAATTGGAAAAGCACAAATTAAAACAATTTTGAGGTACTACCTCACATCTATTAGATTAGCTAACAGGACAGAAAAGGAAAATGACAAATGTTGTAGGGCATGTGGGAAAATTGAGACACTAATGCAATGTTGGTGGAGCTGTGAACTGATTCATCCATTATGTAGAGCAATTTGGAACTATGACCAAATATTTATCACAGCTCTTTTCTGGTGGCAAAAAATTGGAAATTGGGGGGGTGCCCATCAATTGGGGAATGGATGAACAAGTTGTGGTGTATGTTGTCATGGAATACTATTATGTTATAAGAAATGATGAGCTCGATGCTCTCAGAAAAACTTGGACTTAGATGAACTGTTGCAGAGTGAAATGAAGCAGCCAGAAGAACACTGTACATAGTAACAACAATATTGTAAGATGATCATCTGTGAATGATTTAGCTATTCTTAGCAATATAATGATCCAGTACCATTCTGAAAATCTTATGATAAAAAATGCTATCCATCCCCAGAGAAAGAACTAATGTAGTCTGAATACAGATAGGAGCATACTTTATTTACTTTCTTTATTTTTCTTGGGGTTTTCTTTTGATCTATGTTTTCTTTTACAATATGACTAGTATGGAAATATATTTTGCATGACTACATATGTATAATCTATATAAAACTGCTTGCCTTCTCAGTGAGGGCATAGGTGGGAAGGGAGGGAGGGAGAGAATTTGGAACTCAATTTTTAAAAATGATTGTTGAAAGTTGTTTTTACATGTAATTGAGGAAAAGTAAAATATTAAATTAAAAAAAAAAAAGAATTGCTCCTGAGGAGCCAATGTACAAACAAATAACTATATACCAACAGGGCATATACAGGATAAATGGGAGATAATCTAAAAGGAAAGGTGCTAGTGTTAACATTTAGAGAGGATCAAGAAAGGTATGTTGAAGAAAATTCGCTTTTAGCTGAGACTTGAAGGAAACCAGAGAAGCTTGGAAATGGCTATCAGGAGCAGAGTATTTTAAGCATGATGGACAGCAAGTGAAAAATCAGTTGAAAGTTGAAGGCCAGTGTCAATGGATCCCAGAGAGTGTGGAAGGGAGTAAAGTAAAGGAAGACTGGAAAGGTAGAAAGGAGTCAGATTACCATCTGTGCTTTAGTTGCCAAACAGGATTTTATATTTGATCCTGGATGTGATAGGGAACTACTGGTTTTTTTTTTTAAATGAGGAGTGGGTGACGTGTGTTTTAGGAAGATGAGTTGGACAGCTGAATGGAGGATAGACAAGAGTGGGAAGAGACAAGTCAGAAAGACCAGTGAGCAGGCTGTCGCAGTAGTCTGGGTGTTGAGGTGATGGTGACTTGTAGCAGTCTGGTTGCTTTGTCAGGGGAAGGGACATATGTTAGAGATGTTACGAAAGTAGAATTGACAGTGCTGTCTCCTCAGTGAGACCCAGGGGTTACCTATTGACTCTTAGGCCAAATTCTGATTGAGAAGGATCTTTACAAAGAATTTAGTGTGAAAAGGAAGAGAGAAAGAGGATGATCACTGGCAGATATGGACTGATCAAGTGAGTGCATTTTGAAGATAGGGCAGACATGGATATATTTGTTGGAAGTAGGGAAGCAGCCAGTATACAGTGAAATTGAAAATTAGTGAACTATCAGCATAATGCCAATTTTATGGATGTTAATTGTTGGTTTGTGTTAGTGTTTTAGAATAATGTTATGCTGGTGAACAGTTTTCGCATCTTCTCTTGAGAACTCTGTCCAAACTTTTTGGTCACATTTTTATAAGAAGTTTTTAAACATCAAAGATAAAGCTTCTGCATTTGGAAATTTATCACAGTCTGATAAATACAGAGAATGTGGCACTGAAGAATAAAAAATTATTTGGTTTGAAGAAACCAAAAGCAGCTAGACAAAACCAAATATACACATAAAAGAATCTGTGTTAGAGACAATTTTAAGAGTATTGAGGGATTACGTAAATATTTCTGGAGTAGTGGAAGATACCAAAAATAGGCAATTATCAATAACAACCAACACATATGCTTAATCTCCCATCTAGGTAAAATTTTTATTAGACTAATCTACACCTACATCAAAAGCATCCTTGTCAAGGGTATTAGGATAAAGAACATGGGCTTTTATAAGCTATATTCCACAGTTGAACACTTCTTTAAAATGATGTAATTGAAAGATGTAGCAATTAGAAGAGCCCATTGTGCTTATTGCTTGTTACTGTAAAAAAGCATTTGATTCGATAGAGCTACTTTGAAATCTTTATTCTGAAAAGGTATCTGCCTTGCAAATGTCAGAATTATGCAAGATTTCTTGAAAGATGTGACAACAGAGATAACCTGGTTCAGCTACTCTGATCATTCATGTCATGGCAAGACATAAAATAGAGGTGTTCACCACTGTCATGGTAGAAGTTGAGGGGTGAATTCTTTCAGGATGGTGAGGTCCTTCAAATGCTTTTGTCTGTGGATGATACTGTGTTGATTTCTTTAAACCCCAAAACATTACAATACAGAGCTTTCTAAATGAGATGTGTGGCAAGAATTTGGCCTGACTATCTATAGGAAAAGCCAGGTGGATGAACAATGCCACTTATTTATTTGGATGGACAACCTATAGGACTCATTGACATTTATCAAGTAATATACATATATGTACACATGTACATATATGTATACACACATATATTATGTACACACGTGTATTTGTATTGAACAGGCATTACAAGTAGACAATAATGTAGGACTCATTCACATTCATCAGCATATATACATATATATGCATGTTATATATGTATGTATATATAGTGTGTACATATGTATGTGCGTTTGTATTAGCCAGATATTGCGAGTAGACAGTAAATCAACGATAGTTGGACTGAAATTGAACAAGAAGAGTAGAGTGGACTGGCTTCCCTTTGGGAAATTATAGTTATTTTAAAGACTTCCAAGCTTCTCCCTGAAACAAAAGCCCATCTTTTTAATGCCAATATTCTTCCAGTTGACCCAATAACAATTCGTGGATGATAATAGAAAGTTCATGGTGAGTGTTAACAGGCTGAAACTTATCCAAAGAATAATGAAATGGAAGCAGTTGTAAATGATTTCATCAAAGAAATGAGCAAAAAAAATGATGGAATGGTCACATGATGAGCAAGGAATATTTTTTCTGTTATTAAGTTTTTGATACCAAGAGAAATTGAAGGATAAAGAAATAAGGGACTACCGAGGCAGAATGCAATACATTGACAAATAGAGTTGCCATTTTGAGTGTTTTTGCCTTATTTTCCTTTGTTATGAAGTAGGTTCAGTTACTAAGGTTTAGTAAGAGCATGAAGGACTATCTTCTTGCCAACCCTCACCTCTGCATCTGAAATGACTGATTGAAAGATTTAAGGAATCAATAAGACTTTTTTTTTTTTTTTTTTGAAAGAAAGAAAGAGAGGAATGCTACCAATACATTGAGTAGACCTTCCATAGCAACCTTAGGAGAAGATATGGACTGGAGTTACACAAAATAGATAGGTGTGATTGGGTTGCGAGCTATATCAATAGAGAGAATATTTGCATTGATGAGTTCATAGTTACCTTTAATATTGGATACTGATAGACTCATAAAGGGGTATTAATAATAATCCTCACTCGTGGCTTCCCATTTTAATTAGTTGTTCCTGCTCACTTAGTTCTAAACAGTTAATTTTGGCACTCTTTTAATTTCATTGCCCTGGGCAAAGGCATGATCACCCTTAGCTGTTTATACTTCTTCTAAATAACTATTTTAATGACTTTAATTTAAAATTTCCAAAAAAAACAAAAAAGGCTTTGCTAAATAAGAGTAATATTGATTTACTATTCATGCTTGAAATATTTTTAAAATATTTTGATGGGGAAAAATGGGAATTAAATTTTATTAATAATTATTGAGCAAGTGATTTGAAATTGAAGGAGTTTATTTCTTTTTAACAGCATAAATTTTGGAAGAAGTAATACTTGATTTTTTTTTTTTAACAGAATAAAGATCCCAAAATGTCCCGAGTTGCACTGGAATCTTTGTATAGACTATTGTGGGTTTATGTAATTAGAATAAAATGTGAAAGCAACACTGTAACTCAGAGGTGAGTACCAATTATTAATATAACTTACCTAACAATACCTAGTTAAATAAAATTACCTTAGTGGGTTTAAAATAATAGCTAAGAGGGGCAGCTAGGTGGCGCAGTGGATAGAGCACCGGCCCTGAAGTCAGGAGGACCTGAGTTCAAATCCGGCCTCAGACCAAACACTTGACACTTACTAGCTGTGTGACCCTGGGCAAGTCACTTAACCCCAATTGCCTAAAAAATAAAAATAAAATAAAATAATAGCTATGTGAAGACTAAAATTTGGATATACTTCAGAAACTCACTGACTTTGTGATCCTGAACAAGTAACTTCATGTTTCTCAGCCTCTGTTATCTCACAGTGTTGTTTAGAGAATCAAATGAGATAATGTATTAAAAGTAGTGTGCAAAAGACCTATATATATGAATCTTAGGGGTGATGATGATGATGACAATGATGACGATGAAGAAGAAAAAATATAAAACCTCTTATTACTAGGAAAAGAAGTTTAAAGAATTATGAATTATTATACTGTTTCAATAGCATCTTATTGTCTCATTTGTTTGTAAATTCTTTTTTCCTGTAGTCGTCTTATGAGCATAGTATCAGCACTTTTTCCAAAAGGCTCCCGTAGCGTAGTCCCTCGTGATACACCGCTTAATATATTTGTCAAGATTATTCAATTCATTGCTCAGGTAAGCTCACTATAGAATAGTACATTTATATTCATTTTCTAAATAACAGACAATAGTAAGTAGTTCTTTCACAGTTACGAGAATTTCTAAAATCCAGGCAAAATAAATATTATTGATGGATAATTAAATTGAATAAAACCAATGAAATTATAAAATATGTAAAGTAAAATATCTTGCTGTTATTGTGATTTATTTTGTTTAAATCTTTGACTGAGTGATACAGAATAAGTCTGTATTTAATACTATCGTTCCAGAGTATACAATTATCCTTTTTAGAACCAAGATGGAAAAAGCATGAATGTTTTCATATGAAATTATTTTGGACTTGACAGAGTAATGGATATTTTCAGTTATTAGAAAACAAAAATAATGGGGTTATGTTGCAGTTAAATTTTCAGTAACATTAATGAAAACAAATCATATTTCACGTGCAGTATCCTACCAAATTACATTTCTGGATATAGCATTGTTTTGTCTGTCTCTTCCTATCTTTTCCTGCTCTTCATTATTTCACACCTAGAATATGGTAATATATTTCTAACTGGTTGTTCGCTCATTACTCCTCTTCCGATCCATTCTAGCCACTGCTATCAGATTAATCTTCCTAAAACACAATCTTTATCACCTCATTTTCCTTCTCAAAAACCTTCAATGGCTTCACATTTCACAAACTCCTTACCTTGCCATTCAAGACTCTTTATTATCTGACCTAACTCTTTCTTTCTAGCCTTATGTCCCACTATTCTTCTTTGTGATTCTGTGCTTTCATCAAATTGGCCTTTTACTCTCCCTAGATTAGTCTTTTTCTAATGCCATTTTCCTGTGTCACTGTTATGTGCCTTTCCAAATTCCACTTTTAAAGGTGCAGTTCAAATTCCATAAAACCTTCCCATTCAGGTCCATTGTACAATGATCTCACTGCACTCTGGACTTAAAGTACTCAGTCTTTAATTTTGATTTTACCTTTAATTTTGCAGTTATAGACTGCCTGTGACAGTGCTTGCATTGTTATTATTTAACTTTTCCTGTTTTTATCTTATGTTTCTGAATAGTTTGTAATCTCTTTTAGAACAGGGAACTGTGTGTGTTTCATAATGTTTATCTTCTGTAAGTGCTTATAGATTTGTATTTTTTACTAGCTAAAGTGTTCCTTAGTATAGTATCATGGAAGTATGTTTCTTCTAGGAACGTTTGGATTTTGCAATGAAAGAAATAATATTTGATCTTCTTAGTGTTGGAAAATCTACTAAAACCTTCACCATTAATCCAGAGGTAAAAGGATTTTATGTCTTTGCAATTTTTACTATGCTTTTTAAACTTTTAATATTTCTTCATAAAAGAAGAAACTTGCAAATTTGCTATTATTTAAAAACGTGATGAAACAAATTAAACTGTTGACTAGAGATCTGAAAAACGTGAATGGTTGGTTCTCAAACTGTTTATTTAGGCAGATCAGAAGTTCCCCTTTGACTGTATGCTGTCTCTTATCTTGGGAAAAAATTCTTTTTGCCTCCTACATTCTTTCCCCAAAGTATTGTGTAGGTTCTCTTTTGACTGTTTTGGCAAGGGGTGGTAACAGGTTAAAATGGCTTCGATCTACTTCTACAATGAGAGGATAATCGTTGCTAACAACTGCCTACCCCTCTCTAGGAGATATCTAGGAGTGAAATAGGGTGAACGAGCTGAAAACGACCAGTTTGGGGTAGATGGAAATAATACTTGTCTGTTACTCTGAAGGGAGAATTCATCTAATTACTACATATTTTTCCCTTGTATCTACCATTCCAATGTGCCTCAGCACATTCCCAAGATTTTGTAGTATCTGCCAATTTGCTCTTATTTTCTCATGCCTTATCATGGATTTGTACTTCCTTATTCAAGAAACACTGATATAAAATAAAGCAGAAATCTTTGATATATCCTCTGCAGATATCCTACTCTAATACATCATTGCAGTATGTAGCCAAACCTGGCTTCCTAAAGGCTAACCCAGCAGAGGACAACTATGGCAGGTTCTGCCATGCACTTTGAAAACCATCTCAACAAAAGACTGCATGTTTTCTTATTTGGAACCTTGCTAAATATGACCCATAGGTTGGCACTGGTTTATGTATCGACTGTAACTTCTAGTGAAAGAAGCGAAATTGCAAAATGACCAAATCCTTGGAGTCCCCTTCTAACTCCGCAGTGACAGTGACAGAGTGCTGGGAAAGGGAGAGAATGTGAAGATTCAACCTCTTTAGGCTGTCTATCAAAATTAACTTCACTGCTGGTACCATGAATGTCAGAAATTTACCCAGTAACTAATGAGCGAATGTCCTACTAGAGAAATGATATTACTTCACTTTTGATATTTCCTTTGTGAATAAAACTACAGAATTATGGATTTTCAGAATTGGAAAAGATGCCCTCAGCCAAGTAGTCCAACCCATCCCCAAAGAAATCCCCACTATAATACAGCCCAAAAATATTCAGCCTCACTTTGAAGACCTTCAGGTAGGGTAGGTAGCCCATTCCATTTTTATGTAACTTTAATTGTTAATGAGATTTTCCTAATATGAAATCTAAATTGAATTCTTTACAGTTTATGCTTAAACTCTTGGTCTTCTTTCTACTCTCTGGGGCCCAAAATAGCCAATCTAATGCCTCCTACACATGAAAGACTTTCATATACTTTAAGACGTGTATCATATTGCCCCTTTGTCTTTTGTTCTTCAAACTAAACATCCACAGATCCCTCATGGACTCAGGGTCCTTTGCCATTTTGATTGTTCTCTTCTCATCACCCTCCAGTTTATCATTGGCCTTCTGAAACTGTGGCAGCCAGAAACTGAACATAGATAAGGGCTAATGAGGGCAACAAACTGAAGCTCTATTATCTCTAAATCCCTCTCCTGGGGGAGCCTCATTTAATTCAATCTAAGATTAATTTAGCTTTTTTTGCTACCACATTATATTGCTATCTCATATTGAATTTGCAGTCACTAAAACCCCATATCTTTTTCAAAGTAATTGCTGTTAAACCATGCCTCCCCAACCTGTACTTATGAAGTTGATTTTTTTTTTGAACTGAAGTTTGAGGGGTTTTTTTTTTATTTATCCCTATTGAATTTAATCTTATTAGATTTAGCCTAGTGCTGTGTAACCTGTCAAGATCCCTTTGGATCCTGACTCTGTGATCATTCTCAGCATTGGATCCCCAATAAATTTGATGAACATGCCGAATTTGCCTTCATTTGAGACATTAATAGAAATGTTAAACAGCTAAAGGCCAAGCACAGATTCTGGAACGTTTTTTTGGAACCAGAAGACAAAAGGAAGTTGTCTTAAATAGAAGAATAGCTCCCTGATTTTTCTTGCGTAGAAGAATAAAAAAATTGGGGTAGGTGATTTTCTCATGTATTCATAGGAAACAGGAAGCATCACTGTATGGAACAGTATAAATAGTTGTAAAAAGGCCAATCCATGAAGATATTGTGGCTTATATGCCAACAGCTGTTGCAAACGTTGAGGCAACAGAAATTTTACAAACTCAATAGGACCATCCATGTTAAAACATTGATGGTGAAAAAATGGGCACAAAGGAGGATGTCTAAAAAATGTTGAAAAGATGGCTTGAGATTAAGAAACAAAACCAAAGACTTGAAAACTATATAAACATCTCATGCTTATATACCATGAATACTTTATTAAAGAGAGTTGAAAAACACTGGGCATAGCAAGCACCAAATAACATTCTAGAGAAGAAATTGACTGTATTTTTAGCAAACAGGAACTGACTTACTAATGAGGTAGTCATTCCAAACCAGCTTCTCCTTAGAACAAAGAATAATACCATAAAATGGAAAAAAAGATATGGTATCCTATTAAAACAGTTTCAGATTGACCTGTTTACACACACTATTCAGAGAAATGAAGGGGAAAAAAAGATGATAATAAATGTTGTCCCAGTTTTGGGAAGACTAGTTCACTAATGCAACTGTTTTTGCAATTGTAAATTGGTTCTGCTCTTCTGGGAAAGAGTTGGAATTAAGTGCATTTTGCTGCATGTGGAAAGAGGCTGATAAAATTGTGGCATATTAATATAAAAGAATTAATTATATTAGTATGCTTATATGTGAGTCAAATATTAAGCATTCAGAGCAATATGGCAAGACCCATATGAACTGATGGAGAGTGAAGTGAGAAGAACCTGTACAATGACCACAATCACACAGAAGAAATAACTCTGAAAGGCATCATAATTCTCATCAGTGTATGGTGAACCTGACTTGAGAGGATTAAAGCCTCTTGCTTCTGAGTAGAGAGGTGGTGCAGTACAGCTGTGAAATGAGATATATTTTGTCAAACTTGACCGTGCGTTGATTTCACTTAACTTGTACTCCTTTGTTATAAGGGAGGGTTCTAGTGAGGCAGGGTTAGTCATTAATAAGTGACAATAATGTTTTTAAAAATCAATAAAATAGTCAAATAACAGAACAGATATTGGCACTATTTTTTAAAGTGTAACTGAAATGAATCTATTGCCATAACAGAGAGACCAAAGACCCTAGAAACTGTCTCAGTCAGGCAACAAGCATTTATTTATTTTCAGCAAAGGGGCAGATACTTAATATCTTTGACAAGAAGAGAGATTCAGCAGCCAGATTGAAATTATATGGAAGAAGATAGTAAAAAATTATAAGTAATATTCTTTCATGAAATGGAATTGGTAGAGGGGCAAAAAGGCTTACCAAAAGTCTGGTAAAAGACCTAATTTAACCAAATCTTAGCAAGAGCATTAAAAGTGAAAAGAAGACAAAAAATAGATGAAAAAATAGAAAAGATTTCTTCATGCTTTTGCAACAAATTGTCTTCTACATCAATAACAGACTATTTGCTCCATTTGACTCTATTAACTTCCTATTTATAGATATACTGTATGAGAAAGTAGAAATGGCACTTAAAGAAAACAGATTGGGAGAACAGCTGGGCCAGCTGACATGTGTTTGCAACTATTATGTGGATACCCATTAACAGGAGAGATTTCCTGCAAATGATGAGGTTTTTCAGGTTCTGCTCTGTGCAAAAATATGAATTGTGAAATATTAAGAGGATGAAGACAATTTAGTTAACACATTTTTTTACTACTGAATTTTTTTGGACCAATTTTGTAGAAAAAATAATTATAACTGTGACGGCATCAACAGAAGTATTCCTTTACCTCTGCCTGCTTTGAAGCAAAGAAACTAATAATTTTAATGTTATTGGGGCTTTGAGTCTTAAAAGGGGGACACAAGTAGAGCCAGTAGTTGTATAAACATCTGGTTAATGAGATTAAAATTCTTGGGACATGGAGTGGAGAAAGCATTTGAAGTGGTAGACATAAAGGAAAAATATAGAAATAGACGTTATAGCTTCATGGTGACTAATATATACAAACAGTAATGATTTAAGAGAAATAATAAAATATTAGTGTCTTTTTGCTTTAGTTGTGTTTTCTCAATAGTGTTTTGTGAATCAAAGTGGTCAGAGTATATTTGTAACCTATAAGTTATAATTAAGTTCTTCAGATGGATGGTGTTTCTTTTCCATTCTCTGACTTCCCTACTTTAAAGTATTATTTGATTTCAATGAAAGTCTAAGAAGTGACATGTTTTGAAAATAGATTATGGTTTAACATATAAAACGGTTGGGTGAGAGAGAACAGTATATCTACCAAACTAATTAGAAAACAAAAAAAAAAGTATTCTGAAAGGTTATGTCTCATGTTAAGGTATACTTTGGAACAGTAGGAAGCTAAAATGATCATTGATGGTCTCAAGAAGACAGCAGAGCTTCCTAGTCTGTACATCTAATAACTTTACTTCCAAAGCGAAGTCTGACAGTTTTTCATGCCAAGGCCTCTTCTGTGTGACTTTCTGTCCCTTAGGAGACATCAGCCCTCAACTTTTTTCTTATCTTAATTTTATTTAGCAGTAGTAATAACCTGACCTGTGGTGGAAACAAGCAGTTTTTACTGAGAGCAGGCAATATTTTCTGCCAAATACCTTATGTTGGATACCTCTTTGTTAGGGTATTTTCTCAATGGTGCAAAGCCAGAAAATAGAGGGTACGGTGAGCTACAACTCTTTTCTCTTATAAACTAATCAGTAGAGGCTTTTTCCCCCTATGTAAAATATGGTAGAATGACAACTGGTACCTTTTACACCTCAGAAATACTTTCTGGTTTATACTTTGTCCTTAGAATTGGTTTCCTAGATTGGCTATCCAAGATGAACAGGAAGATTTTCCTTGCTCTCATGTGTACTATAATATTTTTTGGTAAATTTAATATTATTTTTATAAAATTAATAATAATCAGTAGAAAAGATCATTTTATGACACGATAGGCTCTAATTTCTTCATTTTGAACCTTTTCTTTGAAGAGGATGAACATTGGTCTCAGAGTCTTCCTTGTGATAGCAGACAGTTTGCAGCAGAAAGATGGTGAGCCACCAATGCCAACCACAGGAGTCATTCTTCCCTCAGGAAACACTCTTCGTGTAAAGAAAATTTTTCTTAATAAAACTTTGACAGATGAAGAAGCAAAAGTCATAGGTTAGTGTTTATGTATCTGTAAGAGTGAATTTATTTTAATACTTCTACTGTTTTAGAATTATATATAGAATATGATTTTAGAATTATAACTTTTTATATCATAAATCCAATTATATACCCTTGAAGTAATGAACAATTGAGTTTATATGTCATTTCAAAACAGGATGGGAAACCTGTGGCCTCAAGGCCACATATAGCCTTTTAGATCCTTGGGTGCAGCCTTTGGACAGAGTCCAAATTTTGCAGAACAAATCCTTTTATTAAGGGGATTTGTTTTATGAAGTTTGGATTCAATCAAAGGGCTGCACTTGAGGACCTAGAGGACCACATGTGGCCTCAAGGCTGCAGGTTCCCCACTCCTGAATTAGAGTAAATAATTTTTTTTTTGAAGATGTTTTTCATCTATCCTTTTGGATATTATTGTCCTTTTAATTCTGTGTATCATTATATAATTTCTATCACACATTTTCCCATTCTTGAAGAGAACATATATTATTCCCGTGTATAATCTCTTTAACAGTAGTGAAGCAGACCTCAAGACAGGATTCACAGTTGAAATACTTCCAACTAAAAAAGCCTGCCTATTCCCATTATCTGTTTCTCTTCTCTTTGGAACCCTATATCTAAGGAAAGAACCAAGCTCCTCTTATCTTTCATTCTTGCCTTAATTTTGTAGCTGAGGAAACTGACTCTGCTAAACCCACTCATTTATTTCTTGATTAAGCAGTGACTGGAATTCAGGTTTCCAGATCTCTTTTTCTCCCATCTGTACCTGCTGCTATTTGTAGCTGTCATTATTTTTATGCATAAAGAAAATTAATCACTCAATTTAATTTTCCTGTTTTATACTATTGAGATTTGCATGGCAAAGAGTAAAAATTAAATGACTTACTTCAGACTCCCTGAAACATGGATTCTTGAAAGATACACTCAGGTTCAAGTCATGTCCTGGGTAAACATCTATTCAAAGGCACAACTCACATGTCTTTATATTTCTTTTTACCAGACTAAATAAGTGGACATATTGAATTAAATCAAAGTAATTTAAACTGAATAGTTAGGTACATAGCAGGGAGGAAAAAAACCCCTAGATAGATAAATAGATAGATGTGGAGGTATGCTTTTGCACAGATTTTTATACCAAATCTGTTGAGAGATAACCCTTAGAGTTGCATATCAGCTTAAACACCTTTCTTTTTCCCTGGAGAGCTGTTAATGTCATCTGATCTGTTGATGTTATTACTGGACTATGTTCTGTGATGTACTGATATTTGCTAGTTTGACACAGAGCTGCCATCTGCTGAATTGATATTAAAATCTGCTTGTTTCCTGTTTTACTGCAACTGCTAAATAACCTACAGAAGAGTTCTTAAAGCTCTTTTTGTCAGTATAACTCATAGCCTATGGTTTGTTCAGCTCTTTTGTGAGTCAGAACCAATCCCTACCTAACGAGTACAGTCAAAAGTCATCTAGCCTTTTAAAATCTTGTAGTGCCTTTTCAGTTACTCTAGAACTTCATTGTTTAAAGAATGGGTGGAGCGACCTTTGTTCTACATACCTTCTGATACTGCCCCTAAATCTATCCTCTCCCTACACTGGATTAATTTATTTTTAAATTAATGTAATTCTGTTGGATTGTTTTTGAACCAGGAGAAATTTTAAGCAAATAATTCCATGTTTTCAGTATTATTATCCCCAGATTTTAGTTCGTAATTTGGCTAATTACTACTCTGGTGCCCCAATTTACATTGTACAGGCTTTAAAGAAAAATGAGCTGTTTATTTCCTGCCTACCATTAGAATTTAGACTTATGGAAAAGTAAAAGTGAATTCTTCGTAATTGTCTCTTGAGAAACTTAAAGTTCTCCACTAGATTTTGTTGTTAATGTTTCTAACCAAAAAATCTAAGTTCCATGTAGAATTTTTTTACAGTAGGAGAAATCTGGTCCAACCATGTCTATACTGGGTTCTTTTTGTTGTTTTAAAGTTGTTTGATTTCAAATTCCTTATTCAAGTCAAATCTAATACATTTCATTAGCATGATTGGGAAATGGGATTTTTCTTGGTAAATTAATATTCTGTTTAACTAAGGGTTAATTTTACATCTGTTTTCCCTTTTACTTTTCCATTTTTATAATGTGTTTATGTTCTTTATCATGCCTCTATTTGATCTTCATCCTTTCTTACTCCTTCACAACTGGTTATAGCTCTTCAATATACCTTGCTCTTATCATGTCACTGTTCCCACCTCCAGTGGGTATTTAGAGTTTTTATATGCCTTTACAGCTTCTCCTTTATAAGCCTATATTCTAGGTAGGCTGTTCTTACCATTCCTTTTCATCCTGCCCTTCCCTCTCTGTCTCTTTGTTCTTGCCATTCCCCCATTCAGAATGGGTCCTTCCTTCATATTCTTTTCCTATTTCTTAGTAAATCAAAATCCTTCCCTCCCTTTCTAGGCTTCCCTTCTCGGCTCAGCTTTTCTCATAATTTTTTGTTTGGATTTCTCCTTTGCATTTATTTTCTGATTTGTGTCATAGTCTTTCTTCCATGACTTATTTTCCCTACTTGATTATATGACCGCAGACGGCAGCAGTGTTGTCTGATTTCTTTCCATTCTGTAATAGCACAGTTCTTGTCACATAGTCAGTGATATTAGTTAAATGGCATTTGATTTTCTGGTTGTTGAGGTGGACAGCCATGGCACATCTTTTAACATCATGCCCTGCTTTTTTCCAGTTTGCTTTTTTGTAAATTATGACTGTCATATTTGATGTAGTGTTGATTTCTTGCAATTGCCAGAGAACCTTGGTTTTATTCTACCTTCTTTATAAAATATAAGCCTCTTCTAAGATGCACCCTTTGATGAAATATTGAGTAAATCTGTTAATAACATGGGAGAAGCTGCATAGGCAGCAGTAACAGAACTGTACTTGGAAGTGGAGAACTTGGATTTGAATCCTGACTGCCATTTATTTTGGGTGTGACCTTGGACAAATCACTTAATTCCTTAGGGCTCAGTTTAATTCATCTTTAACATTAGGTGGTTGGAGGTTTAAGGTCCTTTTCACTTCTAGGTCTCTGATCTTATGAAATTAATTTTAAGAGTTCGTTCTTTTAAACCTTTATGTAAGTCTGTGTGTTAAGAAATTGAAGGACTGTTTTGTGAATTGTTTTTCTTTTACAAACTCTATAATTTTTTTTAGTAATGTTCATTCAGTGCCTTCTCCCTTATCCTTAATAATGAAGGAATGTTATGACCTAAGCATTCAAAATGGCAAATAATACAACAAGGTTTTTTGTTTGTATTGTTCAATTCTTGTTTGTTGTCAAGACTATAATAGAAAAGAGGTGTGAGTAATCCAAAATGACATGTCATGGGAGAAAATATTTGTTTTTATAGTGAGTTTTTGCAGTTACCTTGAAAATGGGCTCATTTCAGAGCAAATAGGATACTGTCTAATTTCTCCATTCTTTCTTCCTTTCTTAATTCTGTGCTAAGAATTAATAGCACTTATATTTTCATATGTGCCATAGCACTTATATTTTCATATGTGCCTTTCTGATAGCTTCCCAAAAGCTGTAGAGATGCTCAGGAGTTTAGGTGTAAGGAGCAAAATAACAGTAGAGATAACAGTAAAGCTGTAACTATATATGGTTTAATTGTTATCAGTACTGAGTGTCTTAAGTGAAATGTCAACAAAACAACTAGAATAAACCAGTAATCTTGAAAGTAATAGTAGTAAAAAATTGATAATTAAATTGCTTGCTTTTGCTAGTAGTAATAGTTTTCTTTTGCCAGTATTAAAATTAACAAATTTTGAGTGTCCATAACTAATACTCTGTGGTAGAATTTTTCTGAGTGGCAGAAGGAAGCCAAAGTTTGTTGTAGTTAATCAGATGTATATTTTATCATTTGTTTCAGCTGCAAAATTGTCAAAGTATTAGCAACATTATCTCATAGTTGTGATTCATTAATATTTAACTTGAGGTGGTAAGAGAAATGATAAAGTTAAAAAATATATAAGAAAAAGTAGCACTGCTCTATTTATTTTTCAGGAATGTCAATATACTACCCTCAAGTAAGAAAAGCACTAGACAGCATACTTAGACATTTAGACAAAGAAGTTGGAAGACCAATGTGTATGACTAGTGTACAGATGTCTAATAAGGAGCCTGAAGATATGATCACGTATGTAATAAATTATTTTTCTATGCTGTTTCTTTGTGTATTATTAGAATAAAGATTGGTACCTTCCTACTTACCTGCTCCTTAGCTGAAGGCATCTCCTATTTTTAAGTATGCCTAGATTGGCCTTTGGTCATTTTATATTATATTCCTTTAAAATCCCCAAGTCCTGGTGTTTTTGAAGTACTGAAAAATCATTTCAATGTTGTTGAGTTGTTTCCTTTTAAAAAAAGGATGAAGTTTTTTTTTCTTCAATTAACAGCCATTTGTTTTCTCTTTGCTGCCTGTCCCCTTACCTCCAAGGGGGGAAAAACAAATATTACCAAGTAACAAATATATGTAGTCATTCAAAAAAAATTCTTCCATTGGCCATCTCCAAAAATGTATCTTGAGAGTCTGCCACCTCTCTCAGGAGATTTCAGGTCCTATAGAATCTTGGTTGGTCATTGTATTGATTAGTATGCTTAAGTGTTTCAGAGTTGTTTGTCTTTGTAACATTGTTATACGCAGTCATTTTGGTAGAAACTAACCCTGGCAATTCAGAGTATGGAAGGGACCTTCTATTTCAAACCATTCCTGAACAACTCTCTTTTTCCCCCATCTCCCAGCACCACATACCCCAAAACAGCCATCCACTTTTTCCTTGATGACTTCTACTGAACCCACTACTTCTGGAGGCAGTGCATTCCCCATTTTTTGAAACCCTAAATGTAATATGGTTTTTCCTTATATCAGTCCTCAATCTGCTTCTCTGAAACTTCAACCCAGTGTTCCTAGTTCTTCTTCCTAGTAGTAGTAATTTCTGTTCAGGCTAGGTATTATGGTAAGGATTTGCGTCATATTTGCCGTTGAATTTACCAGGGTAGAGCAGAGGAGAGGCATAATTCTGCCTAAAGATAGTCTTATGTGATCACCTTAGTCAAGACCTGTTCTTCACAAAATGAGCTGATGGTGTAAATTAGGTATTTTAGATATGAAGAAAATTTATCAATATATTTTGATTCAGAATTCCTTAAATGTATAAAATCTTCTTGGTTTGCTTCCTTATACAAAACACAAACTTTTTATGGTCTAGTTTGAATTCTATAAATATAAAATGAGTAGAATGAATATAACAGTGACTTTGTATAGTAGTTTTATTGGTAAATTGCATCCACTCATATTGGGTAAAAGGCTATGAAGACAACAGCCTTGGCCTTCTTCAGCTTTCCCAAGCTTTCTTGAATTTTCCTGTCACTTGTGGATAGCAAGCATAAACTTGATAGCATTATTGACTGCTTGTCGAGTTGTGCAATGCATCATAACATCATTTGTTTTTGGATTCTTCTTTGTGTTGATTTTCGTAGTTTCTATTTGCCAGTTTAGTTTATAATCCTACTTTTCCATATCTCTAATATTATTTTCTATATTTTTATCTAGAATACGGTTACTGATTAGATTTTAAGTACTAAACACTTTAATTACACTAATGATTTGCACTTAATATAATTTATTTTTCAGGGGTGAGAGAAAACCGAAGATTGATTTGTTTAGAACGTGTATTGCTGCTATCCCAAGATTGATTCCAGATGGTATGAGCAGAACTGACCTCATTGAATTATTAGCAAGGTAAATGAAATAAAACAATTATTTGCTATGATAATTTTAATACTTGTACCTGGACTTTAGGTGACAAATACGGCTCTGTTATTATTGTCTTTGAAATGAATGAATAAAATAACTTTTAAACCCTGTATTTTATTTGGCATCCTGATTTATCACTTTTTCTCTTAACTCTCTGTCAAGCTTGTGATTCCTATTCATTTTAACTTCCGTGTCTTGTCTTGACTCTCCTACAAATCTCACTTTTCAAATTTTCAGCTATATTGTCTGTGATTTGGATCTATCCTCATTGGTTCTTAATTTTTTCATCTTGTGACTTTCCATGATGTTTCTTGGGACTTACATCCCTGCATCATGGTAATTGTGTATAATGCCTAGGACATCTTCATATTTATTTGGACAAATGTTAAAATTAAATCTACCTCTCCAACTGTTGCTTTGACATCTCATTTTCACTTCTCTCCATTGGTGAAACTCTGGTGTTTGACCGTTGTTCTCTTTTTTATTGGTATTGTTAGTAGAAGTTATGTCTTTTTACTGAAAATAATGTTTTAAAAAATCCCCTATCTATGTACCAAAAATATTTCCAAGTTTTGATTAAGGATTCCATAGTAACCATACTCTTTTGCTGGTATAGTTAGAATAGTGAAGTGAACAATTGTGTAGTATATTTAACAGTTAACTTTTAGAACATTATCAGCAGTATTCTCAGTCAGTTACATTTGCCTGTATTTGCCCATACACTTGCCATGCAATCATAGACTATAGAATTAGGAAGGGGCCTTAAAGGTCCTCTCATTCAAATCCCTTACTTTACTGATGAGGATATTCCCTCATTTGGAGTTTTCTCTCTCACTCTCCTATTGACTTCTCATTGCTCTCACTCTCAGATACACATGTTCACATACATGCAGTTACACATACACACTGTACTCTAAGATGTTTCAAGTTGAAATTAGTGAGTAGAGTGGTAGTTGTTGTCAAGGATCTAAGGAGGCTTGGAACAAAATCACTGCTTTCCTTAGGTATTCTCTGATTTGATTTAACTCAAAGAAATGCTTACTATAATTTTTTAGTGAGAGTGAGCTGATTTTTTTTGTTTGCTTTTGTTTTTGTTTTTTGTTTTTTTACAATTACCTAGTGGCAGTTGAAAGGTTAAAACAAAGACAGAGTACTTTTAGTAAAGTTGAGCCCTTCATGATGTCATGAACCTTAAAAATTCCACAAGCCACAATTCCCATTCAGTTTCCATTCAGATTTTCTACCTTAAGCATTGCAGTGATAACCAACAGTTTCACCTTTCCCTCCCCGAAAAGAAGTCTTAACACATTGCCCAACAAAATGAAATCATAAACACATTAAGAAAAAAGCTCCAAGAAGATAAAATGCATGCACTTTACCTCTTCAAATTAAATGACAGTTTGCCTCACACTTTGCTTTGTGTCTTTTTTTATACTATTTTCAGAGCAGTTTTTTTTTCAATTGTTAATTCATTTACTTCAGAAGAGATAGTCTATATTGTTTCCAGATACTGTGGATTAGGAATGATTTCTTGTTGATGTACTTAACTGTGGTGAAATTTTGGATCACTTTTAGATTTTGTCATAGTGATATTTGACTTATGTTTAGTCTCTAAGGAATGCTTATAAATCTTCAAGGCTTTAATTAGCCAAACTGGAATACTGTGTGACTTTACATAGCAGGTAGTAAATTTATGAAATGTTACCCTGAGAAATTGTATAGACTTCATGGGTAATAGATCCATCATGCTTATATGGGGTAGCTAGGGATATTGGGATAACCATTTAAGATCAGTGTCATAGAAGGCAGTAAACATCCTCTCTTACAGAATGACAGAGCTCGAATACTAGGCTTGATAGACCATTGGTCTGACCTTATATGTCATTTCTTATGCTCTTGTGTAAATACTGCTGCTTTGTGACTTGCTCCCAAGTCTACCTAGCTGTCATCAATTTTCTCTTCAGTCTCATTGTCAGTTGAAGGTTGGCTTAGTGAAGACAAGAACTGAGGTCAGCAGGGTGAAGACTGTGATATCTCCTTTCTCCTATACCACACAACTCTTCTCCTCTGTCATTGTGGATAACTCCATCTTCCCAGCTTCCCAAGCATGTAATTGTGGCATATTTTTAATACTACCTACTTATTTTACTCATTCAGGCTATTTCTAACTCAGATACATTTGTCCTTATAGTCATTCTCCAAAATTATTTCTTCTTGCCCAGGACTTGAATCTCTTGTTCTCATATTAATATATTATTGGTTATTCTTTCTACTGCAGCCATTTCTTTTATGGTTTTCCTGTTAATCATTCACTTCCTTATGTTCTATGTAAAGTCCTGTTTAAAAAAAAATTGTATTCATTTCCCTTTATTATTTTCATGCTTTAAAAAAATACTTTACCGGGTCTTCTTTCCTTATTATCATATGTAGACATAGACTCTTTAATCTTGAAGGCTTTTTCCTATTTTGTTTCAACTTCATTTCCTTAATCATTTCTTTCTGCTCTGCTCTTATCCTATTTACTTCATTTCTCCCATGTTTGCTATCTGATCTATTAAGTTCCTTTTTTCACTCCCATCTCCAAGAATTATTTTTAAAATATTCCATTATGATTTGTTACATTTTGTTCATAATCAGCCATCTTATATTTAGCTGTATTGTTAGTATCACAATTTATTGTTATGGATAGAAACAATTTTTATAACTGATGTCCATCCCAGTGACAGTAGAGGACTGAAATAGTAGCATAAGATGGTGCTCTAACAAGACTTTTCCCATATATATAGTAAAAAATGATTATTAACTATGAGAAAAATTAGGAAAAATATATATTGATTAGGAGCCTAATTTTAAAGATAAATAGGTTTCTTTCAAAATGAAATGTATTTTATCTTCCTTTCTAGAGTTTAGTGATTGATAATGATCAAGCTTCTTGCTGAAATAATTATAAGAAGAATTATGTGAAAAGGTTCATTTTAAATGGGAGGAAATATGTATAGATTAATGAACTGATGGGAGGGAAACAGAAAAGGGCCCAGTGAATTCTGACTTAATATTTCTAGTTATTTCCTATGCAACAGCTGAAAACGTGCATTTTCAGGCTTAAGCTTACCTAAATTTTGTGAAAATTTTTGAAGCTTGCTAACTAAATTTTGTTCTTGGTAGGCTCACAATTCATATGGATGAAGAACTACGTGCTCTGGCTTTCAATACTCTGCAGGCACTAATGCTTGATTTTCCAGATTGGCGGGAAGATGTTCTTTCAGGATTTGTTTATTTTATTGTACGTGAAGTTACTGATGTCCATCCTACACTTCTTGACAATGCTGTAAAAATGTTGGTGCAGTTAATAAATCAGTGGAAACAAGCAGCCCAAATGCACATTAAAAACCAAGACTCACAGGTATTATGCTTTTCATAATACTTTGTATCTAAGCAACAACAAATCTACTGTAAAAATATTTGAAGGTATCTTTACTTCTTCTTCTTAAAAATAAAATCATTGTATTTAATTATTAAAGTATAAGTTATTAGAAATGCCAGGGTGTACATGGACATAACCACAAATTATACTTTCTTTTTCTACTTCAAAAGATGCTTAATTTCATCAATGTGATTACTCCTTACATTAAATTATATTGTAAATCCTCTGTTTCTTCAGTTGCTGTAGCTCTTGTGGTCTTAAAAGTCATCATTTATCGACCAGTTTTCTAGCAATGGGCTTATTTACCCTGGCTGACATGGGTTTCATCCATCTTATAAGCCTTTCCAGGTTGGGATAGTACCTTTCAGAACTTATGCTCCACTATCATAGCCTTTATAATATTATCGGATCACCTCTGTGCCGCTCATCTTTAGCTCCCTAAAAATTCATTGAGGTTACTTCCCTCTTAGGAGATTTATACATTTCTGTACAGTTTATGTACCGTAACCTTTCTGTCCTTCTGCGTTTGGTAGCACAGAAGTGATGGTCTCCCTTTGGGAAGGAAACCATACTTGGGATATAAGAAATTCTTATTAGTGTTTTGCTAGAGCACCTTAATGCCTGTTGTTTCTTTCAAGCAAACAGTAGAGGTGTTTATTATACTTTTGTTTTAGATGCCCAGTAAATGTTTATTGATTGATTGTAAGGGTGATGTGGAATAAGAGAATTGTGGAGATGATCAGGTCCAACTCCTTCATTTTACCTCTGGATAAAGCAGGTGCCAGAGAGGTTCCAGGTCTTCTTGAATGCTATATAGTTACTTTGTAACAAAAACTAAGCCTGTAACCGAAATCTTTGGAGCTCCTGCTCCAGGGCTCTCTTTGCCTCTGCTTGTCTATGTTTTTGTATACCAAATCTTATTTTCAATGTAATAATTTTTTTTGGTAAATTTTTATTCCTTTTAAACTTAAATACAAAATGAGAAAAGAAAAAAAAGAACATTGCCACGTATACAACAGAACATAAGAGAGGACTCAATATAAAACAATAAATTTCCATTTTGAGAAAACCTATATAATAAATACTACACATTGTGTTCCAAGCTACCCAGCTTTTTCTTTGCTTCCTTGTAGGTTTTCTTTTGTTCTCTGCTGTGTAATTCAGTATAATAATTTGAAAGAATCGTGTGGTGAACCCATTGGCAATGGTAACTATATTTTTGCAATGGAAGTAGTCACTCTTTCATTTTTTTGTTATTAAACTGGATTTCTACATATTAGATTTTATTCAAATAGGGCATACTTCTGTTCATAAGTACTATATTGTAAATTCCTATGTTTTGTTTTATTGTTATCAGAAAGTTTTCAGTAACTGATTTAATTTTCTTAAAGCGCGACATATCTAATGGAGCTGCTCATACCCTTCCTTTGGAGAGAATCCCATATTCCAATGTATTCCATGTGGTGGAAGGATTTGCACTTGTCATTCTTTGTAGCAGTCGTCCTGCCACTAGGAGATTAGCTGTCAGTGTCCTTAGAGAAATACGAGCTTTATTTGCACTTTTGGAAATTTCTAAGGTAAGATGAAGAAATTCCAGATAATTTTTGTCCATTCTATAGCAAATAGTGTTATAATTAGATTCTAATATATAATTACCTTAGTTTACTTTTCTTAAGCATTATTACATTTTTCAGAGTATCATATATATATATATATTGTTTTTAGGGTGATGATGAATTGGCCATAGATGTCATGGACAGATTGAGCCCCTCCATTCTTGAGAGCTTCATACACCTCACAGGGGCTGATCAGGTAAGGGTATGGCGATTTTTTTGCCTCAATGTTGTCTTGCTAAAGAATATTGTTTTAAACTTAGGCCATATGTTTCTTTGGTTTAAGTTTTCTGTGATAGATTTACCTTGGAAATAATGTACATGAACGCACTCTTCAAATTATAAAACCTATGTACAAATATAACAATAAGGTGGCATTAAATTGTACCATATTTGATATTTTTAATCTGTAGTAGTCAAACATATGATACCAAAACACATGCATAATATAGTTAAAATATATATTTGGTTTTCATGAAATAAAATTGTTTCTGAATTGGCAGTGTAGTATATATATTGCAAAGAGCACAGATTTTGGAGTCAAAAGAATTGGATTCAAATCATGTCTCTGATATGTGATATGTCTGTGTGACCTGGAGTAAGTTACTTAATTTCCCTAAACCTCAGCTTTTACACCTATAAAACAATATGATTGGACTAAATGGCCTCTAAGATCTTTTCCAGCTCTAAAGCTATGATCCTGTTAATGTCCATGGTGTATTAGAGCCCATGTGGTATAATTTTGTTTTCAAAGTATTGTGTTTAAATGAGTAAGAATAAAAATGTCTTGTTAATAGTGAAGCAGCTAATACAGAGATCATTCAACCATTACTTTCTTAATTGATTTAATTATCTTAAATATAGTAGAAAGAAATAATACCTGTACTCTTATATTCCAGAACAAATGCATATGAGTTAGAGAAAAAGTTAATATGCTTCATTTAAAAAACAAACAAACATCTATCCTTTAAGGAAATTTGTGTATATTTTATTTAATTTCCTGTTTAGATTACAAAATGACACTCTTTAAATGTCTTTATGTTGAAATGATAGAGACTAAGAATATTATGTGAATATCTACCAAATTTATTACTTAGGATTTTGGGGGGGAGCAGAAGGGATTGCCTTTCCAAGAATGTGGAAAGAGACGTGTTATTTGCTTAAGATTAATAAAACACGTGCTTCTTTTGAATCAGGTGTGCTTAAAAATCTATTCATTTTAGAAATAACTACCTGAAAATAATTTTATTGTTGTATTTTTTTTTTTTTAGTATTGGACTCATTATTCTTCCAATTTAGGCTTTTTCCAATTCAAGTGATCTCTATCTTGTAATATTTGAACAAAATTGAAGGTAACATTTAGTTCTTCAGTTTAATACAAGTATCAGTAGGTAAATTTTTGAGAATGTATACCTTATAAATGAGTCACTCTTCTAAACAAAGAAACAGAATTACATAGGACATGGCCTTTATTTTACTTTGGTTTTCTTTAGCAATTTTAGGAGCGAAGTCAAATGGAATCTATTTACCACTTAGAGTCAAAAGACTGAGCATCTATTGATATTAAACCCAGTTCATGTTACAAACCACTGAAGCAGCTCTGAATATGTAAAAAAATTTTTTCTCCACAGACAACTTTATTATATTGCCCTGGCTCCATAGATTTGCAGACATTGGCTGAGTGGAGCTCATCTCCCATCAGCCACCAGTTTGATGTGATCAGTCCATCTCATATATGGATATTTGCACATGTGACTCAGGGGCAAGATCCATGGATAATTAGTCTGTCAAGTTTTATGAAACAAGAAAATCTTCCAAAATACTGCTCTACTGCTGTGAGCTATGCTTGGATGTTTGCCTACACAAGACTTCAATTGTTATCTCCACAGGTTGACGTAAAGTGAGTTCCTCTTGATTATAATTTAAATGAATACATTATAATTTTTACTAGTTCTGAAAATAGGGAAACTGAAAGAATAATGTGCTGTCACATGCTTGTAATAAAAGGGGGAAAGTGGGCATCAGAAGCATATGTACATATCTCTTCTACCTCTTTCTCTTAGTTTCTTTTTCCTCTCTTTCTTCCTCTTCCCATTGGGCAAGGGAGGCAGTTGGATAAAAGAATATAGGGCCTGGAGAGAATGGAATGAGTTGGGGAAAACCCAAGCTTTCATCTGTCTAACTTTGTCCTGATTTCATAATTCCTATTATTAATAACATTCAACATTTATTTTGACTGCTGCTAGGGCTGTAAGCAAAATTACAGAATAAGAGTTCGAATTTGTTATTCTCCTAACTCCCTTTTCACTACCTTAAATTCATCTGTTCCCAAATAAGACAATATCCTCATATTTTCCTCTGGCTGTCTAGACTTGTCTACTCACTTCTTTTTTGCTTATGCAGAAATCTGGTTCCCTGAGTACTTAAAAACTCTCAACTTGGTGTTGACCTGATTACTTGATTTTTCGCAAGTATTTTTGAGATGTTGGGACAAAAAAGACCATATCAGATTGGCTTATGTGTAGATGTCATAGAATCATTATTGTTGACACATACTGTCTACCTCTCCACTTTTCCACTTTAAAAAAAAAATGGCTCTGCACTGCATAGAACTCAACAAAACAGTTATTGCATGATGAAAGAACAGAAATTGGTGATGTGAACCACACTGTTAATTCTGTAGCTTCCCTGTTCCTCGGTCTACATAATTCCCATGACATCTACTATTCCACTCTACCTCAGCTAAACACAGAGAGGGGGTGATCATACTTCGATCTAGCTATTATCCACAAAGATTCTATTTCTGTGTTCATGCACTCTGAAATTCCTTTATCTGGTCGGAATCTTCTACCATTTCATTTTTCCTTAAGCCTTTCATCCCTTAGTCTTGTTCTTTGTCCTCACCATGACCTTCATTCCCTTCTTTCCCATACCATCACCTTTGCACTGCACTCTCCTCTTTTATCTTCAGTGCTTGGTGAACTGGTTCAACTCTACACTACTCTCCACTCTTGAATCCTTCCCTCTCTCCCACAGCCATACTAGGAATCATGGTGTAATCATACTTTGCCAAACTCCAACCATGGATTACTCCTGCCATCCATTTTTTTTGCTTTTGTTCACATGCTATTGAAATTCACAAAACCATGCTGATTGAGTTCACTGTAATTTTTTTTTCCATTTTGTTTAACATTTATTTTTCATATTATAATATGCAGATGTCACATTTTCTACATTGACATTTTCATGCTAACAACCCCCTCTTACCCTAAGAAAAATAAAGGATTTTTCACAGCTTTAGGATGAAATGCACTGGAAATGAAATTGCAATTGCACCCAGGTTATAAACAATACTAAGAAGCCAAACAACGGAAAAGCTTTATAGAAGACAGCTGCAGGATAACATCAAAAAGGAGCAAATTAGAATCCTGAATAACTCAGTGTTAATATTTATGTCACGAGGTTAACCCTAGAGAATCCAAGGTGGTCAGAAAGTCGGACCAAATGGAAAATTTCAACAGAAAGCTCTATAATAGAGTTCAGAATATCTATTTACACGTGCTATCATGTTGTTCTCTTTTCCATATCTGTTATACTTTCAGTTTTTGGTAAACATTTTTGAAATTTAAACACTGATAGCATGTCCGAATGCTAACTTGCCTTAACAAGGTGGAATGGATAGTGGGTTTGCCTACTCGTATTCTGTTTCCAACAAGCTAATTGATTTTTGCGGCACACGCAAGAATTACTGGACTTCATAAGTCCTCTGCATTAGAGGCTCAATAAATATCACCATGATAAAGTAGGAAGCTTACTGTACCACCATATGAATTCCAATTGTACAGTTTTTGTACCTAACTTAGAAGGAGTAGCAGCAAAACCCAAGAGTTTCTCTTCTCTCCAGAGTCAGAATCAAGGCCAATGGTTGCCTGTGCTTTGGGATCAAATATTGTAGATCATCATCCTCATCATCAGACAGAGTACAAGTTAGAGAAAAAAGGTTTCCCTTGGTAGTCTGTCCATCAGACAGGCAAGAGTAAGTACCACCTGTTCTGGACAACAGCATGGGAAAAGTCATATGCAGGAGGACTAAAGGAGATGTTCTCAAGTAAGGGGGATTAAATATATGCCTCTTGACTCTTCCTAAAGAACTTGTACAGACTTAGATTTGCCCTTTATTTGGAGGCTAAGGCATTACAATTTCATCTAGCCACACTCATGAAGAGTTTAAAGAAATAAGGTCCAAGAGACCAAAATAATTAGGGTGTAATTAGACTATTAAGTACACCCATCAAGTACAAACATATCAATAAAAAACAGCTTCAGTTCAGTCCCTGTAGCCACTTTAACAAAGCATTGAAGGTATAGGCTTTTTGAATAGAGGATATTTTGAAGTCTATTATAAGTTTAAAACATCAGAAACACTGTCACAATATTTTTCATAAGCTTTGATTTTCTTGACCTCTGTGCATATAATGTGATTGATCGCTTTTTTTTCCTGGATATTCTCTTGTCTCTGGGGTTTCTTTTTTTTTTTTATCTTTCTTTTTGGAGAGTGCTCTCTGTGATTCTCCTCCAATAGGCATTCTTTTCTCTCTACGAGATCTTGCTTTGTCATCTCCTTAGTTCCAGTGGGTTCAATCATCATCTCTAGGCAGATGCTCCTTAGATCTGTATATCTAGACCTAATCTCTTTGCTAATCTCCAGTACCACCAGGCTAACTATCATTTACATATTTGCATATCCAAAGAATTCATTATCTTCCCCACCCACCCCTCTTCCCAATTTTCTTATTACTATTGTGGCTACCACATCCTTCTAGTCACTTAGGCTCACAGTCCTCATATCATCCTATTCTCCTTATTCTCACATATTCTACATATCCATTCTGTTATCAAATTTTCTATCTGGCACAATACGGTTTATATACCTCTCCTTCCCTCCACTCATACAGCCACTGTCCTAGTTCATTCCGGCCCTAATCAGACCTCTGACTTGACCCATTACTATAGTCTTATATTAAGTCTCATAACCTCAATCTTTCCCCTTTTTCCATATACTTCACTCAACTCCCAAAAGAAATTCTTTTAAAGGAGGAGTCTAATGGTGCTATTCCTTCCCTCCCTCCCTATTGCTGCCACCCCCTTTACATCCAGTCTCCAGTATAAACTCCTCCCTTTGGCATTTAAAACTCTTACTCAGCTGGCCCCTTCCTATCCTTCAAGTCTCCTTAAGCTTTCTTCTGTTCCATTTATTCTCCGATTCAGCCATACTGGCCGGTTCTCGTTTCTCAAACATAGCACTCTATTTCTCATCTCTGTGTCTGCTGTGCCAGGAATTCTCTTCTCTCTCTGATATGTTTGTTTATGTAAATCTGTGTGTCTGCGTTTGTTTGGATACGCATATCAACATGTATACATAGGATGAGATTAACTGTAGTCTGTACTGGCGGAGGAAATTACTCCCACAGATGAGATCAGAAATCCATGGAAGTACTGGTAAATTTTCTGAAATATATTTAATATACGTATTTCTTGACTGTAATAAAAACAGTATATTATGCTGAATTTTCATTTGCCTTTTTGTCTTTGTCTAGTAGCCCAATCAATGCTAAAAAAGTCAATGCTACCATGAGCAGTGATTCCTACATTGGACTTTGGAGAAACTACCTGATTCTTTGCTGTAGTGCAGCCACATGCTCATCCTCTTCAACATCTACTGGTTCCATGAGGTGCTCTCCTCCCGAGACGTTGGCATCTACTCCTGACAGTGGTTATGGCATTGATTCTAAAGTAAGTCTTGTAAATCTCTCCTTAATAACAGTAAATAGTTGAATTAAACAATCATAGGGTTGTTTTCTGTCAGAGAAGTAAGTGGATTAAATGATCACTTACTTTCCGTTCTGTTTTCCAATTTCTTTGTTTTTCTTAGATTAGTGAAGATTTATTTACTTAGAAAGAAATGAAATGTTAATCACCTGTATGCATTTTATTTTCTTCATAATAAAGGCATAGTTCTTAAGAAAATGATTATGGATTTTAAAAAAATATTGTATTTATAGCACGTCTTGTAGTTTTTATTCATTTTTCTAGCATTGGAAGGTAAGTATAATTTTAACAAGGCAAAAGAGAGAAATGTAGAATCTTGTCTGGGTGTCTGAAGTTTCCTGTCATACACAATCAGATAAGAGGCAAGGATGATACTTAGGAGATATCCAGGTAAGTGGATAATAGTTGATATCACAAAATTATACAATCCTCTTGTAAAAAGGAAACACAGAGGCTTTTTAATTTACACCTTCAACAACATCTCCAAAAAGGTGCCATCAGTACAGCCTCTGATGTCATAAAGAATTGAAGTAAATCTAGGAGTTGGGTGATTGCAACCTCCCTTTTGGTATTGGTGCTTTGCATCTTATCTTGGATTATTTGGATGATTCGGTCCTAGGAGCCTAGAATAATAGACTTATTGCAGAAGGGACTTTGGAGTTCACCTTGTCTGACACTCTCATTTTACAAATAAGGACACTAAAGCCCAGATGGATTAAGTGACTTGCCCAAGGCTTCACAGCAAGAGCCAAGATTCAAACTCAAGTGCTTTGGCTCCAAATTCAGGACTCTTTCCATTACACCATGTTGCTTCATTTCATGAAGGATAAAACTAAGGCCCTTTGAGATTAAATGAATTTACCCAAATCATAAGGGGAGTTTTGGAGCCCAAACTAGAAATCAGATCTGCTGTCTTCTAACCCACTGTTCTCCCCACCATGAAACATTACCAGCATCCTAAAGGCTATATGGAATAGTAAATGATGGGGAAGCTAGCCCAGCACAGGGATAAGATCATCCAAGTAGGAGTCAAGATACCTGACTTCTAGGCTCATGTTTGTAATTAACCTGCTGTGTGACTTTGGGCAAATTATTTAACCACCTTGAGTTATGCCAATTTTATTGATTTGTTTTTCCAGTGCTGCTTGTATAATGTTTATGTCTGTCTATTCATTATCCCTGATCAAAAAATAGTTTAACGTGTTAAATTATTTTTGTTCTTTTTAGTGCTATGAGATTGTAGGTTTACTTTGTCTACTATAAAAACACAGTATTTTTTCCCCCCCTAGATTATTGGCATTCCATCCCCTTCTTCCTTGTTTAAGCACATAGTTCCAATGATGCGCTCTGAGAGCATGGAAATAACTGAATCCCTTGTTCTTGGTCTTGGCAGGACCAACCCAGGAGCTTTTAGGTAATTATTATCTTGTCTCTGTATTTTCTATATAAGTAAATAATGAATAGAAAAATTAGCTACTTATTTAGAATTCTAGGAGTAGTGATTTTGATAATGTTTCTTCATCTCTTAAATGTAGTGATTTTTGAAAAATTAATCTATCATCCTTATTTAGTTTTATAAGAAAATTGAACCTTAATATGGTGCATCCCTGTTTTTTTTCCTCCTCAAGTATTGTGCTATATTTACAGACTTATCAAAAAATAGGATGGATTTTAAATAACATAAATGAAACACTTATGTGTTTTTCATTCTCAGGCATACCATAGACCAGCATTCTTAGTGCTTTAGGTGTTTATAAAGCACATTCTTTCATTCTGCTTGAGAAAAATGTTGTCCAGGTCTGATCTTCCTTTCATTTTCTTAATGATGTCCCTAATTAATCTTATCAGCAACACAAGGTATCATATGCCAATACATATTTTTTCCCCAAGTGTCATGAATTATTTGCATGACCAAACTTCCTCTTGCCCCTTCAGCATTCTAGAAGTCTAACTGGGGCCTAATTCCCTGTACCCTCACTTGGTTATCCCATTTCCTTCTGTGATTTTAAGTATTATGTCTGTGGGGATGGCTATCAAATATATATTTTTATATAGTTCTAATACTGCATTTTTACATATTGCTTATATATCCTCTTAGACTCTCAAACTTGCTCCCCAAAACCTGCCCCTCCTCCTAACTTCCATCTTTTTGTAGTTCATTACCACCATCCTTCTAGTCACCCAGAATTAAAACCTTAAAGTCACTCTTTGTTCTTCCCTTTCTCTCACCTTCCACATCCCATCACTTGCCATGGCCTATTAATTTTACCCCTGAAATATCACTCAAATCTTGTCTCTTTCTGCTACCACTGCCTTGTATCAGGCCTCACCATATTCCTTCTTGCCTATACTTTTATAATATCTTCTTAACTGTTCTTCCTTCTTCCAATTTCTTTCCTTTCCAGTCCATCCTTTCTACTGCCACCTGTATAATATTCCTTATGTCCAGTGCAGCCATATCCCTTTCCTGCTCAGCAGGCTACAGCACCACCTTATTACATCTTGAATAAAGTAGCAATTCTCTAGTTGTGTATCTAAGATATTTCACAGTCCTGCTCCATAACCTGCCATTCTATTACTCCTTTTCATGACCTTTCCTTTCTAGCCAAACTCTTCCTCCATTCTGTCCCAGAGCTGTCCTGTTAGTGTACAGCTCTTCCTGTCTCTGGTGCCTGGAATGGAATTCTTGATCCCCAGCTCTCAGCCCCAGATGAAATATGGAGAACTCTGTGAAGGTTTTCCTTGTGTTCTCTCCCCTAGAAGTGACCTTTTCTTCTTTAAATTTCTCATAGCACTTTTTTTGGACCTCTCCTTTGCACTCACCGTATTATAATTTGTATTCTATATTTTGTGTCCATATCTTCATAAGCATCATAGATTTTTGAGTTTGAAAAGATTTTCAACATCTACTTCTAACCTCCTCATTTTATAGGTGAGAAAAGTGGGGCCCAGGGAGGTTAATTAACTTGCCCAAGGTTACACAGGTTGTAAGTGGCAAAACTAATATTCAGACATATGCCCTCTAACCTCAGATCTAGCTGTCTTATCTCCCCTAGCATAAAATCCTTGAGGGGGATGATAATGTCTTATTTCATCCATTTGCCATTAATACCTAGCTCAGTGCCTTGCAAATATTAGGCAATTGATAAACATTTGTTGAATTATCAGTAAACTGAATTTTTCTACCTCAATCTTCAACAGAAAACTAAAACTTTAAATGTTTTAAACATTGATAAGTAATTATTTTATGATTATAATGAAATCAAGGCATATTATGCCAGTAAAATTTCCCAAAGAACTATTTTGATTGCATGTTTTTCAATAAGTTCTGCTGCTGAGTCTCCAGATTTTGTCTCTCAGGTTTTTTTTTCCTTTTTAGTGTATTCTTTTCAGAGACTGTAGTCAGCTAATAAAGAATTCACTATTAGAAAATAAGTAGGAACCATATATGGAAATACTTGAATGATATAAAAATTGGCTGACATAATCTCTGTTTCCAAGACAAATTGAATGCTAAAAATCAGTAATTAAGATTGGCATTAGGGTTGTTTGTTCTAATCTTAAATTAAAGGTGTATGTGTATAATATTTTCATGTGGAGTTTGATTATATTAGCTGGTTATTAATGTAGCACTTTATGTCTTTTCTTTCTAGGGAACTAATAGAAGAATTGCACCCTATAATTAAAGAAGCGCTTGAAAGAAGGCCAGAGGTGAGAATGGTTGAGTGGTTTTGAGTATTGAAATCACAAGTTGTGTATTTCTCATCATGGTACGATAAGAGCATCATTAGTTTTTTCCATTACCATCTGTGTATGATAGTGAATTTTTGAATTATTACACCAATTGAATAAAAAGAAAAATATTATTTCTCTATCACTACTAAGATGAGTTGCCTAAATGACTTGAGTCCTGGTCTTCTAACTCTTAAGGCTAGTCTGTGTTCTTCTCATACTACATACTTTCTTTGTTTGTTTTTTGAGGTTGAAACTAGAAGAAATGACAAGGCAAATTTACAGTACCTAATAAAATATCCTTCTCTGCTACTTCCAAGACTAGTCGCATCCTAACACATAGATTTTTGTGACTAAAAATTGTTTTCCAGAAAGTAGAGAACAAGGAGTATTCTAGATCCAGAGCCAGCCATTTCTACTATCTGTATATCTACTCAGGATGAACCTCTAGGATGTTTAGATTGGGAAGCCCTTGACTTGGGCAGAAGTGATTCACTCAATGAGAGTATAGAGATTGGCTATTAATGTGTTTCTTACTAAGGTGGGTGCTGTGGTGGATACCAAATTATATAAATGGTAATTCCTGAACTGAAACGATTCATATTCTAGTTAGGGGAGGCAAGACTTAGATGAAGTGAATAGAGGACTCTGGAGTGCTTAACTGTGTGGTTTCTGTGAAATCTGTATTGAGAAGGTAGAAGAGATCAGGGCAGGCTGGAACAACTTAGAGAAGATTTGATTAAAGAAGTAGTACATGAACTGGACCTTGACATTGGGTAATGAATGGGAAGGGCTTTGAGGGTTCCAAAATGGTTTCCTCACAGCAAGTAGAGTGTTGTACTGGAAGAAATCTTTAAAAGGCCATCTAGTTCAATGTCTTTATTTCATGGATGAGGAGCCTGAGGCCCAGAGTGGTGACATGATTTACTGAAGGTCAGACAAGTAACAATTAGAAGAGCCAGGATTTGAATCTGTGTTCTCTGACTTCAGCACTCACGTACTTTGTTCTACACGGTACTACTGACACGCTTAGCTTGTAGGTTTTGGAGCTGAGACTTAAAAGTCAAGTTCTCTGCCCCCAAAACCAATGTACTTTCTTCTACACCAGACTGCCTGCTCCTTTGCATTAACCAAGAGGAAGTAGGAAGCAATTAATGGAGAGGGAAATAGCATAAGGAAAAAAAAAATGGATGAAGGTGGAAACAAATAGGACTTGTTTAGGGACAGTGAGGAAATTGGCCTAATGAACAGGAGGCATGTTGGGAAATTAGATTAAATAGTGGTATAGCACCACTGTGTGGAAAGTCTTAAAAGCCAGAAAGGCATAAGGAATGGACAGGAGAGAGAGTTGTTATACCATTTTCAACAAAGGGATGGTTTGATGAGTGTTTACTTTGGCATTAGTATGTAGAATGAATTGAAATTAGAAGAGACTATTAGCATGATCCAGGTGTGATGTGTTAGATGATTATAATAGGATTAGAGAAGTGCTTAACAAAATCATAGACATGTCCCAACTGATGTTAATTCCACCTGTGAGAACATAATTTGAACCGAAACAAAGTTGTAGGAAAAATTTATTTCCATTATAGCATTGGGTTAGTAACTAAGAAAGAGCATTGTTCTGACAGCTGTCCTCCCCACTTAGGTTTCTTTCAGCTCCAAATCCTTTAATATTCTCCAAGAGAAATTTATTTCAACTTAAGTTGAGTATCTGTGGAGAGGCAATATAGTGTAATGAATGGAAGTCACATCCGCAGAGGTTGGACAACTTAAGGCTCAGGTCTGGCACGCCCTATGCTAATGAAATCACAAGTCCAGTTAAGGAAAAAAAAGGTAACTTGAAACCTCACTGAGACTTCCGAGACATGCTGGTGAATACAAAAATGAATAGTGTCAACCTTGCCATCGAGGAGCCCATAGTCGAGTAGTGGGGACTGACATGTACATCAACAATGATAAGTCAAAGAATGTGGGAATATAGTTTATAAACAAGGATTCTTTTCGTCTTAGTATCCTATATATGGTGCCTTTGACCTAGTTTGTACTGATTAAATATTTGGAGTTTTTTTTTTTAACTAGACCTATGATTTCATTTTTATAGGATATTCCCAAAAAGTAATGCTCACTATACATACAAGGCAGGTCACCACCTGTTCTGCAGCTTATATTTTTAGAGAGTTAGCTGCCTGGGGCACTAAGAGATTAAGGCCTAGTGTCACATGTGCCAGACAGAGGGGATCTGGAACTCAAGTTGTCCTGCCTCTAAGGCCCTGACTTCCATCCATTACATCACACTGCTTCTCCATAGATACTTGAATAAAAGCTTCAGTAGCATGGAACTGCCCTAAGACTTTTGGGACACACTGTATTCTATGTCGTCAGTAAGTGGTTATTCTCATCATTAGCAACAAAAGTCCAAGCCTCTTTTTTGGCTTTTCTTTTAGTCTGCTTCTCTGTACTATAATTTTTACCTAGCAACTTATCAGAAGTTTTGGGACTTCTTGGAGTCCCTTTGGAGTTTGTGTTCCTGCTTCTTTCCTCTGATTTCTGTGAAGCTCAGGGCTCTCTTGTACATACTCTTTCCTTTGGTGCATAGTTTTCTAATTTCTTTAGCTACTGATAAAGGCTTAACAAACTTAAAAATTGGACCATAAGAGCATAGATCTAGAGCTGGAGGTAAGTTCAAGATCATCATGCACAACCTCCTGTCACCATTTTATGGATGATTCCAATGGTTCAAAGAGTGATCTGTTTGAGGTAATACAGTACGTGGCAAAGACCAGATTTGAACCGAAGTCCTTTGATTCCAAAATCCAATTCCTTTCCACTGTACCGTGTAGCCTCCCTAGATATAGAATCTTACTTTCTTCACAGAAGTTATCATAAAATAAAAATTCAATATATTTACCTACCTTCTCCTCATTGATAATATTGTACCTGGCGTAATGCTGAAAATGATGTTTTGTGTGAGTGAGAGATTTCAAACAACTTGAAGTAACAGCAGCACTGTTGCGAGGAAAACTCTTTGTATTCTTTAAAGTTCATTAAAAAGGTAAGCTATCACTGCATAAATTTTAATATATCTTTTATATTCTTTTTGATATGGAACAGAATATGAAACGGCGCAGGCGTCGAGATATTTTGCGAGTGCAGCTGGTACGGATATTTGAACTGCTGGCAGATGCTGGTGTCATCAGCCACAGGTTGGTATTGGAGTTGTTTTATTTGGGGCAATAATGGTGAAATGCTATTGAGCATTCCTCTCTCTTGAAATGCAAAAAAAAAAAAAAAGAAAGAAAAGAAACGGAGAACTTCTTGAGGAATTTTCTTGAGGAAAATCAATCTCCATTACTTCTATAGAGTAGTATTTATAGTCAAATTATGCAGCAGTTGTGAGCCTCACAGACTTACAGTGTCACTTGGTGTGAGAAGGGACCACAAAAGCCGCCAGATCTTATCCATGCCTGAACTGGAGCCCCCTCTACAGCATGCCTGACAAATGGCTGAAGACTGCCCAGGAGAGGGAAATCATGGTCTCTTGAGGCTCATTTGGAGCCATAAGTTACTCATTTGGAGTAACTTATTGTGAGGAGCCTACATTGGCCTCTCTGATATTTCCTGGTTCTGCCCTCAGGGCCAAACACTGCAAGTCTAATTTGTCTTCTTTATTATAAACCTCAGGATCCTGAGATTTTTTTCTTATCTTGGTTATCACAACCATACTTATTTAGGAAGTAGGGAGGCAGGGTGCTATCGTAGGAAGTGTATTTGCTCTGGGGTTAGACGACCTGTGTTCAGATCCTGCCCCTGGTGCTCACTGCCTGTGTGACGTGGGCAAGTCACTTACCCTGCCTGGCTGGGCCTCAGCATTGTCCTCATCTATAAAATGGGCCCTGATGTCCCTTCTAGCTCTAAATCTTTAGGCTTATGATCCTACTACACTACAACAAGTTTTAGTGTAATAGTAATGTGAGAGTGATGTCAATTAACTATACCATCTATGACAGGATGGGAGAAGTAGTACAAATAATCCAGTTGGCATAAGTGCATGTTTTTTTAAGTAACTTTATAATTTAGACAAATATAAAAATTTTAAAAGTTACTGAAAAATTATACAAGACTCCTTACATTACAGACTCTCAGTATATTTATGTAAGTTGTTATTCCACTTCACCCTTGGCCTCTCCTTCTGATGAATTGTCTCTCCTTATGAATTCATCACATTCGTTATTTATCCCCTTCATTTAGCGTTTATTCATAGTGTTTTATAATGTCATTCTTATAGCCTTTCCTTGTTATTTTAGTCTACACTTAGCATCTGCTGGGTGCAAGGTCCTACTAAGACATCCTGACATCTTGGAGTTTACCATCTATCATTGCATTGCTATGTAGTTTTTAATGTATGTATATATTATCTCTCTGACTCTAGATTATACTTTCTTTTAGGACTAGTTTGTAATTTCTGGTACCTCTTTGTATCACTCAGTCAGTGCCTTATTCATAGCAGGTACTCAAGAAATACTTTTCTTATTGTACTGTACATGTTGCAGTCAATAGATTCTGACTGTCATCCTAAATATGGTAACCTTAAAAACATAGTTTAAATGATTATTTAGTCTTCTCTTTCTAGCTGTGTGTTTTCTCTCAGATTCCTTTATTCACTTTTACTTCCTGGCAAGAATACCTCAGATCAGGTTGGAGAGGCCAGTGCTTATTGGATATAATTCACAATCATAAAATTAATGATTTGTAGAACTGAAAGAGACCTTAGACATCTGAATTCCTGGGTTGAGTTCCTTTCTCTGCCCTCATGTTGGACTAGCTGACCTCTTACAGCCCTTCTAGCCCTAAATCTATGGTCCTATGAGTTATAAATTAAGCGAGACATATTTATTAAGGGCTTACTGTGTAACAGGTGCCGTGTTAGGAATTAGTGTTACAGGGGCAGCTAGGTGGCACAGCGGATAGAGTGCCAGCCCTGGAGTCAGGAGATCTTAAGTTCCAATCTGTCCTCAGACACATAACACTCACTAGCTACGTGACTCTGGGCAAATCATTTAACCCCTATTGCCTCACACAAAAAAGGAATTAGCGTTACAGTCCCTGCTTTCAAGGAGCTTACATTCAAATGGGAGAGACAACGACATACATGTATATTTAGAATAAAGTAGTTTCATACAAGATAATTTGAGGGGGATGGTATTGAACAGTTCAGGGAGGGGGTCAGGAATGGCTTCATTTAGAAGGTAATTCTTAAGCTGCATCTTAACAGAAGAGTTATAAGACTCTATGAAGGGGGAATAAGGAGAGAGTACATTCTAGGCATGTTGGACAACTGGTGCCTAGGCACAGAGATGGAGAGAGAGGAGTGTCTGAAGAATAGAAAGAAGGCCAGGTTGGCTGGATTGCAGAGTGCAGAAAGGGGAGAAATATATAATGAGGCTAAAAGGTAAGTTGGGGTAAAGCTGTGAAGGGCTTTAAAATTTGATTTTAAAAAGTTGATAGGGTAGGAGGGTTACGTGATCAGATCTATACTTAAGGAAAATCACTTTGGCAACAGTATGGAGGATGAACTGAAGTGGAGAGTGACTTGAGTTAGGTTGACCAATTAGGAGTGCATTGTAGTACTCTAGGCCAGATGTGATTCATTAATATGTTACATGTCTTAGTCAGTTTTCAGCATTTGTTGGTTTTATACCATAGTCCCCTCTTATGTCCACCTGAACATTTTTAGGCAAATTGCATGCCCTTTTTAAATTTTATACTCAATTTTCATTTTTATCAAAGTGAACAGAATTATGTCTTTCTTAATATTCAACTTTTATTAGCCTAATGGCCCAGATGAAACAAAATAAATTAATTAATGAATATTGTCTATTGGCCAGCCTATAACATGTGTTTGGATGGGTCACCCATTAGGTTAATCCCCATGGGCAGTAAGATGGACCCTGAATTGTACAAGGAAGAGAATGGGCTGAATTACTTTTGAAAGATTGAATAGCACTTTCAACAGCTTTAAGATGTTCTAAATATGCAAACTTATTTTTTAAACAACCTATATTTTTCCAGTGATTATATATGGTTGCTCATCATGAAGCAACACCATCTCTGAAGCATCAAAATTACGGGTGATACCTGAACAATGGAGACATAAATGTATGTCAGGTGTAGGTAGACTGTGGCATATATGATTTGGTCCTAAATTCTTCCCTTATCCATAGAACTGACAAATTAAACTATCCATTACTCTCTTAATTTGCTTGTGGTCTTACCTTTTATGTTTAAATCGTGCTAATTTGGCTTTTATCTTGTATGTAAGAAGTGATGTAAGATATAGATTATACTGGAAAGGTATGATTGGAAAAAGGAAGTGCATGTAATGAGAGAGGAATAAACACATTGTTAAGTGCTACATTGATATGAGAATGTAAAAATACTTAGAGGAAGACCTAGTTTGGGTCTTTCTGTGGAGGATTTATGGGAAGGGCAGGAATAATATGGGGTGATTGTGAAGCCAGCTAATGTTTTTAGAGAAATTTGTACATCAGTGAGCTCACAGATCCATTGAAATAATGAACTACAACTTTTTATAGGATTTTTATCTGAAAATAGCTTTGTATTTAAACTATTGAAAATCACATTTATTATTTAAAAAAAGAAAACTACTAGTGTTCAGGCTTATTAAAGTGTTTTTTATCAAAATAATCATATGTAATTAACTAAATGTAAGATCATCAAATCATAAACATGAAATATTTGTTATAAAGCACACAGGGACTATTAATGTACACTTTGGGCTCCTTTTAAAAAAGCAGTCTCTTACTCTGCCAAAGTATAAGCGTGGCAAAAACAGTATTTTTAAATGTCACATGATAATTAAAGGCTCACAAAATAATAAAAAGTAATACAAGTCAAGTTGTATTAAAACACAAAACTGGTATTTTTAAAAAAATCAAATATCGGGTTTATTTTTTTAACTTTATTTTATTAACAAAAGAATTTTGGGTCCCATACTACTAGCAAGGACCAGATTTATCAAAAACAGTGTCTTTTAGAAAATACAATAAAATATATTCATAATTAACTTAAGTGCAGACATAATGGTAAAACAGAAAGTATAGAAAACACAAAAGAAGACTATAGGAAATTGCATTTTAAGTTTGACTTCAAAAGTATTTATTTCCTTTAAGGAGGTTATAAATTAGAGCATGAATACTCTGTTGTGCTTCAGGAATGTAAAGTTCTAGTTTTACAGTGTTAATACTTATTCCTTAAGAGACAGAATTTATTTCTTACTATGCTTTTAAAGATAATATTGTGCTACCACCATTATTTAGGTAATTTTAAAAACTCCACCAAAATAGAATTGAGTCATTTCCTAATTAATGTTAAAACATGACATGTTCACAAAATATACTTGCTCAGTTTAGGAAGACATATCCTTACCAACAACTTGTTTATCTGAGAAAACACCAGACAGTATATTGAAATATTAACAGGTTGGCGATCCAGTTGGCATAGGAACCTTGCAGAGTTTAGCAAATACACCTCTGATTTTGGTTCTTAGATGACTTTTCGAAAATTTGTCATTCTTTTTTTTTTTTACTTTATGTTTTCTTAATAATTTTCCTTTTTTATTTTCAGTGCAAGTGGTGGCCTTGATAATGAAACACATTCCCTCAATAACACTTTGCTGGAGTATGTAGATCTAACTAGGCAACTCCTAGAAGCAGAAAATGAAAAGGACTCTGATACACTGAAGGATATACGATGCCATTTTAGTGCCTTAGTGGCGAATATCATTCAGAATGTTCCAGGTATCGTTTTCAGTATTTATAGCATTAATTGATTATCCATGGTGTCTTCTTTCCCTGCTCCACTGAGATTGTGACTTAAAGTGACAAGACATAAATATTGGAAAATGATGTTAGAGAAGCACAGGTGGCAAGAATTTATAGAATCATTGAATTGGTGCCTATTTTCGTTTTCCATCAAAGTGAAGACGGAGATAAATTTGAAGGCAAGCAACAGTGGAGGCTTATAGAAAGCTTGTTTCAGACAGACTGGGCAGCAGAAAGGAGTGTCTAAAAGTGAAGTTAGGAAAGAAAAGTAAGAAAGATACCCCTTACTTTAGAGAAAGGCATTTGGGGGGAAAATGAACTAGTATAATCAATAACAACCTGGAAAAAAATGAGAAGTCTAAATCGGACATCAAGCTTTCTGAATGATACTGATGCAGTGATGTAATGAAGATATAATTCTAAAAATATATTATTTATAGCTTTCCAAATAATAAGTATAAGGCCTTATTATATCTGTAATATGTTAAATATTGTTTTGGGGCATATTACAAATATAAACTTAATTTTAAAAAATTTGAATTAATTTTTCTGATTTGTTAACGATTAAATTTTTATTCGGGCATGAATTCTTGTCAACTTTTTCAAGACAAGGATGTTGCTTTCTGCTTTTTACCTACTTAAAGATTTGATTGCCCACACATATTCTCTTTCTTATATAGGTTTAATGACCTTTAATTTCTGTAGTTCAAATCGTAAGCTTGTGTCATAATACAAATACAATGATGTAATAAGGATGTAATAATAATAAGAGACTTTGGACTTGTAGCTTTTCAGAGAATACTTCTAAGCATAAAGCTTTGATACTATCTATATATTGAATTTTTTTAGATTATCCCAGATAAAAATTCATTGATAATTTTAACATACTTGTATAAATGTGTAAAAGAGATAGAAACAAAGGTGCCGTTAGAGAAACAGAGAGAGAGAGAGAGATCTGAGAGCTATCACTGGAGTCAAAAACAATTGGGTTTTCAAGTCCCACCTCTGCCTTTATGATTCTGGGAATCACTTAACCTCTTAATGCCCTAGTCAACTCACTAAAACTTTAAATTCCAAAAAAAAAAAAAAAGCTAACCCTCATCCTTAGGGGGACTTTCTTACCAGGAGTTACTTTATTGAAATTGCAGGTCTACCTGTGCCCTCCACCCTTGATTTTTTTTTTTAAGTACACACACACACACACACACACACAGAGTCCATATAATAGATATGTTATTCCTATTGGATAACTAGATAACTTACATGATAAACTTAAATTTTATTGTGAAATCAGACATTATGTTCCAGAGCTTATAGTAGAGAATCATTGATTGTTAGTGCTCGAAGCATCTCACATAGTCCAGCTCTCTCATTTTATAGATCTAGAAACTCAGGACCCTTTGGGTAAAGTGATTTTTACCAAGGTCATACAATTAGTCACTGTCATAGTTGGAGCTGTACCCTAGACTGCCGATGCTATTTTTAAATACATCACGTTGCCAGCATGAAATTTCAGCTTTGAAAGTTGTCATGTATCATGTCACAATAACGTATGCTGTAGTCATTCTCTCTTTTAACTTGGCACAAATGAAATAGAAAGTTTGCCTTGATTAAAATGATACAGATTTAAAGTTTTAGCTAATATTTTTATTATGTATGCAAATACTTGTAAAGGGTAGTAAGGTAAAACTCAAATATTTCTGTTCTGCTTTTCTTTATAGTTCACCAGAGAAGAAGCATCTTTCCCCAACAGAGCCTCCGTCACAGTCTCTTCATGTTGTTCAGTCATTGGGCAGGTCCTTTTAGCATCATGTTTACTCCCTTGGACAGATACAGTGATAGGAACATGCAGATTAATAGACATCAGTACTGTGCATTAAAGGTATTTACCTACAACTTTATTTTTCTCATAGCATTTTGCTTGGTATTCAAGCCTCTCCATGATTGCACTACAGCTTACCTTAGCAACCTTTTCTTTTACTTCCCTCTTACATGTACACTGCACTCCAACCTAATTTTTGCTCTTATCCAAACATTTTCCTACTTTAACTTTGTTCACAATGTTCCTGTCACCTGGAATGACCACTCCTTCCACTTTACCCCATAGCTTTCCCTGTTGAATTTGTACCCATTCATCATAACAGCATAGTACAAAGGCATCTCCTTTGTGAAACCACCTCCTGTTCCACCTCCTGTTTCCTGAGAGAAAGTATGATATATAGGATTAAATTAAGATTTCTATGTGAGCCTTTCACATTGTTCGTTTCCTATTTCTGAAATGTTTTCCAAAAAAAATTTTTTTTTGCCTGTGCTACCCCTATTCCCATCTTTGTGTTGAAGTCTGTTGTATAAATATTAAAAGTTTTTATTTTTAATACATTTGGGATATTTTTAGATTTTATAAACTTGTCTGTCTGATTTGGTGCCATGTCATTTACTTTTTCTGTATAATAGAATGCCTTATTGTACAAATATTATTATATCTCTGTTTTTTTAAGATTTGGGATTAGTAAGCATTAAAACTAATTGAATTTACTCAGTCAACATCTCTCAGCAGCATTATTTATTAGAATGTGTATTTTTAATTTTATTTTTGAAGGCTATGTCTGCTGTTCTCTGTTGTGGCCCTGTTGCAGATAATGTAGGACTCTCTTCAGATGGCTACTTATACAAATGGCTGGATAATATTTTAGATTCTCTGGACAAAAAGGTAATAGCACAAATGTGTGTCTTTCTTAACACTTCATATTATGTACCTTTTAAGGAATTTAGGATTCTAGAGTGAATCGATTAACCTAAGCCTTATTTACTAAATTGTTAAAAATGAAATTTTAATTAAAACATACAGAAAGAGAATACTATGTAAAATTAGTCCAGAAGTGCCTTAGATTCTAGTTCTTAAAACAGTATTTATTAATTGGTGACATGTCATCTTCCCCTTCATTATAAAAATGGGCTTAATAATTCTTATGTTTTATCAGCCTGATAATCATGTACATTGGATAAGTGAAATACCATTGTAGAGTACATTTGATCTCCTATAATAAAAATGTTTTCCATATTTACTTGTATATTGAATTCCCTGCCCCCCACTTCCTCTCAGCTGCCCCTTTCCCTTCCATTCCTGCAACCTTCACACTACCTTTTACTTATTGTCTCCAGTTTTGAGGAAATTTGTAGTGTTGCCTTCCAAACATATTACCTCTGATTGCTGCAATAAAGAGATGTCTTGAGGGGCAGCTAGGTGGCGCAGTGGATAGAGCACAGGCCTTGAAGTCAGGAGGACCTGAGTTCAGATGTGACCTCAGACAAAACATTTGACACTTACTAGCTGTGTGACCCTGGACAAGTCACTTAACCCCAATTGCCTAAAACAAAACAAAAAAAGAGTTGTTTTGAAGTATTTTTATACAAAGTGCTATAGAGGTAAATGACAGCTTAATGTAATAATTACTTCCATTTTTTCTTCATTTGATCTTACCTCCGTCAGAGAGGCTTTCAGAGAGGAAAGTTTTACAACTGGGATATTTTTTTTAACCTTGTGAACCACAAGCCCAGATTTATTCAAGTAACTTTTCACCCTCTGATGTCCTCTTGTAGGGGTTACATATATGCTTAATTGGCAACAGGGTGGGAGGAATTATACAATTACTTATACAATCAATACATGTCTCATGTTATTTTAGTGAAAACATTTCTACAAATTAAATTTTCTCCATTTTTGCATTATTGCCTGTTGCTTTTTTATTTGTTTTTTAGGTTCATCAGTTGGGCTGTGAGGCAGTTACACTATTATTGGAGCTCAACCCTGACCAGAGCAATCTGATGTATTGGGCTGTGGATCGATGTTACACGGGTTCCAAGAGGGTAGCAGCTGGCTGCTTTAAAGCTATAGCTAATGTGTTCCAAAACAGGTCTTTTATCATTTTATTTAGACATTATTTTACTTTTAAATAAGCTATTTTCACTTTTCTTCAGAAATACTGTATATTAATAGTAGAGTATTCCTTTCTGCTTTACAATATTAAATTCTGCCCCAAACAACATGTTCTTAGTGTTTTTCTGTTAAATCTCTTTTAATATTAGAAAATATACAGGTGCAGAAAGCATACCTGATACTGACTCTGACTTTGGGAATATTTTAAAACATGTACTAGATAATTAATGCCTCTTGTGAAAACAGCCAAACATTATTTTACTGAATATGTAAAATTTACCCCCAGGGACTACCAGTGTGACACAGTGACTCTCCTAAACCTGATATTATTTAAAGCAGCTGATTCTTCAAGGAGTATCTATGAAGTTGCTATGCAGTTATTACAGGTCTGTAAACAATTTTTAATTAAGCCCATGCTTTATTCGTAGTGGGTCAAAGTGATTTATTTTACTTCTTGTGACATACGTCATTGGTATTCATTATATTTTTAGTTATATGATAGCAAGAGTTATGCTTTAGTCATCAATAATAGTGGATGAAGTATAGTATAAAGCATTGAAATTCAAAAATATGTGACTAATTCAGTTGACTGTATAGAATTCACATTTCTAATTTAAAATGTGTATACCTGAAGTCATTTTTTAAAATTATGAGTTCTATAAAATCCATTTGCTTCTAAAATCTTATTTAATATTAGATTAGATTATCCTAAATTACCTCGAGTAGCACAGTACTTTTGAGTGAAGAGAAAAGTGTTTTTATGGTAAATTTTTATAAATTATCTTTCTCGAATGAATAAGCAATACTTTCATGAAACTAAAGTTTTGCTTTATGCAGGAGCATTTTCATTTATTCCACAACAGTTTTTGGCAATATAGGATGAGGTGGCAAGCTCTTAACTGATATACTAGTTTGGAGAACATCATTTATTTCCAAATAACGTGCAATAGAAGGGATGTTCAAAGAAACATAATTTTTATACTATGTTCTTTTTGCTAAAATTGAAAATAGCCGTTCTTGTCAATTTCAAGTTTCTTTTAGAGTTTGACTTCTGCATGTCAATATTAAAATTAGTACTAAGGGAGAAGCTGGGTGGTACAGTGGATAGAATGCTAGGCCTGGAGTCAGGAAGATCTGTGTTCAAATCTAGCCCCAGACACTTACTAGCTTTGTGACCCCAGGCAAATTACTTAAGCTCTTTCCCTCAGTTTCCTCATCTGTAAAGTGTGGGTAATAATAGCACCTACCTCTCACAGCTGTTGTGAGGATCAGATGAGATAATAATTTGTGAAGTGCTTAATGCGGTGCTTGGCACCCAGTAAGTGCTGTTACAAAAGTTAACTAGTATTAGGAGGAGAAGTAGGAGTAGTTGAAAAAATTGTGGTAGCAGGTAGTAGTAGTAGTAGTAGTAGTAGTAATAGTAGTAGTAGTAGTAGTAGTTGTTTAATTTTTTTATCTGTGACTATTATCTAGGATAATTTTTTTTAAATTAATCTTATTTATATTCAAGAGCAGTTATATATTCAAACTTCTGCATATATTTTAAGCCTAGGTGCTACACTGTATTGTTGATTAGCATTTAACACAAAATTTCATATAAAAAGCCACAGGAATTGTTTCCTCCATATATTTTCTAAAGTAGTAATATTAAAAAAAAACACTTAGATATTTTATTGTACATTCTATAATCAAGAGTGTTCTTGCAAGATAATTTTGTAATCAGATATTAATTTTAACTAAAATTAAAGCTTTAGCTTTAATTGTTATAATTCTATTCCTGTAGATTCTAGAACCGAAGATGTTTCGCTACGCTCACAAATTGGAGGTTCATAGAATTGATGGAGTACTCAGTCAGCTATCTCCTCTGCCACACCTGTATTCTGTTTCATATTATCAATTGTCAGAGGAATTAGCAAGGACTTATCCTGAACTAACCCTTGCTATCTTTTCAGGTATGAAAATTTAACTGGTTAAGGACATATTTACTCATTTTGAATGGCTGCCTTAAACAAATTTTCAGACTATATTAGATTCCAGATGGAATTTAAGTAAAGAAACACAAGTCTAGTATCTGTCATTGCAGAGACAGTGCACCCTAATGATTGACATCTTATAAGGATTCCTGTCACTAAATCTTTCTTTAAAGGCTTTAAACCTTGTCCCTGTCCCCCCAATAAACACTTTCTTTCCTGCCCTACTGATATTTTCGTGACATATGCAACTTTGTATTGAAAGAGTTTATTGTACTGCTTGTTCTTATTGTATGTGCATGTCTCTGTATTTTCTACTTAAAACGTTTTGACAGAAAGCAAAACAGACCAACCCACAGATCACAGACTCGTAGAATTGGTAGAGACCTTAGAGATCATACACACAAATATTCCGTCCAGAATATCCATTTGCTTATCTTTTAGGTTCTATCTGGAACGTACCCTTAATCCCCTAGCCACCGATGTGAATTGATTATTAGCTGTCATATCTGCCAAGTGGTGGGTTGGTGCTGATTGCTTCAAGGGAGTATTTCTCCTCTAGAATTTCATCATAGTTGTTGCCTTAATTTATTTTGGCAGCAAACTAGAGTTTATATAGGAGAGTTATTAGGAGAAGAGACTGGGAAGGTAGGTTGTAGCCTCATTGCAGAGGGACTTCAATACCAGGCTGACAAGTTTGGACTATTTTCATTATCCATTCCTTCTTCCTTTCTCTGCCTCCTAACTTCCTTCTTCAGTCCTTCATTTCCTTACATTTCCTCCCTCCCTCTCTGTCTTTCCTCCTCTCATTTTCTCCCTCTTCCCTCCTCCCGCGCTTCTCTTTACCTCTCTTTCCCTTCTCCCTGTCTTTCTCTTCTTCCCACCCCCACTTGTTCCATACCCTTCCTTCTCCTCCCTGTCTACCCTTTTTCCTCCTTTATCTTCCTCCTCTATCCCTTCAGGGCATTTTACCCTGCCTCTCCAGTTCTACTCTCTCTGTTGTCCTCTTCTCTTTTCTCCCCACCACTCACCTCCTTTCTCCCTCCCCTCTTCTCCTTCCTCTTATCTCCCTATCCCACCCCTACCCCTACCCCTACCCCCACCCCCACCCAGTCTCATTCCTTCCTCCTTCTTTTAATCCCCAAACACCGAAGGCAATCTGAAAAACATATACGTTATTCCTTGACTGCCCATTAACTACTTACATCTTTACCAAATGGTCTCTTAAGGTTTTCCATTAAAGTCCTTTGAGTATCCTAACTAAATCACTAAAATACTATCATTAAATTTTTATGATGCCAGTTACTTTTGTAGACACAGAGTTAGTTGCATAGTATCCATAACTAACTAGCATCCTGGGAGGAATTTACACCAGCCTTTTTTCTGCTGAATGTGAAAATTAAGCCTCGAGAAGAAGTTTAAATAAAAATCAGAATATCTAGCCTGCAAAGTAACTCACTTGTTGGAAGTCATATGCTTATATTTAACTGTTTTAAATTTGAAGACATTTAATAGTTAAGTAGTTTAAACTATCATTTTACTTCAGGATCTTATTTTTTCTTCCCTTTAAGAAAAGGTCTTATATTCATAGAGTACTTTACAATTGAATGGAACTTCTGTATAGCCTCCAAGCAACTGTAAGAATTTTCTTTTTATTGTATCCCTGACAAATAATTTTTTAACCTTTGCCTTAATAGCTTCTGTGACAGGAAGCATGAGGACTTTTATTTTCCATTCTGCAATTAAGTTTCCTTTTTAAGCACTGAAAAATATCTCAGGTATAAAGAAAGGCTACGGCTTTATTTTTAGCTGTTAATTTTTTCCTTCTTATATCATTTAGCTTAAATGAATGGAAAGGTGAAATGATCATTTTAAATACCTATAATTTTGCAAATGAAAATAGGTTCAATTTCTTTTGGAATGAACTGTTAAAATTTATTTACAGAGATAAGTCAGAGAATTCAAACGGCTCATCCAGCTGGGAGACAAATAATGTTGCACTATTTGTTACCATGGATGAACAATATAGAGTTGGTGGATTTGAAACCTTTGCCAACAGTAAGGCGGCATGATGAAGATGAAGATGAAGTTTTAAAAGACCGAGAACTCATGGTGAATAGTAGACGTTGGCTACGAGGAGAAGGTTGGGGGTCACCACAGGCTACAGCAATGGTTTTGAACAATCTGATGTACATGACAGCAAAGGTAACCTGGATCTTTGTTAATTCCTATAAAGAATATTAAAAGTTGATTTGAAGGAGTTAATGTGGTTTGGAATAAGTAATGTGCTAAATAAATTTGTAAGACAACTAAAATGTGAAATTATAAATGCTTTCTTCAAGAAATTTCTCATTTGTTTGAAATGATGCTTTTTCTAGCTGCTACGGCCCTGAGTGATAACTGTAATTTATATTTAAATTGTAACAAAAGAAATGAGTATTCATTCGATTTGTCAAAGAAATTGAACATAATATTGTATCTGCATTGATGAGCTTTAGATGGTGATGTTTCATGGTCAAAGCCTTTTAAATTAATTCAATAGAAAATTGTTTCATGTATTTTTGTTTTACATTTTTAATCTTTTTAATGAATATATCTTAATTTTGTTTCATAGTATGGTGACGAGTTGGCATGGTCAGAGATTGAGAATGTTTGGACCACACTGGCAGACAGCTGGCCAAAGAATTTGAAAATAATTTTGCACTTTTTGATCAGCATTTGTGGAGTGAATAGTGAACCTAGCCTCTTGCCTTATGTATGTATTCAATTTAACAGTGATATTCTGAACACCCATTCCATGCATGAGCAGTGTAACTACAGCACAGAAAAGAAGCTGTCAGGTTTAGGAGAACCAGGATAGCCATGGTCTGAGATCCTATTGGTTGCATGCCCTTCACCCATCTCCCTCCTGAGACAGACCATTTCATTTTGGGTCGGCTCCAACTTTTAGGATGTTTTTCTGTACATTGAGCTGAAGTCTGCTGCTCTTTTGCTTCTATCCGTTCCTCCAACTTTTGGAGCTAGAAGGGACTTTAACTATCATTGTATTTAACCCTCTCATTTGACAGATGGCGGTCACAAAGTGAGTAGCGAGTAAAAGTGATATTTTAACCCACATACATGGATTCTAAAGCTAGTGCCTTTTCCATGCTGCTCCCCAGGGCTCTTTCTTGTTGCTGGTCCTCTGCTCATTTTTCAATCTTCAAAAACCTTTTCCTTCTCACTGGTCAAATGGGAAGTATAACCTACAGTCACTATTTTTGTTCTATTTTCTCTGCCCTCTTCCCTTACTTGTAACATACTTCTGTGATGCTATGTAAGGGAATACCCTGAGTTTATGTGTGTTACCAATTGTTCGTAGTAATAATTGATGACATTGATATAGCACTTTGTACTGCATTGGACCCTCCCAACAACTGTGTATGAGTAACAAGTTGTTACCTCATGAGGTAACTGTATGAGGTACAAGTATTATCCCTATTTTATAGGGATAGAAAATGAGGCTAAAAGAGATTAATTTGCCCATATCACACAGTGAGTATCAGAAGAAAAATTTGAGCCCTTTTTGGAATACCTCATTGCCTTGAAATTAATTTCAGTAGTGACTTTTCTCTTCTAAATGATAGCCCATCAGACTCTTGAAGACAGCTGTACTGTTTATGCAAAATATCACTATTTCCTCTAATTAATTTATATATGGCATAATTGCAAATCCCTTTATCATTTCAGTTACTCTCCCCCTGAGCTCTTTTTTTGATTAAGTTGCTCTTCATAAGTGTGGCACTCAAGATTAAGACCAGAATTCCCAATGCAATCTGCTCAGAACCATCATCTTGATCATTCTGGGCACTGTACTTCTACAAAAACAGCCTAAGAGGCCATTCCCTTTTTTTTCTCCTGCCATTGGTGACTTATTACAATCTCTTGTGCCCTTTTTTTTTGGTGGGGGGGAGGCATTTGGGGTTAAGTGACTTGCCCAGGGTCACACAACAAGTAACTGTAAAGTGTCTGGTCTGAGACCAGATTTGAACTTAGGTCCTCCTGACTCTAGGACCGATACTCTATCTACTGCACCACCTAGCTGCCCCTGTTGTGCTCTGTTCTTGACTGTAAATTTAAGAGGTGAATAAAGAGGTCGAAGAGTAACCAAATATCAGGAAGGCTTGAAGAGTCAATAATCACAGCTAAAGAGGGAGCAGGAATCCAGGTGATCATTTGAAATTTCTATCAGAGGTCCACATAGGCAGGAGGAATCCCAGCACACAAAGTGAACCTGATCCCAAGGTCATTTGCTGTCAGTGATGCCTTTTATATTTGCCGCCCAGGCAGGAGCTTGTGTCAGGAAGGAAGGAAACATGCATTTATTAAGGTTGAGGTGTAAGGGCAGGAATATGGAAATAGTTAATAGTCGTATCAGGGGAAGCTTTCTGTAGCAATGGAATTTGAGATGCACCATAATGGTTTGGTGAGATTTAGATGAGTAGAGAAGAGGAGAGACAGAGTTCTGGGGTTGGGGAAAAGATAGAAGCAAAGGCCTAAAGAGTGAGCGTAGCATGTGCACAGACTGATAAGCAGAGTAATCTTAATAGAATAGAAAGTCTGTTGTGGAAAAGTGAGAGAGCAGTTTTGTTTAGATAAAATGGGGAAAGGATTTAGAGTCTTGAGCAATAGAGCGCTCTATGTGGACTTTATGGGCAGCAGGGCAGTGAGTCTAAGTTCCCAGGGGAATGATATAATAAAAGGAGTGTTTTAGGAATTGCTCTCATCATGTATGATATGTATTGGTCAGAGGAAACTGTTTCATTAATTGAGATTTGAAGTAGTAAGGCCTCGACTAGAATAGTGTCTTCAACAGGAATGGAAAGGAACAGATAAAATGACAAAGGATGATTTGGCCATAAAATACTGTTTACCCCTATTCCTGATGTATTTACAAGATAATTCCATCAACTTTTCAAGAAATTTTAAAGAAAAATTACTATATACTACACGAATAATTCTTAGAATTTGAAAGAGAAGTCACTCTACCAGACTCCTTTTCTGAGACAAACATAACCCTAATACCTAAATCTGGGAAGTATAAAGCAAAGAAAGACAAATATAGACCAAAATGTATTAATGAATATTGATTTTAAAATTTTGCTACAGAATCCTGGCAAATCATTCATTATGATCAAAATCGATTTATATCAGGGAGACAAGGATGGGTCAATACTAGGAAAACAATCAATATAATCATTTCAAAGACAAAATCATCCAAAGCTTACATGATTAGCAATAGATGTAGGGAAAAGATTTTGACAAGGTAGAATACTCATTTATGCTAAAAAACCCTATGAAACATAAGCGTAGAGGTGTCTTTTTTTTTTTTTTAAATATGACAAAAAGTTTCTAAACAGCATTATGGGCAATAGGGATACACTAGAACAGGGATTCTTAACCTGGGGTCCATGAACTTTAAAAAACATATATTTTTGATAACTGTTTAAGTATTATAATTAGTTTCTTTTGTAATCATATGTATTTTATTGTACATATTTAAAAACTTTTTTCTTGGAAGAGACCAAAGGCTTCACCATAATGCCAGATGGCCCCTGACACACCCACACCAAAAAAAATATGATAAGGACTCCTGAACTAGATACTTTCTCAGTAAATACATGAGTAAAGCAAGGATACAACTCTTTTTGCTGCTATTATCTTATATAGTTCTGGAAATGTTAGTTGTATCAATAAGACAAGAGAGAGTAATTAAAGGCACAAAGATAGTCAAAGACGTGACAAAACTGTTTGCTAATAACATGATGGTTTACTTAGAAATTACTTGGGAATTAGCAGTGACAGAATGAATATAGGAGGTGAGTTTTCAAAAATGACTATTCAGTCTCAAGTGAGAGTAACTTAGTTTGCCATAAATGATAAGTTTTGGAAGAAAATATTTCATCTTCAACCTAACATTTCATCATATTAATTTTGGGGGTAATGGTGGAAATTCTGGTTGGAAATAAATGGTACAGACCAGGTAAGAAACAAGAGCTCTGGTTATAGATCTGAAAGTGACAATCAGGGGAATTGTTTTGTTTTGTTTTTCCCACATTCCTTTTTAATACCTTCATAAATTGATTTTGGGGATAGAAAATGTAAAGGATGAAACCCCAACATCTTTAGCCCCTTAAAAATGTTCATCAATAGCAAATCACAAATAAATTTTTGACAGTGAAAAATACAGGGGGAAATGCAATTGGGAATGGAGGGACAAATAGTTTTTGTGACAAAGGCCTAATAACTATAGTTTCATCAACTAAGTATCATGGTTTTATATACAAGAGGAGATGGAAGGAAAGGAATATTTTAGTGCAAATACATCTCCCTTATGACTTTATGGCTATTACTGCTACTGAGCAAATGTGCTAAATTTTGAATCATGCTGTATTTTAAAATCATCTGTCGCTTAAATCATCATTGTAAGTGATAAGTATTAATATTTCATTGTTTTCTGAAAATTTTTTTCACTGACAGGTGAAGAAGGTTATTGTATATTTAGGCAGAGATAAAACAATGCAGCTCTTAGAAGAATTGGTGAGTGAACTTCAGCTTACAGATCCAGTCAGCTCAGGAATCACTCACATGGATAATCCACCATATTACCGCATTACTTCCAGTTATAAAATACCATCTGTCACCTCAGGTAAGAACTTATTTAATACTTTTATTACTCTGGCAATAGATATTTGATCTTTGATCCATTTATTCAGTACTAGTCTCTCTCCTGAGCTTAAGCCATACATTTCCAACTCCCTATTAGATATTTCAAACTGGCTGTTTCATAGGCTTCTTGAACTCAGCACATTCAAAGCTGAACTTACTATTTTTCCTCCAGCACATAGTCATCTTCCTAACTTCTCTCTTTCTGTTAAAAATGCCACATTTCCAGTCAACCAGGTTTACAGCCTAAATGTAATCTTTATTGCCTCACTCTCCGTTATCCCACTTAGTCAGTTGAGATATCTTGTCCTTTTTACATCTACTTCACATCTTGCATCCTTCCCTTCTCTCACTCTCCTCATATATTTATCATCCTAGTTTAGTTCCTTATCACTTTTCACCAGGATTCTTGAATAGATTACCATTTGGACTCTTGCCTCAAGTCTTTCCTGTCTAATTCACTCTTCACTAGGCAGCCAGAGTGAATTTCCTAAAGTATAAGTCATACCAAACTCCAGTGGCTCTCTATTTTCTCTACAATTAAATATAAAAATCCTTCTGTTTAGCTATTAAAGCCCTTCATAGCCTGATGCCAGCCTACATTTCTAGCCTTATTATACATTACTCTCCTTCCCATTCTCTGCATTCCAGATAGACTGATCTTGTTCACAGAGGAATTTCTTTCTTCTGTTTTTGTGTCTCTACCGGCTTTCTCTTTGCCTGAAATGCTCTCCCACCTCACTTCTGCCTCGCAGAATCAGTCCCTGTTTTCTTCAAAACTCAGTACAAGCATCACCTTCTACATGAAGCTTTTCCTAATCCTTATAGTTGGTAGTGCCCTTCACCAAAAATTAACTTGTATTTATTTTTATGTACCTGCTTAGATTTGTGTTATCCTCCCGATAGAATGTCAGGTTCTTGAGGGCAAGGATTTTCGTTTTTTAATTTGAACCCTACTTCCTAGCACGTAGGAGGTGCTGAATAAATGTTTGGTAATTGACTAGTAATGAGCTTTTCTGAATTTAGCCAAGCGAGTTCTCCAAAAAACTGTCATGTACTCCATCATGGACCATGCTAAAATCCTGTATAGGTTGGTAAGACCTTATTGTTGGATTCTACTGCCCCAAATTTCAGGAACCCAGACTCATCTCCATACCCTCTTGTGGTATCAGAGTAGTATCTTTCAAAAGGAAATCCATATTAATGGTAATTAACAGACTACCATTGAGAGACAGCACTAGCATGAGAGTAAGAAGACCTAGTAATCCCTCCTTCTACTTATGACCTATTTTACCTCAGACAAGTCATTCAACCTTCCTTGGCCTCAGTTGCCTCATCTTTAAAATGGGGGTGTTATTCTAAATTTTCTTTGAGGATTTCTTTCAGCTCTAGATCTGTGAATTAACGTGACTATATTTTGTATGAGTAATGAATATGATAACATATGAAGATTCTTAAGTTTATGGAAAAATTAGAATATTCACATGCCTAATACAAACTAGGATGTAGATTTATTCATATATCCCAAATAATTGTTTTAGAATGCTAAATTTAAAAAAAAATTCATAGTTAGTAGCTAAGCATTAAAATCAAGCAAACAAACATTTATTTGTTAAGCATCTGTGTAGGGCCAGACACTTTGCTAAGTGCTGGGGATATAAAGACAGAAAGGAAAGGGTCCCTTCCCTTCAAAAAATTTAGTCCCTACCTTAGAGGTATATACAAAACCTATAAAGTGCGTACAAGGAGACCTTGAAAGAGAAGCCCTACCAACTGATGGAATCAGGGAAACACCTGATGCAGAATCAGCCATTTGGTCAAAGTCTTGATGAAACCAAATAGTCTAAAGGGCAGTTGGGAGAAGGGAGTATATTCCAGTCTCAGGGGAAAAGTCAGCATAGAAGTGCAGTAATAGAAAAGGTCACGTCCTATGTGAGAAGTAGCAAGCAAGTAGTTGGCCAGTATAGCTGGACCATGGAGTGTGTGGATGGGAGAAGGCAGAATGGGTAGGCTAGGGCCAGGTTGTAAAAAGCTTTAAGTGCCACACAGAGGAGTTTTTATTTGATCTCGGACGATAATAGAGAGCCATGGCATAGTCAGACCTGACTTTAGAAAAAATCATTTTAGTGGCTATTTTGAGGGTGGATAGAAATGGAGGGAAACTTGAAGCAAGGAGACTAATTATAAGTCTATTACAGTAGTCCAGACAAGACATCATGAGGGCTTGAACTAGGATAGTTAACTGTATAAATGGAGAGAATGGATGTTTGGAAGAGATTTTGTGGAACTGGAAATGTCATCTGATAGGATATATAGGATAAGAGTGTAAGGAGTTGAGGATGACAAGTAAGATTTCATACCTTGGTGACTAGAAGTAATAGGGGTGGGGAATGATAATGAGTTCTATTTTGGACATACTAACTTTGAGGTGCCTCTAAGATACCCAATTTCAAATCTATAATAAGCAGTTTGAGGTGTTTAAGTGGAGCGCAGGAGAGAATCTAGGGTTGGATATGTGAATCTAGGAATCATCTGTATAAAGGTGGTAATTGAACCAGTGGGAAGTATTGAAGTCACCAAATTAGAGTATAGTGAGGAAAAAAAAAAAAGAAGGCCCTGCATAGTCTTGGAATTCAAGTGGGTGTGGCATGGATGATAATCCAGCAAAAGAAAGTGAGGTTTGGTGTGACACAGAGAAGGAGAGAGCCAAGAGAGATCAGTGTTATAAAGCACTACATGCGTTATAGCATGCACAGGAACACATATATTTGCATACACAGAACCAAACACTATATTATGTTTGAGTTAAATGAACATACCATTTACTAGCCTCAGGGATAAATTGAGAATAAAAACCCATCTAGGCTATTTACAGATCAGTTTTCTGTTTGATTTTTTCCAGATAAAACTGTTCAACAGCCAAATAAAATTTATGCCCACATTCTCAGCTAGGTCATGGAGTAATATTTATGTATTATTCACTAATTATATAACATTATGTAATCTTCACTTTTTAGATTATATACACTCTTATAATATGTAGATACTAGTACTTTTCATTCTGATTTATAGGAACCACTTCCAGTAGCAATACAATGGTACCTCCTACAGATGGCAGCCTCGACAATAAGCACGTGAAAGACAACACTGAGGAGAGGTATGTATTCTATGCTAATACTTGTGGTTCTAATTATTAAATTAATTAGTCCTTTCAGGATAATTGGTGTTGAATGATGCATTACAATCTATATTCTTTCATTCAGAATTCTTAAGATAAATGTGTTAATATAGTGGAAATTTTTCTGTTTGTTAAGTTTGTAAAATATATTTTAAAATAACTTAAAATATTATCTATCAAAAAATTCTGTCATATTTTGTTTTGCTTTTAAATTTAACCTTCCACGCCTTTGCACAACAGATATCTTTATATCTGCATTCTACTTGATAATTATTTTTAAGATAAGAATCTTTAGTTAACTTTTGGCATAAAAGCCTTAGTTTTTTAGTTTTCAGGAGAAAACTAAGAAAATGTAGTTAGTTTCTGTTATTATTCTGCAATATGTATTTTTATGCATAGAAAATGAACATTAAAATAGGCGTACTGTTTTACTGTGATTTGTGCCAAATCACTAACGGAGATACTTTTTTCTGTAGCTATGTTCATCTAGACATCTACAGTGGACTGAACAGCAATTTAAATCGACAACATCACAGACTAGAATCTCGTTACAGTAGCAGCTCAGGAGGGTCATATGAAGAAGAGAAAAGTAATGCTTTCAAGTCATTTTCTCTTTAATTATCAAATATTATAAGTAAAAATAGAAAATTATGTTTATTTAAAGTGTTAAAAGTGTATTTCTATAACATTAAGTCTATAATTCTATTAACATATATAGAATATTCTTAGTAAATACATTTTCAACAAATTGTCAATTACAATAGAAGTGTCCTAACTTAATCGGTGACATCTTCATTTTAGGGGAAAAAAATGTTGCTGTGTTATTAAGTAGATTAAAAATTGAGACCCATTTTATTGACTATAGAAAAGTCAATATTTGAGACTAAAGAAAAGTCAAAATAATAAAGCTATTGATTTCTCCAAGGTATAATTAATTATTGCAAACTTATAGTACATTCTAAAAAATTTTGTAAGAAATTATGTTCATTTATCAGTTGTTGTTATGTAATATAATGAATGAACTCTCCTCTCTACTCTCCTTGCTTGTGAGAAGGAATTCTATGAAAATCTCACCCCATCCTTCCCTGAGGAACTTAGGCACGTGTTTACTGGTTCTTATAAGTTTTAGGGTGAAATTAGAGGAGATTCCATCCTTTGCTGTAAGAATAGTATTGTGTGAAGAAAGAAGTTAACTGATTTAGAATTATTGAACTTTAGAGCTTGAAGACATCGTGGATTTCCAGTCCCCCTTCATTTTACAGATAAAATGAAGTAATTTGTCCAAGTTACAGAAAATTTAATCACTGTTGGAATTAAAACTGTGTGACCTAATGCCTTATCAAGTTCCTTTGACGTTGTACCACATTACCCCAATGTGATTTTTATGCCTCTGATTCTACAAAATTATGAAGTGGAAAAGTACAGATAAGCGTCACTTATAAAGCATACAAGTCTTTTCATTCTTATTTGAGAGTGTGAAATTTTAATCATTTCAATTAATGTATAAATTCTAGACATTTAACAACATAAAATATACAATTTTTTGAATCACTTATTTGGGAATTTTAAAATGTAGAAAAATATATTTTCTTATTCTAATAAAAACATGAATTCTTTTCTTTTTGCAAGTATGAACTGAATGACAAATTGAAACTACCATAATCCTAAAATTAGAATATTACAATGTTTAGAACTAGAAGGGGATGGGGCAGCTAGGTGGAGCAGTGGATAGAGCACCGGCCCTGAAGTCAGAAGGACCTGACAAATCTGGCCTCAGACCAAACACTTGACACTTACTAGCTGTGTGACCCTGGGCAAGTCACTTAACCCCAATTGCCTAAAAAAAAAAGAACAAAAAAACTAGAAGGGGACTTAGAATTGGCTAAGACAACTTTTTACGTAAGAGAAACTGGGGCCAGTGACTTGACCTCTTGGAGTCAGTTCCTTATATTACCTGTCTTTCCTTTTCTCCTGTCTTCCTGCTTGATCTTTCATTCCAAACAAAAATAATAACTTGTTTAAATAGTAAGTGCTTAACAGTTATTGATAGATGCCCTCTTTCATTACGAACTATCTGGTTTTCTATTTTCCTTATGCAGTGGCATAGCCAGGATTACATAAATTGTTTTCCTCATTTTTCAGTGAGTTTTTTCCACCGTACTTCCTACCTCTGTGCACTAGGATAAGATTCAGTATAATGCAACAGCTACCTAAGATCATTATTGAAGTCCGAAAGGACCGTGTTATAAGGCTGCTTTACCTGTAAAGAGGGCTTCTGCTCCCCAAATTTGTTAAGTTCCAATGTAATGATAGTTTCATCTCTTCACAGAGAACTCCCAGATACATACATGCTCTCTCCCTCTCTTGTTCTTGCATTCTCTCTCTCTCTCTCTCTCTCTCTCTCTCTCTCTCTCTCTCTCTTTCTCTCCCTCCCTCCCCCTTTTTCTCTCTCATTTCCTTCCTGAGCTCCAGTCACACATCACCAATTGCTTGTTAGATATTTTTAACTGGATCTGCCATAACCATCTTAGATTCAACATGCCCCAAAGAGAACTTATATTTCCCTCCAAAAACACCTCTCTTCTTAAATTCTCTGTTTCTGTTGTGGACACCACCATCCTTCCCATCACCCAGGTTCCTAACTTTACTGTCATGCTCTCGACTCATTATTCTAGCTCCCTACATATTTAGTCAGTTGCCAAGTGTTTACTAATTCTACATTCACAGTGCTTTTACATTTCCCCCCTTCTCTCCACTCACGTGGCTACCACCATGATTCTTGCCTTCATCACCTGTCATTTATACTATTGCTATAGATTCCAAATTCATCTCATTCCTTCAAGTGTCTTTACCCAAAAATTATATTCTTAAAGTACAGGTCTGCCTCCTCCTCAGTAAACTCCAATAACTTAACCTAATTGCCTCTAGGATCCAGTACAATTCCTGTTTCACTTTTAAAACCCTTTACGACCTGACTTCAACCTACCTGTCCAGGTTTATTAGAGTTCTACCTTTCTTCCCCTCTATGCTCCATCCATACCAAACTTCTTGCTTACACACACGTCTTGTGTCCATGCCTTTGTTTCTTCATGCCTTGAATTCACCGTTTGATCATCCTACATCTCAGAATCCCTGGCTTCTGAGAGCTCAGGTCAAGAGCATCCTCCGTGGGAGATTTCCTCATCCCTTCAGCTGCTAGTGTCTCACTTCTGACTCTGTGTCTGAGTTGTTGTTTCCCAGGTAGAACATGAACTTCTTGAGAACAGGAACTGTTTAATTTATGTCTGTTTAATTCCCAGCACCAGGGGTAGGGCTTGCAACCTAAGAGGTGCTTAATAAATGCTTTTCCATTGAATATTTTGGTACAAAAAGTGAACCTAATATAATAAATCTGTGTTAATAGTAGTAAAAAGAAAAGTGAATTTGGACACAGAGGATCTAGGTCTGAATCTCAGCTCTGATACCTAATTCTCTGTGGCCATGAATAGGTCGCTTTCTCTGGTTCAGAGTTTCCTTATCTGTAAAATGGATAAGATTAACTAGTTGACCTTTAAGATTCATGAACTTTTGAGGCAGCTAGGTGGTATAGTGGATAGAGTGCCGGCCCTGGAGTCAGGAGGACCTGAGTTCCAATCCGGCCTCGGACATTTGACGCTTAGTAGCTGTGTAATCCTGGGCAAGTCACTTAACCCCATTGCCTAGTGGAAAAGGGGGGAAAAAAAGAGATCTGTGAACTTTTTCTTCTCAAATTAGCATTTTTGATTATGTATTTATGCCTAACTTTTTCTGGCAAAAGTGTCTTTAATTTTGTGAGGGGCTCTTTTCTATTTCTTTTGAGTAATGTGTAGCTAATGTGTAGCTGATATAAAACAAATGATGTGTAAAAGGAAAATAATTTTATTTTGATAGGTGATTCAATGCCACTTTACTCTAATTGGCGACTGAAAGTGATGGAACATAATCAAGGAGAGCCCCTGCCTTTTCCTCCTGCTGGAGGGTGTTGGTCACCATTGGTAGATTATTTGCCTGAAACTTCATCACCTGGATTATCTCTTCACAGGTAAAATTTAGAGTGTAATTCTTTATGAACTTTAAAAACTTTCAATTTTCTAAAGATGCAAAATGGACCAAACATAAAGGATCCTAAACATAGAATTCTGAGTGTAATCAACTAATATGCATCATTAAATCAATGAGTAAATATTTATTAAGCTCCTACCAAGTGCCAGGCAGTATGCTAAGCACTGGGGATAGAGGCAAAAGACAGTCCCTGCCTTCAGGGAGTTTACAGTCTAATGGGGGAGACACGATGCAAACAAACATTCAGAATAAGCTATATACAGGATAAATAGGAAATAATATACAGGATAAATAGGAAATAATTAACAGAGGAAAGATGATAGAATTAATAGGGTTTGGGTAAGGCATTCAGGTAAAAAATGGGATTTTAATTGGGATTTAAAGGAAGCCAGGGATGTCAGTAGTCAACAGTGGAGGAGGAGAGCTTCCAAGGCATAGGGGAAAAGTCAGAAAAAAATACCTCAAGCCAAGACATGGAGTGTCTTGTTTGTGGAACAGTCAGGAGACCAGGGTCACTCTGTCGAAGAGTACCTATTGGGGAGTAAGGTATAAGGAGACTCGGGGGCGGGAGGGGGTTGGGAAGCTAGGTGGCGCAGTGGATAGAGCACTGGCCCTGGAGTCAGGAGGACCTGAGTTCAAATCCAACCTCAGACACATAATATTTCCTAGCTGTGTGAGTGTGGGCAAGTCACTTAACCCCCAGTTGCCTCACAAAAAAAAGAAGAAGAAGAAGACTGGAAAGGTAGTAAGTAGGGGCTAGGGCTATGAATCCCGAGCAGAGCATTTTGTATTTGATCTTGGAGACAGTAGGGAGCCACTGGAATTTATTGCATGGTAGAGTGATGGGATAGGACCTGTGCCTTAGGAAAATCGCTTTGGTTGCTGAATGGAGTATGGATTGAAGTGGGGAGAGACTTGAGGCAAGCAGTTTTTAAACTTTTTAAAATTATTTAAACTTTATGGTAACAATTTACTACATCTAAAAAATAACTGCTTTTATAAGGGCACTATTATTTTGACTCTGAATTTGTTACTGCATTTAGCAGAATTTTGGTGTAGCTATTATATCAGAATATTTTAGCAAATGATAGAATTTGGGAGCTTAGTGATATAATTGCTTGTATTGTTTTGTGACTTTTGCTTTTCTTTTTATTAATAATTTGCATTTATTTTGTGAGTGAGGTTATTGAAATGTTTTACATACCTTCACAAAACTCATGGAGTTATTGGGTTTGCTCTGTAAAGTATTAATTGTATCCATTGCCTTTCTTAGGTGTAACGTAGCAGTGATCCTTTTGACTGACCTGATCATTGATCATAGTGTGAAGGTGGAATGGGGAAGCTATATACACCTTCTTCTGCATGCAATTTTTATAGGTAACACAACATTTCTTAGCTTATGTTTCTCAACAGTAAAATGACAGATACGTGGGTACATATGTATGTATGTGTATATGTATACAAGTATAATTACACAATACATAGACGTGCATGCACAGCATATACAACAAATATTAACTGGTTTAAGTTTTTAAATTTTGTACAAAATTATACTCTAATGCATTTATCTTGTTTTTCTCCATTTTCATGTTTTCCATTCTCTTTTTACTTGAAAATGTTGTTAGAAGAAATTGTATTCTTGGAGGCAAGGCTTCTTTTTAGAAAACTTTCTTTCTTAAAAGTTTTAGAATAACTTAAAGACCATCTGATCCCAAATGGCCACTATTTCATGAGGCATACAGTTTTACAATTTTATGAAATAAATATAATTTAAAATATTTATATTCTCTCCCTCAGTTCTGTTTTTTAAATCTTCAGATTTTTTTGAAGAATATATTGTCACAAATTTTCCAGAAATAGTAGTTGACATATATTCTTTCATTATTGCCTACCAAGTATTTTTATAACCTACTTTTTTAAAGGAAGGTAGCCCTTTTTTTTCTTTCCCAGCTTCTTTTTTCGAAAGTTCTAATGTTCTCAAGGGGAAAAGAGCACATCCAGTACCATCCTCCACTCTTATTTTCCCAAAGAATCCCTCTAGAACTTTCAGTGAGTCTCAGTCTAAACTCTTAGTGACTTAGGGGAAACACTGATACTCTGTGGACAGAAGGTAGTAGTTGGTTTCCCAGTCCAAGTTACTGTGTCTCTGAATAAGCTATTGAAGATGCTGATTGCATTAATGAAATCTATTTCCCTGAAAACATGGTACAGATACATTTAATACTTATGAAACCAGATAAGCCTCCTTGTTTATGCATAAAAACATAGAATAAACTTAAAACATGTGACCCTTTTTCTTTTTTTCTACAAACTTGCAAAATCAATAAATAGTAATATTTTAATATATAAAGATCACAAAGTATTATATATGAAACTATAAACTTCTGTCACATAGTTGGGTTTTTCCAGTGTATATTAAATTTAACATGATAGTTACAAAGCTGTCTTGGTTCTCAGTATCTCCTATGTATTTTTTAATGTTTCAGTGATGCTTTTTTCTTTTTTGCATCACTGTCACTACCTTCCACTTCCTTTTGACTAATATCTCCCATAGAAGCCCTCCCTTATAACAAATACATTAGTCAAGGAAAGCAAATGCACACATTGACCATATCTTAAAAGATATGCCTCATTCTGTACTTTAAACTCATGGAGTTTTAACTTTAATCTCTGCTATGAGACAAGTGCAATGTTTTCATCATCAATTTTCTTAACTATTAGCCATGGCATTGATCAGAGCTCTGGAGCCTTTCAGAGTTTCCCTTTACATTATTTTAGTCTTTATATAGACTGTTCTCCTATTTCTGTTTCTTAATTCTGTATTAGTTCATACAAGACTTCCCAGGTTTCTTTGAATCCACTCTGATCCTATTTCTTCACGATATTTTTAACATTCATTCTATTCCACTTGTACTTTAATAGTCTTGCTCATCTGAGAAATAAGTTTTCATTAGCTTTTCCTAATCCATTAATTAAATATTGCTTATAAAAGCTTTAAAACCAAGACTTTATATCTTTTTAAAAAAAATTCATCTTATCAGATTCAAACTTATTTCTAACTCTCGCTGTCATCCAGTGCTAGCTCTCACTTCCAGCTTTTTGTTCTCTGTGAGCTGATAAACATGTTACTTATGCCTTTTCACAGTCATTGATTAAAAATGCAAAATAGCCCAAACCCAAGTACCCTAGAACACTTCACTGGGGACCTACTTCTGACTTGGCATCAAACCATTACTGACTTCCTTTCAGACCAAATCATTTAGCTGAGAAAGTTCTGTGGCTTGTGGAGTAGCAGAAATAGTAAGAGACAGAATTGGGACTGAAATCCACATCTTCTGACTTTAAGTTCTTTCCACTCCACCATCTCTCACTGATTACAGGGCTGTTCTTCATCTTCCTACAAGAGATACATTATGCTTAACAAAGAATTTTTGAAAGTTACTTAAATTCTGTTAAAAAGTACAAGTATTTTTTTGTACCTGTTTGTATACATTGAAGGAAACAGACCAGGAAATAATGTGTTAGACTTTTAACTGCTAGTTAGAGGTGGCATTACAAACAAAACACTAATAAAACATTGAAAAATAATAGGTTGAAAGAATTGTGATTTGTGTTTTTAATGCTTTTAAAGGTTTATTTTGTAGAGGTTTCAAGTAACGAGTTTAGTAGTGAAGGTAATTGATATAATTATGTATGTAATTAGTGGTTTTCTTTTCTTGGTTGATTATTATGTCTGCTTTCTTTTCTAGGGTTTGACCACTGCCACCCTGAGGTATATGAGCATTGCAAACGCCTGCTTTTGCATTTATTGATAGTAATGGGGTCCACCAGTAATGTCCGAACTGTTGCTTCGGTCCTTCTCAGGAATAAGGAGTTTAATGAGTCCAGGGTGCTTACTGTCAGACAGTCTGCACATTTAGACTATACTTTCACAGGTAATTGAAGTTTTACTTACTTCAAAACGTGGCGGGCATGGTCTGTGGTGATTTCGCTTTTTTGTTTTCTCATGATCCTCACCCTCCTTCCCCTCACTTCCTTTCAGAATTTAAAAGTTCAGGAAAATCCCATGAGTTTGGAATTTTGGAGTAGGGAAAGCAAACTTGACACTGAAAAATTGGAATCATCAAATACTTTTAAAGAAAATTAGTTTTGTTATAATTAAGTGCCATTTTTCGCCTGGACCTAGGATTCCACTGATGTAACTAACTCCAAATGAGGAACTTCCTCTACCAGTGCAAAAGCGCAATTTATCTGAAACTCAGAATCTCAGAATCTGGGACACTGAGAGGATAAGTGACTTGTCCAGTGCCACATTGCCGGATGTGTCACAGCCAAATCTATTTAAAACAAGTCTGGCTGACCATCTATCCTTTGCACTACATTGCCCCGATTAAGCACCACAGTATTTAATATTTTACTTTACCATTATATATAATATATGTAAAATAGTAAGAAATAAGTATTAAGAAGCAAAAGGAAGTGACAGTTACACCTTATAATAACTCATCATTGCACAACATCATAAAGATAAAAGAACTAATAACTTCCTTAACCTTTAGATTAAATTTACACTGAAGGGATACCTCATTTTTGAACCTTTGATTTGAAGTTTTTACTGAACTGGGTGGCTTTTATTTTTTGTGTTGGACTTTTAAAATTGCCTTATTCTTTTAAGCTTTTTATTAATTAAGAATTATTCTGACTTACAAATTCTGAACTAATAGGGCCTGATATAATGAAACTTTAACATAAAATTTATTTCATCCCTAGTTTTTATTTACAAAATTTTATTTCTATGATGTCTAGTGAATTCATAATATGACTTTATTATCTTTTACCATTCATTAGGACTCTCAAAATGATACAACAAAAATCCTAAAAATGACCCAGAACTTTGTAATTAAAACTTTCTAGAGTTCCTCTCATACCAAATACATTGTTAATGTTCACTGATGCTTTTAAATTTATTGAGAAATTTGATATTTTGATTGATTCTCTTTAAAAAACCTTAGTAGATTTAAATGGAGACATATTTTAATTTATATTAAAAGTTTTATTGCAAAAATGTAATAAATCCTTTTGTCCCCAGAGGTATAGAATAAATCTGTCCTCAGACACTAAACGATTGTTAAGCTACAGACCTGTTGTTTATTTGGGGGTTTTGTTGTTGTTGTTGTTGTTTCCCAAGTGGGGTCAGGGATTTAATGCATCTAGCAGCAGTATTACAGATTAGAAGTGTTTTTCAAGAATTGATCAGGTCTGTCCCATGTCTCTGGGCAGAACTACTCTGTGAAAAAAAAAATATGAATGATATTAAATATTAATTTAATAATGTTACACTTATTTTATTCCAAAAACATGGTAGATCCTTTCGGCCTCTATGACATAGAAGAAACCTCAGTGCCCCCAGGTACCCTAAGTCTGTGAGTTACAGACCCATTTCTGATCTGCGTTGGTTGGGGGATTTTCTACTCCAGAAGTTCTTATGAAATCATAGCTTTGCAACACAAAATATTTTAATTGTTTTAATTACTATGGATTTATTTTAGATAAAATAAAAGTAGCACAACATATAATTATAATAAAATTATTTTATCTTTGAATTTGGTAAACTTCCGAGAATTCTGGGGAGTTGACCATGTCAACATTCCCCAGGAGGTGGCAGTAACACCCTGTTGTTCAGCGTTTCATTCTGGATGGAGACCGTGTTATTCAGAACTCAGTTTAATTTAGCAAATGTGGTGCAAATATAACCTCCAGCATGTGCCCAGACAGATCGACCTTTGAGTATGTTCCAGTTGTCCCAACAGAAACTAACAGCTTGAATTTTTCAAGCATGAGAAGAGAGTCTTCTCTGTTGTTCCTGATGACGATTTTCTTCCAACAGGCGTTAACGACTTTATGCCCGATTACCAGCCCTCCCCCATGACAGACTCAGGGCTTAGCTCCAGTTCTACCTCTTCTAGTGTCAGCCTAGGAAATAACAGCTCGGCCATCTCGCACCTGCACACCGCTCTTCTGAATGAGGCAGACGTTTCAGTAGAGCAGGATGAAAAAGTAAAAGCACTCATGGAGTTCATCACCTCGAGGTAATGTTCGCCATTCTTGCCGTCATAGAAATGCGTTTGTTACATAGTACTCACATTTTGATCCACAGTTGATGTTTGCTGATTAATGTTTATTTGAAGTACACAGGTATGTATGTATTACAGTCTTTTCTAAAAGTGTATGATTGGCCTACAGATATATTACAGTAACACTTTATCATATGAGCTGGATAAATTAGAGGAATTTCCCCTAGAAATTAGAGGAATGAGTATAACATATGATGAAAATTCCTTTTTCAGTAACCATATCATTAGCTAATAAACATTTACAATGTCTGCTGTATCCAAAGCTAGGTATTGTTAGGGACATGTAAGATTGGTCCTTGACTGTAAGGAATTTGCAATCTACTCAGGGAAATAAAAATTTCTAATGTTAAGTAACAACATAGAGTATTTGGTTATTTGCCATTTTTATCTCATCTAAAGGATTTGAGGTTACTTTAAAAATTTAACACACACAGAAAGGGAAGGTTAAAAGTAGCAGTCTAGCTCACATTCATATAGTGCTTTGCAATTTAAAAGACATTTTCTTCACAATTAACCTGTAAGATTTAGTCCGTAGTGCATTTTATCATGTGCTTTGGATGGATGACAAAAGTGAGGTACAAAGACATTGATTCATTTTCCCCTGTTTAATTAATGTCAGAAACAAAATTAAATAGGACAGAGAATACATATTACCATATATGTGGCATGAATTAGTTACTGCAATTAGATACTTAATTTAGACCTGAGTTTCTTGGTAAATAAGGAAAAGAGGGAAATGGTTGGATTTTATAGGTTTTATCATTTCATTAAAGGAAACATGATTTAATCTCCGTAGACAGATTTTTTCTTATCATTAAATACAAGATAAATGATAGTTAAATACAACAAAATAAGAGATGGGACAAGATAGTAAATTAAACCTTTATCATATGCCAGGCACTGTGTGTTAGGTCCTGGCGATACAAGTGCAGAGAATAAAACACTCTCTGCTCTGCAGGGGTGCTCATTTTAGATGGGGAAGCCACAAGTATATGTGTTAGTATGTACAGTATGAAGTAGATTGGTACAAAGTAGGTAGTTTAATTCAGGGTAGTTTGGGAGGGAGGGCTCTAACAATTTGTGTTATCAGTAAAGGCTTCATGTAGTTCATGGTGTCTGAGCTGTATCTTAAAGGAAGACAGGGATTCTGGGAGGTGAATGTGAGGAAGGACGATGTCCCAGCATGTGGACCATCCACTACGAAGATTTACATGTGCTAGATGAAGCGTCATGTGTAAGGAACAGAGAGAAGGCCAATGGCAACTGAGTCTGTTTGTGATTGACCCTTTCCCACTTGTCATAAACTGCTAGGGTACTACTCTCTCCCCACCTCTGACTCCCACAATTGTACTAAAATCACAGTGGAATCAATGAAATTACCTTTCTCAAGCCAAATATTTTTACATAATGAATGAAGAAAATAGTTAAATGTGCTACATAATCACTACTTTAGGATCAACAACATTAGGAACACAGGAACTTATTTCTATGTTTTATTTACAGAAAAAGAGGGCCTCTTTGGAACCATGAAGATGTTTCTGCCAAGAACCCCAGTATTAAGAGTGCTGAGCAGTTGACTGTTTTTCTAAAACATGTGGTGTCTGTGTTTAAACAATCAAGCTCAGGTATCTTTCAGTAAATATTTTATAAAATTCCTACTTTTTAAGTTATGAACTTGTTTTGAAAATTAGAATTACTGGTGACTTACTTTCTTTAAAAAAAAAAGAAAAGAAAAACCATACCACTTGTGTTTTAGCATTTTATCTTTTAACATTACTGTCATCTCCCAATTATGCCTGGCCACCCATAGATCCTTTCTTTTAAAAAATAGAATAAAGCAACAGATCAACACATTTCCCATATCTGAAAATGTATGCCTTATTCCACACCTGTGGTCCACCACCTTTCTTCCAAAAGGCAAAGGGCATGATTTATCAGTGGTTCCCTATTGATGACAGTCATGATAGGTCCCTGCACTGCATTGATCAGAATTCTCAAATCTTTTAATGTTTTCCTTTGCATTGTTGTTGTCATTGTGTAAATTGTTCTCTTAGTTCTACTTACTTGGCTTTCTGTCAGTTCATATGTTTCCCCAAATTTCTCTGAATTCTTCCTGTTATTTTTTAATGGCCTAATGCATATTCCATTATGTTCATATACTGTAGTTCAGTCATTCTCTAATCAATGGCCAGCCACATTCCTTCTACTTCTTAGTAAATCAAAAAGTACTGCTACAAATATTTTTGCATATATGAGACTATTCCCTCTGCCTTTGACCACGTTGGGATAGATGCCTATTAGTGGTAGTACTAATATCAAAAGTTAGCCCACTTTTTGGTTATCTGTAATTTAAGACATAACTGAGGCCTGCATCGAAAATAGTTTTCTTTAAAAAAAAAAATTTACACCTAGTAGCAGTAATAGACTTTAATGTACAATATTTATTGTCTTAAAAATAAATGGAGTATTAAGGCATCTTTTCAAAACAAAGGAAATACGTATTTAAAATTCAGGACTTCTCTTCTTTGATTTGTGACTGATCATAACATAAAATTTGTCAAATTACCATGCCATTATCCATAGGTAATTTTCATTACTGTATATCATGAAAGAATTGTGTTAGAGGTACACAAAATAAACTTTATTAAGGTTTATAATTTCTTAGTATTTTAGTTTTATCCTAAAATACTTTTTTCTTTTTAAAATCATGGTTTAAATTATTTAAGTACCTGAAGGTTTATTGCTCGGGGAATTACAATAATTGAAAGAGTCTAATGGTAGAAAAATAAGAGGACAAATACTTTGTGATTCTAAACTGACAGTTTTGAAAAAAACAATTTGTTTCATTTATTTTCACAGCAAGATTTCAGTTGGAGCATCATCTTAGTGAAGTCGCTTTGCAAACAGCACTTTCTTGTTCTTCTCGACACTATGCTGGGAGATCTTTTCAGATTTTCAGAGCCCTGAAGCAGCCACTTTCTGCAAATACACTTTCAGATGTTCTTTCTAGACTTGTAGAAACTGTAGGTGATGCAGGAGAAGATGCCCAGGTAAATGTATCTCAGTTTAATCACTATTGTAGAGTAGCTATGGGGGAATTAACATATTATAATGCGTTTGTGGAATTGGAATATCAAACGTAGAAAAAACAAATAGCACTTTTAAAATTCGCGATCCAGTATATTAGCATAACAGCAAGAAATGTTACACCATAAGTGGTGAAGTGATTATATACCTACAAAATCTCATCTTCTCTCCTCTAATTGGGTCAGGAACACTTTCTGAAGAAGCTTTTATTTTATTTGATTAATATCCTGAAAAAAAATTACAGGGAGAGTGGGTAAAGGGAGGTAGGGACTTTTCTTTAAATTTGTAGAAGAATAGATTTCATATTCTGATAACAGGAAACATCTGAGCTGAGGAACGCATTGCATAATAAGGAAATCAGCATGCATACAATTAAAATGACACTTTTATTACCTTGCTTTTAAAGTCAATTTATGCCATCGGCTTGATAGATTTTTATATCTGTAGAGAGCATGCTGTTCAAGAAAATCTAAATTATTTTTAAAACTAAATTTTCCCTACTTTGTGATGTTTATACTTTTCTGTCTTAATATTTCATTGCGATTACTTCTTTCATAGCATAATATATTCAAAAACTTATGTCCTCTTCCAGGGTTTTGTGATAGAACTCCTTCTCACTTTGGAGTCTTCAATTGATACGTTGGCAGAAACCATGAAGCATTATGATCTTCTTTCTGCCCTTTCTAAGTAAGAATTTATCATCCAATAATTTTACATATAAAAATCATAAACACACTGCTCATTTTTATTTTATGAGAAATATTACATAAAATAATTAATTGTATTTTTGTTTAATATTTAATATAAACGATTTTTTAAAAATTGTCATAACTTCTAATCTAATATGTTGTGCAGGCCTCATGTATAGATATGTGCCTGAATATGTGTGTGTCTACAACAGGTAAAAGGATGTTTTAATGATTCATTTAATAGTAGAATTAATCATTTGAAAAAAAATTAGGAAATCAAAGGATAGTTCTCAGTTACTGATTTTTTTTTTATATTTTCCCTTCTACAGTAAAATTGTTCATTTCCAAGTTTAGAATAATTCTATATAGTCCTTTAATATAGTACTTCTGAAATGTAATTTTATAAATGAAATATTTTGTCTGGAAATAGAGCTTTGTAAATAAGCGTTTTTATAGTATATAGTAATAGCAGTAGTCTCCTGCACTGAGTGAAAGAGAAATTTGGATTAAGAAAAAAGATTTCCTGATCCACTCCTCAGTGCCCTGCAAAAAAGCCTGAAAACTCTTGTAGGTTCTTTACTCCTAATACAGGACAGAAGTAAGTCCCCAGAGGAGGAAAAGCATGGAATAATAACCTATAAGATGGGTTTCATGTAGAGAAATATGGGAGTGAAGTGAAGCTGGGAAGACAGTTTGGAAGACCAGAGATGCCAACCTTCTCTTTTTCTGACTTCAGGGAATTGTTCTTGTTCATTCTCTCCCAACTCGGAAAGTCCTTAATCCTTTTTGCAATTAGAAATCAGATTACCTAATTTACACCCTGATTAAGTTTTTCTTTTAATTATTTGATCTTATGTGATTAATTGTGTTTAATGCATAAAAATCTGTATCCTCCTGTATTTTGGGTCCATGGTCAAGCTAAGGAGGCCTGGTCCTGATTTGTTATACAATTGGCATGCATTGCTTAATAAGGCAGTACGCTCAGAAGCTTGAACCTTTGTTTCCTTAAGTCACTACATCTTTCCTCTGCCACAGTTTCGACTTAATTTAACAAGCAGGGAAGAGCTTTTTTTCTTTTTTTCCTTTTTAGAAGGATTGATGAGATTAATTTGGCAGTGATGTGTAGGAGGGATTTGAAGTGGGGAGAAACTAGAGGTAGGGAGGCTATTGTACCAATTTTGGCAAAAAGTAATTCAGTCCTAAAGTAGGGCTGTAGCAGAACTTAACAGAGGGTTGGATTGAGACCCATTAGGAATTAGAATTAGGAGGAATTTGATTTACATTTGAGAAATGGGTGGAGGGAGTCAAAGTTATTATTGGGATTTTGAGTGTTGATGTCTAGAGAATGTTGGTGTCATCAATAAAAATAGGAAAGTCTGAAAAAAAAGAATTTAAAGAAAATATTAATTGGGTTTGTAGAATAAGCTACAATTAGGTCACTTAGTGCTGCCTAGTGATAGTAGACCTAATAAGATTCAGGCTGAGGACAAAGTTGGTCATATATACAAAGTGACATTCTAGTTTTTAAATAATGTGATTAAGTATCATCCTGTTGCAGAAAAAATAAGAAGAAATTTCTCCCTGAGCCAAACATAAGCCCAGGCCAAGAAAAGTGATACTAGAGGAGAAGAGAAAAGGCACCTTTCTCTCCATTTTGAAGAATCTGTTCTTGATTCATTAGTTTGGGTAACTTTTTGTTAGGACACTATCTCAATTAATGCAGATTTTTTGCCACTACTGCTAGTAACAATAATAATCATGACAGCATTCATATAGTGTTTTAAGATTTATAAGTATTATATTACATACATACATCTCATTTTATCTTCACAACAATCCTGTTAGGTAGGTGTTATCATTATCCCCATTTTGTAGAAGACGAATCTGAGACTGAGAGCAGTTGATTTGCTCAGGCCTGGGACCACACAACTAGTAATATCTGAGGCAAGATTCAAACTCTGGTTTTCCTGAGTCCAAATCCAGTTTTGCCACCTAGCTGCCATAATTTGTAACTTAGAGGGTTGTTCAGAGCACTGAGGGTTTAAATGACCTACCCATGGTCATTGAGCCAGGATGTGTGAAAGGCAGGCCTTCTTCCCAGCTCATCTTAACTCCAGTGTCAACCTTTTATCCCTTCTGCCCTGTTTTCATGCTTTGGGAAAATGTTTTTCTTGATATGAAGGAATTTAACATCCTTAAGCAAACATTTATCTTTGTAGATACATATTGTTCTTTCTAATGTAGATTTTGAGACTATAAGCAAAATTATGATTTACATGCATATCTTATACCCTTTTTTGTTTTGTTTTTTAGAACCTCATACCATGATCCTGTCATGGGAAACAAGTTTGCAGCTAACAGGAAAAGCACTGGACAACTCAATCTAAGCACAAGCCCTATTAATAGTGGCAATTATTTGAGCTATTACAGCAATGCAAGAAGTAACTCTTTGAGACTAAGTTTAATTGGTGACCGAAGAGGTGACAGGCGAAGGAGTAACACACTGGATATAATGGATGGACGGATAAATCATGGTGGCAGTTTAGCAAGGACTAGAAGCCTTTCCTCTCTGAGAGAGGGAGGAATTAATGATGTGCAATCCACTACTGACCCTACTAACTTGATGGCCACCATATTTTGGATAGCAGCATCCTTGCTGGAATCAGATTATGAATATGAATACCTCCTGGCTCTCAGGCTACTCAATAAACTGCTCATTCACTTGCCTTTGGATAAATCTGAGAGCAGAGAGAAGATTGAAAATGTACAAAGTCAATTAAAATGGAATAATTTTCCAGGTCTTCAGCAGCTTTTCCTTAAGGGCTTTACCTCAGTATCTACACAGGAAATGACAGTCCACCTCCTCAGTAAACTCATTACTGTCTCCAAATACACTTTGGTGGATCCTTCCCAATTATCAGGTAGTGTTAAGAATATTGCACGAGTAGCTTTATTTTGAATCAGTGGATATAAGTTCATCTTTATTGTTGAAATTAGTAGTGTTTCTTCTTTCTAATTTTTGGTTAATAGTTAAACATGCTATATTGAATTAGGGTAACTCACTGCAACAGGTTGAATGAAGGATCTCTGTATACATTTGAGGCTTTAAAAATGAAGAGACTTGACCATTTTCTCCTACCTGCTACAATTCCTGTGCTGTAAAAAAGGTGCTCTGGGGCCATTTGGGCCTAAATGGACACATATGGGCCTAAATGAACATTTATAGTTGGGGAAACAAAACTCATAGTTTCAGAGATTTACACGAAAAAGCAGAGAACAATTAAAACTGCACAAGCATGTAAGTGTGCAGGATAATGGTTGATTAATATGTGTATGAGTCTGTCCAGGATGTTCTGCCTCTTCATTGCCTGACCAGTACCAAGATGGTACTGGGCTGTTTTTTGAAGTTAAGAACTAGTATCTTATGTAGATGCTCATGGCCTTTCTCTTTGAGATATTTCATTCAACTGGTAATTCATTTTCTATAGAAGCAATGAATATTGATTTACATTTCTCAGATGATTTTTGCATATACAGAATTTTAAGAAGCAAACATAAACATCATAACAAATTTCATAAAAACTACTAAACCCTATGAAATGAGTCACGGTAGTGATAGTTTAAGGGGCCCTACAATATATATGAAGTTTAGACTTCAACTTCTGAAGTTGACAAATAAGAACTGAAAATAGACAGGAAGAAAAAGGAGTATTATTAACCTGAGTTTTAGTTTTTATTCTCCAAAAATGGACAGTAACCTTTGATGTGTGGATTTTTTTTAAATGTCTATAGGTTTTCCCTTAAACATCCTGTGCTTATTGCCTCATTTAATTCAGCATTTTGATAACCCAACACAGTTCTGCAAAGAAACAGCTGGTCGAATAGCAAAGGTATGTAAATATTATGATAAAAAAAGAAAGCTTTCGCTATAAGGTCTTCTGGTCTTTCTTTTAAAGCACTTTTATAAGCTTTTTTCAGTATCACAATGCTCTTTACAAAGCATTATATTTATTATGCAAATTTTGGTATCTGAAATCTTTCTACTGTAGTATTAACATCTAAACATTTCAAACTGATAAAGCCAAATTAAATATTGAAAAACGGTGGTAATAAAACTGCTGCTTTGCCTTCTGTGTTGGCATCAGCAGATAGAAAGTTGTAGTGAATAGTTTCTTAATTTCTTTTTCCATTGTCAGTCTGAACGCAAGGTCCCTAAATTAACAATAGCTGTACCGTCATATTTATACATCTTGCTGTCACACATTCTAATCCTGTGGGATTCATGAGAAAGGGGGAGCTTGTTCTGTTTCTAATCAGACCCCCCCAACCTTGGCTTGAGTTTACCACTTTGACTTTTTACTACTGTGAGGTTGGACGGGAAACATGATAGCAAGTTGAGTAGTTTTATCAAATGGTTTAAAATGCAATGGTTAATTTACTAATCCAAAACTTGGAAGAGTAAGAAAAATAGGATTACAGACTCAGAACTAGAAAGGATATTATAGGCCATCAAGTCCAACCCCCTTATTTTACAGATGAGGAACCTGAGGTCCAGAAAGTTTTCAGTGTCTTACGCAGGACTGCCCAGACCTGAAATTTACAAATTAAGTCCACAGTAAGTTTTTGAAAATAAATGAGAATAGCTGAGGAAAACAGTAACGATCAGCAGCACATGCTTTAAAATTTAAAAACAAACTAAACCAACAAAGATAAGTTTCAGAAAACAATAATTTTTTTAAATCAACTCTAGTTGGCAAATATTAGATAACAAAATAGAAGTGTCCATGTCATTAGGAATCCAAAAGAGACATCCATAATTGAATAAGTTACAGCGTCAGCTAAAGATTCTCTGATAAATACAAACAAATTGATACTCATCCCAAAGTAAAGGAAGAAATTAAATAACCTGAAAAAAGGGACTGTGCTACGCCAAGGAAAGATTCCATTCAGCTTGTAAACACTTTATAGAAATTGAAAATATTAATGAAGCAGAATTAATTCTGTATGGAAGGAATCTGGTATACTGAATTTACACTAGCACAAAAAAAGTAAAACATAACACAAACACATAATAATATTGCAAAAGAAATTGAAGGCTTAAAAAATAATAATAACCTAATCATTCAATAATAGGGCAATGCACAGGAAATAGAAAAGCAGTATGCTGGTTATAATCAGTGAAATAATTAAAGAAAATTTTCCTGAACTAAAAGTCAACCTCAGCATGCATATTGCTTCTCTGTTATTTGTGATAAAGAATGTTTATTTCCTTCCTGTTGAGTAGTGAATAACAGGTTCCTCTCTAAATGTTTTTAGTCGGCAGGAAGTAGATGAGCATCTTTAATTGCTATCTCCTTTATAACTCTTGAGTGGTCTTTGTGCTATTTTGTGAACACTTCTTATGCAAATATCTTCATTTTTAAATCTCACCCAAGTCATCTTCTTCTAAGCAGTCTCTGTGCACTTCAGGGTCTCAGCATGGGGCTCTCTGATTAGGAATGGCCTTCATATGTAGGCAAAAAGCTAGTAGTATTATTAAGAAATTCATATTGTCAAACAAGATAGTTTATTAATCACATTTTGTACCAATGAGTCTAAAATTAATTTCAAAATGATGTTTTTTAAATGTCACAACTTTTGTACAGATAAATTTTTTATTTTTTTCATAAAACATAGAACCCTCTTATAGATACACACATACAAACACATATGGCATTGATATTTGGATGCATGGGTTTTCTATACCTTTTACACACATGTACAAATAATATGTACATATGGACATATATGTATGCGTATGCTTCCAGAAAAGAGAATCATGAATTTCTAAAAACATAACCCCTGTTTTATTTACGTGTGTGTGTGCGTGTGTGTGTGTGTGTGTGTGTGTGTGAAGACTTGGGTTTAAATTCTGCCTCCTACACATACAAGTCATGTCATCCTGGCAAGTCACAATTGTTTATAGCCTCATCCAAAAGATAGGTATAATCCTATCATATTTCCTTAACCAGACGGTTGGAAGGATCAAGTGAGAAAATGTAATACAGAGCAATCTTTATTGACATTTTAAATGTCAACTATTATTTTAACAATGTCTTTCCTTAGGAGAGAACCTAATTTTATTCTTTTAGCAAGTTTTTCATATTCTGAAGTATTTAAATACACAGTTGTGACATTTTAAAAGCGTTTGGTAGGGTTTCTTTTCATATATTACAGATGTTCTTTTATCTCTTACATAAATAATCAGATGGCTCAAATACCAGATATTTTAAAAAATATTTTGAACACTGTTTTTATGAAAAATAGATATTTAAGAAATATGTGAAAATAAAAGTCATTTTTAAAAAACTTTCTAGGGTATTTCATAAGGTTAATATAGTCTCTTAGATACACCACATCTAGAGTCTATTCATTGATAATGCCTACTGATGTTATTGACCCTAAGGCATAAAATAAGATCTTTAAATGCTTTCTTAATCATTAAATAAATTAATCACTTGACTCTTTTTGGAGATGAGGAAGGAAGCTGAGACTGGGTCTCTTTATCTTGCCTAGGAAGGCTAGGAATCTAGAAAAGGCTCTATCCCAGGGCTGATTGGCACAGAATCTTTGTCCTGCTCCAGTTCTGATTTGAGCCAGTTTGCCCCTTCTTAGGCAGCTTGGAGCCCCACCTTTCCATTCTGTAGTCCCTACTTCTAACTCCCCGGGGGTTAACCATGTTGACACATAATGAAAACATTCATTTGGCTTTAGCCTTCCTGCAACTCAGAACTCAGGAGCACAAGTGATCCATCATGCTCTACCTCCTCTAGTAGCAAGTTTTATAGACATGTACCACCATCCATGATCATGGGCCAGGCAATTCACCTTTGGGACCCTCATTTTCCTCATCTGTGAAAAGAAGATAATGACACTTTCACTACCTACTTTATAAAGTTGCTGATGGGGAAAGTGCTTTAAAAAATTCAAAAATTTACATAAATTTGACCTACTCTATTATTCTCCAAGGATCTGTAATGTCATTGGTGTGGATATTTCCTCCATTATAGTTACAACCCCTCCATGCCTTCATGTATGTAAAAACCTCTGAGAGCTCCTCTGGCTGAAAAATTCATCAACTTGCAGTCAACCTGGTAATGTCCTTTTAGGATTGTCCATGGATAACAGACATAGAGCCAGTTACTAGGCCCATACTTAGAGCCTTTTTCAATATAGTAAGACTTGACAGAACTTTAGTTCTGCTGGTATAGCATTCTAGAACCCAGGGACACCTTGATACTCATCAGAATAGGGTTTGAATGGAGAAAAAAAAATTGATATAAACAGTAATTTATTGTAGCATATTCCCTGCCTACAGTATTCTAAATGTCCTGACATGCTGCCATAACATCTTTAAAGCTATATCTAGTAACAGGTGGGTTTCAGAAGTACTAAATTTCCTTCATTGTCTTGTCAGTAGAGTACTCTGGAAACTTTGGCTTGTGATCATAGGTGATTTTTCAGGCAGGTTGGGGCCCTGAGATGATCGATTTGCAATTCAGAGCTCAGAACTGAATGGAGAGTTCTTTAGACTTCCTCAGATGTGTCAAAACCCATGAAGGTACTCTTAGAATTAGCTTATTTCCTTTAACATCTAACTGAGAAGTTTTAGACTAGACCAGATTTTCTGTGACCATGTTAATGCACACCTGTTCTTCCTTTTAATTTAAACATATTAATGTAACCATTTGCCTTAAGTTTAGACTTAATGTCTTTTGTTGTTGTTGTTGTTGATTTTGAATGAAATACACTTATTTTCCAGGTCTGTGCAGAAGAAAAATCACCAACACTTGTCAATTTGGCTCACATGATGAGTTTATACAGTACACACACTTATTCCAGGGACTGCTCAAATTGGATTAATGTAGTATGTCGATATCTACATGATTCCTTCTCAGAAACTACATTTAATCTTGTAACTTACCTTGCTGAGGTAAATTTTCCTTAAAATATTGATCTGCTCATCATTTTTTAATTTGAATAATTTTTTATTTAAATACGTTTTTCTAGCAGCCTTTATATCTAACTAATGTACTTATTGTCCGAAGTCAACTAATTTGAGGTGTAACTTAGTCGAATGCAAAAAAAAAGTTGTTAAGTTGTCTTCTCTTAAAATAGAAAGAAGAAAGGTTTATTTGGCTTCTAGCCTGAAAATAATATGAAAAACTCTTCTACCTTCAAAATGGCAGCAAAGTATTTCAGTGGTCTTCAGTTAGAGAATTAGATTAATAATTTCACTGCTTTAATCCATTATAGGCATGTGTGCTATCTAAAGGCTCCTATTAAATGTTTATCATAAAGCTACTATAAATTCTCCACATTTGAAATCTGATTTTAGTTCAAAATGACAAAAAGTTTCCTTTAGATCAACCATAAAAGGTATCATGTATTTATTTTCAGAAATGTCTAGACCCCTACCTTTAATTCTGTCCAAGGAGCCCCCTAACATTATAGTGAATACCACCAAAATCTATCAAACAGAAATTTCATTTTTGCAGTTAATGAAGACTATCAGGCCCTTTTTCAAAAGTCTTGATTGGTAGCCCAGAATTTCAACCTGTGTCAGTGTCCAGATCCAAGGCTACATATAGACAAGTAAAGATTTGAACAAAAAAGGAAATAGTTGTAGTATTGGTAACTGGAACTAAACTTCTCTATGTACTAGTGTTCTCTGCTAGAAAATGAACCATTTCTGTGACAGTAATAAATGTGAACAGAGTTAATATGTGATATGTAGTTCACATATCACAGTTAAACAGACACTAAGTAGCTCTGTTCAGTTTGGTAAGTTCATAGTATGTCAGAGTTTATAAATCCAACCAATATCTACTTCTTAATGGTAATCTCAGTAGAGCAAGATAGGAAATATGGTTTCACTTAAAAGGCATTATCTGAGAGATGAAGCAAATATATCTCTCCCAACTTCCAGATTCTTCTTGAATTATCCTAGAATCAAATTGGCTTCTGCAAATCCTCATATTGAAGCTCATTTTAAACAAGACCAAATATCCTAGGTTAGCTTTACAAGATCCTTCTGTCTACCTCCTGGGGCCCTGCAATACAGACCCTTATCTATCAAACCACTAACTACCCCTGAACCAAAGTGTTTTTCTGAGGTATGGTGAAAGTATATTCTAAGGCTTGACAACTTTTATAGGTTCATTAGGTGCCTGATGTTTTTATGTGATGACAATATATTTATTTTTTGATCTCCTCCCTCATATATTACACTTAGTTGTCCCAGTTAAGATGTTGATTTGTTACTTTAGCCAAAGATAAAAGTTGTTAAAAATGGATATGTTAAGAAAGGTTGTGAGAACAAAAATAAACAAAACCCAGTTGTCTCCTGTTTTTTAGGAGTAACATAGTACTCTTCCAAAATGTGGAAACTTAAAACAGAAACAGTGTTTCCTACCAGCATAAACCTCTGGGTTTATTATAGCCTGCTCTCAAATCTACAGATTACCAAATTGAGATAAATGTTTTATTTTAACATCTAAAAGTGTTTAATTGTTAAATACTGTTATTTTTATCAGTCCTAGGCATACACATTGTAAATAGCTTAACTTTTATTCTATACTTTTAATGATTTTTATTTGATTTAAATTTTCACAAGCTATAGCTATATATGTTTTCACACATTGTAAACTAGTACTTTCAGTAATCTCAGTCAAGTAAAAGAAACTTGTCTTATAACCTGACTAAAGTATAACTTTTTCACATTATTTTTAGCTTTTAGAAAAAGGGCTGTCCAGTATGCAGCAGTCTTTACTACAGATCATTTATAGCCTTCTGAGTCATATTGACCTCTCAGCGGCCCCAGTGAAACAATTTAATTTGGAGATTATAAAGGTTATTGGGAAATATGTACAGGTGAGTCTTCTAATTTGATACTCAGAAAATGTTTATTTTAAGTCTCAAGTACGGAAACAGATTTGACCATGTGGAATTCATTATGATTTGACTTTGGCTATACTGAAATTTACCTTTAAATTATTAACAAGCTTATTAAATACATTAGTATTCAACATTATAAGTTTAATTTAACAAAGAAAGCAGACTTTAACCAGATAATTATTTGGCCCTTTAAGGTTACAGATCACTTTCAGATATGCTTATTTGTATGGGGAAATGCTGTTGCTCATTGTTTTAACCTAAAACTGTTTTCTGTTTTTTTTTTAATTAAGTTTTATTTTTCATATAACAAATATATTTTCCCATTCTCCTAACCCTCCCATCAATAAAAAAAAGAAAAACAAAACCCTTGTAACAAATATGATGATGATGATGATGATGATGATGATGATGATGATGATGGGCAACATAAATATAGTACGCTAAGCACTTTACAAATATCATCTCATTTGGCACTCTCAACAACCCTGGGAGGTTGATGCTATTATTATTCCCATTTTACAGATGTGGAAACTGAAGGAAGCAGGTTAAGGGATTTGCCCATTGTCACAAAGCTGACAAATAAGTGTCTGAGGTTGAATTTGAACTCAGTTCTTCCTGACTCCAGTCCCAGTGCTCCATCTACAGAGCCATCTAGCTGCCTCCAATATGCATTTGAATGGAAATTAATACAGTATTTTTAAATATTCTATAATTAAGGTAAGGTAGTTAAGTGGCACAGTGGATAAAGCACTGGGCTTGAGATGAGGAAGACCTATCTTCCTAAGTTCAAATGTGGCCTCAGACACTTGCTAGCTGTGTGAAGCTGGGCAAGTCACTTAACGCTGTTTGTCTCTGTTCCTTATATGTAAAAATGAGCTGGAGAAGGAAATGGCAAACCTCTCCAATATCTTTGCCAAGAAAAACCCCAGAAATGGGGTCACAAAGAGTTGGACACAGTTGAAATGACCAAACAACAAAAACCTATCAAATAGTCCAAATTCCTGAGCTTTCACTGGCGTTCCCTGTTCTGTAAAATGTAAGGCATAGTTAATTGTTTCTTTTCTTTTCTTTTCTTTTCTTTTTTAGCCCTAATCCATGCCTGACTCTAGAATTAGGAATTTATTGCATTAAGAATTATATTTCCTTACAAAAGAATATCTCATTTCTTCTTAAGGTTTTCTTTTTCTTGTTTTGAACAAAAATATTGTCATCAAATATTTATTGCAAGTCCTTCCAAAAGTACACTGGAATTGTAAGTTCCTGGTTTTTTAATGCATTTCTTTAGATGATGGCAGCCATTTACACAATTATGCCCTTGGTAATCTTTTTTACATTTGGAATAGAATTCTTAATGTAATTTGTTGGAAGTATTGTCCCTGGAGAAATTTTGGCTTTTTACAGAAAGCTTGTGCATAAATGCCTAGAGCCTAATTACTTGTCTGCAAAATGAGGTTTCTTTCTCCTTATTCACAAGTTTATTTAATGTTAAATATGGTTATTTACAATAACATTCTCATAATGACTCCTGAATTGTCTGGACATTTTCATTACTGACAGTCATGTACTTAAGTGATCGTCCTTGGGCCAGCACATACTTGATTAAATGGATGACTCAGTGCCACTGCAGCTCTTTTTACATGGCATTGCTTTTTTAAAAGTGTAGGGTTTTTTCTTCATTGACTCTAATTAGAATCGCCGGCTCAAAAAGCATATGGAATCAGTTGGTTAAGGACATTTAGAGTACAGGAGCCCTGGGAGTGACAACTCCAACCCCAGACTACTCACCAGTTCTGCTTCCAGTCCAGCCCTTAACCCCAAAGCCATCATCTGCAAAAGAGAAGTAACCTATGTAAAACAGAGGTCATTCATCTGACCTACTGCCAACCCAAGTGCTTCCCAGAGGCCAGGCAAGCCAGTCTCTCTGAAGTAGCAAGGCCCTCTAAGGAAGAGATGAGATGGCACATGCTAGGCAAGTCAGGCCAGCTCTACTCTCTTGACTACCATGTTCCCTGCTAGGGGTATGGCCCAAGACCCTGAAGCCATCACCTGGGAAGCATACCCTCTAGCCCGAGCTAGAGAAGACTCAGAAAACAGAGTTCTTGCTAACAAAGTCCTTAGCACTAACAAATAAGTCAGTATCACCAACCAATTTATTGGTGGAAGTGACATTAAAGAAAAGGCATTACCATCTGTGTTGCTGCTGCAGTCCAGAGACAACAGAAGTTGTCCTTCTGCCTTGCAGCTAAAATTTTCCATATACCATATGTTTTCTTCTCCATTAGAATGTGAGCTACATGAGAGCAGGGACTTTCTTCTTACTTGTATCCCCAGTGTTTAGCACAGTGCTTTGCAAATAGTAAATGCTTAATAAATGATTTTTCATTCATTCATGCATGATTCCCACAACTGGTAGTGTTTCCTCTCCCTCACTACCTCATATTTAACTACTTTGTACATATTTGTATTTATTTGCCTTATATTTATGCTACATATATCTTTATATATACTTGTCTCCCTCAATAGACTATAAATTCCTTCTGAGTAAGGATTGTTTCAATCTTTGTATGTATCCCTCACATGTAGCACAGATCCTCATAAATAATTGTCTCTTGATAAATACTTCTTGAGTGACTGCTTGAAATAAGCATGGGGGGATAGCCTGTGCAAAGGTGTGGAGACAAGACATCTGAAATGTTGTGTTGGAAACAGGAAAAAGGTCAGTTTTAGTAGAACATAATGTTTGTGATAAGATTGGGAAAGTTAGGCTGAAGGCAATTTATAAAATACTTTAAATGTCAGTAACATTTGTATTTGGCAATGAAGTTTATAAGGGAACCGCTGGAGGTTATTGAGATTGAGAATGGCATAGTCAAATGTGTGCTTTAAGAATATCACTGTGGCATACAAGGACATGCCAAAGGATGAACTAGAGAGGGGTTAGACTTGAGGCAGGGAAACCAATTAAGAGTCTTTTACAATGTCCACACAAGAGGTAATGGGAGCCTCTACTAGGGTGGTAGTTATATCAGTGGAGAGAGAAGCAATAAGTACAGGGGAGGTATAATTAATAAAAGTTGGCAGTGAAATTACATCTGACCAAAACATTTTTTAAAATTCGGAGTTACCTCTGGGCCTTATTCCTAAAGTACAGGTGTGATTATGGCACTATTCTGCTTATGAAACTTGAGCAATTCCCAAGTTCCTCTAGAGTAAGATACAAACTACATTGTTAGGCATTTAAAGCTCTTTGAGGTCTGACTCCAACTTATTTTTTCAGACTGATTGCACAAAAAACTTTACATTCCTTTGCATAGACCATTTTCTGTGATTGGACTTCTTTCCTTCCTCACCTCCACCTCTTGGAACCCCTAGCTCTTTGTAGGACTCAAGTATCTCCTACAGAAGATCTTTTCCTCCATCCTCAGTTTCCTCCATCCACCAAAAAAATTACTTTGTATATTTTTATGACATGTTTTGTACTTACTTATCCATGTACATGTTGTTTTCCTGAGTGGAAGCTCTTTGAGGGCAGGAACTATTCCATTGCTGTCTTTGTATCCCCAGAAACATTGAAAACATTGGAGAAAGAATTTAGTGGAAATTTTTTTTAGTTATAGAGTATTGTGCCCAGAAAGGACTTTAGAAATCATATAATTTAACCCACTTTTATATATTTCACTTTAGATGAGATGACCAGGTATCCTGGTTTGGCTTAGTCATGTTCTGTTTTCAGTTATTTGTATGAGCTGAAAGTGATTGAGGAATCCTGATTTTAACTGGAGCCCCTTGGACTTCTTTGTTTTTAATTATGAGGTGATTTAAATCTCCAGAGACTCAAAGATCAGCATCTTAGTTTCCACATAAAGCTCTTTATGTGTACATGAATGACTTAGCCAAAATAATAAACTAACAGGCTTGTTAATCATGTTGTGACTCGTATTTTCAAAAATTATATTTAAAAATTTTTTTTTAATTTTTTAAAATTAAAAAATATATATGTGTATATATATATATATATTTGGCTAGGCAATGGGGTTAAGTGACTTGCCCAGGGTCACACAGCTAGTAAGTGATATTATGTGTCTGAGGTCATATTTGAACTCAGGTCCTCCTGAATCCAGGGCCGGTACTCTATCCAACTGCACCACCTAGCTGCCCCAAAATTTAAAAAATATTTTGAAAATTTTGAAAATATTTTTTAAAACTGTCATATATTTTACTGAACAAAATGCTATGTTTTACAATAAAATATCTTCCTTCTGTACATCAAGGTCATTCATAATACCATGAAAAATACAACATTAGAAATAACCTTGTTCAGTGATTCTCTGATACTAAGCATCAGGCTAAACATAAATCAGGGAGAAGGATGCTAGCTGAAGGTGTCTGCCCTTGGGATAAAGGAGATTCAATACACAGTCCAGGTTGAAGACTGATTCCCAATGGATGGTGAGGTTCTCCAGATGCTCCTTTTTGTTGGTGACATCTTGATTTTATTAAGCACCAAGACATTATAGATCTTCATAGAAGAAATCTGTAATTATTCAGAGGAGTTTGGCCTCTCCATCTACACAGAAAATAAAACAGGAGGAGGAAAGTGGGCCAAAAATGGCAAAGCTTTTATTAATCCCAAGCTTCCCGTGAAAGCAAAGGCCTATCATTTCATCTCACATTTTATTGCTGTTGCTGTATGGCAGCAAGACACCGAACACGCTGCCTCTGAAGAACTAAAAATGCCTCCATGCTAAGTGTATCAAAGAAGTTTGTGGTGTATGTAGAGGCAGCCTGCAACACAACTGACAAGGAACTCTGAAGGAGAGCAGCTGTAAAGGATGTTGTCAAGCCACTGACGGCTTCTCTAATAGGAGGAGAAGATGGTCTGATTGTTTGGTTAAGAACAAGGACTTCAGGCAGACAACCATAGTAGGGGCAAGAGGAAGTGACTAAGTCTACTGGGTGAAACCTCTGTAGAAACTGGGAGGACATGGACAGGAGTCGTACAGAGATCACAAATCCTTTTGAATATTTGAATGTGGACAGTTGAAAATCTCTTTAGTATTAATTCAGTATTTATAAATGTATGCATAAGATGCTTCTCTACAAGAAACTTACCAAAATGATTCTCCCTTAAAAGTTCCTAGCTCCTGTTCTAGATCAACCCTGAGAAAGGGTCTCATGGTCTAAAGTTTAGGTGAATTTTCAAATTTCCTGAGATGTACCCAAGAAAGCCCTTCATTTAATTGGTATGTAGCAATTTATGAGTTTCCTTTAAAATCTGTCTAAAATCCTTCCAGACTGCTTCAGCAATTGGTATAGAATGATCAAAGTCTAGAAACTTCACCCACTAACCTAATTTATGGCCTTATTCTTCTGTAACTTCACCAACCCAACATTTTGAAGCCTAATTTTATTAAGAATATCTTAATTAAAATGCAATTTCAAAAGAAGGAATAAATACAGATATTTGCTCTCTTATATGCCATAGGTTTGGTACTTCAATTTCATCCTTTTGATACATACTCCCCTGTGATTGTTATATAGTTTATCAAACTATAGTTTATAGTTTATAAAGTTTGCTCTAAAGGGGGGGAGGGAACCCTCAATTCTAAATACTTTTTTTTTATTCTATAGCAACGAATTTCCATTTTTACCAATTTTGGATATATTGTGTCAGCCTGATATCCTATTAAAGTCTTTAGAAAGGATTTTTACCAATAATGGGTCTGGGAAAACAAACATTAGCTCTCCCTATGCTTGGGCTCAGGATTATCTATAAGACCATATTTCTTCAGTGTTATACTGAAATATAGGAGGCCAACTTTCTTGAATCTCTTGCAGATAAAATAAGGTTCTAAAATTCTTCCCTCATTAATAACATAGTTGATTTGTGGTTGTGCAGATATATTGATAGATATATGTCTATGTGTAGAAAGATAGATAGATAGATACAAAAGTTGTCTCTTTCTTACAGGGATTGTACGTGGATTTAGAAGTGGAAGAGGCCTCTAAGGCCCCCTAGTTCACAGATCTTGTGGGATGGAATAGGATGGCATTTTCCCTCAAGTGTAAAAAGGGGAGGACAAGAATTATCTCACAGGAACCTTTACTGAAGCAATGACTAGAAGGCTATTTACTAGAGGACCTTACTGCCTTAACCTAAGTTTTTAAGTGACCACTTTTTATGCAGGGCCGTCTTAAATCCTTACCTTCCTTTACATATTTTGTGCTTCTCTTTCCTCCCCCCCCCCCTTTTTTTTTTAGCGTACTAGAGAAGATATTTACAAACTGGAAATGTATTTGTCTTTGTGTTTCACAGAATACTTAATGATTTGAGTGTCTTTTTCTGTAGTAGTGAGGTTCCTTAAAGCCCATCACTGTTTAATTTTTGTCTTTGTAACTAGCCTCAGCCCCCATGCACTATGTGCTTTGCACATAGTAGGTGATTTAAGGCAGCTATAAAGCTCCTTTAGGGCAGGGATCCTGCAGTGTCCTGCTCGTCTGAGGCAATACCCATTTAGTCATTAAGGCTAGATGCACAGCCGTTACTCACTTAAATCCAATTCACTTTCAAGTCAAGACATCACCTTCCGGATGTCACCTTCTAGAATGAAGGACAAACAATAACAGTATTCTGCACGTAATAATGGAGAGTTCCATCCTGGTCCATGCTTACCTTTCATCTGTACAGAAATCATCTCATCTGTTTGGAAACCAGCTAAAAATTGAGGCAGCTAAATTGATCTAAAGCACTGGGCCTGGAGTCAGAAGACCTAAATACAAACACAGCCTAAAGACACTTTGTTATGTTGTTGTTTAGTTATGTCCTACTTAGCGACTGCATTTAGAGTTTTCTTGGCAAAGATACAGCAATGGTTTGCCATTTCCTTCTCACCTCATTTTACATATGAGAAACTGAGACAAACAGGGTTAAGTGACTTGCCCAAGGTCACACAGCTGGAAAGTGTCTGAGGCCAGATTTGAACTCAGGAAGATAAGTCTTCCTGACTTCAGTCTCTGCATTCTGTCCATTGCACCACCTAGCTGCCCCCCTCAAGACAGTGATTGAGTGCGTAACCCTGGGCAAGTCACTTAAACTTCTGCCTCAGTTTCTTCTTCTGTAAAATGGGGATAAAAATACCTCCCAGGGTTGTTATGAGGATCAGATGATATTATTGTAAAGTACTTAGCAGAGTACTTGGCACATAGTAAGTGTTATATAAATGTTAGCTATTTTTTAAGTAGAATTTTGGTAAGGAGTTAAGATTTAATCATTAAGTAATCCCATTCTCAATGACATCATCTAAATGAATGACATTATTGTGTCTGACTGTTTTAAGATTTGTGTACTTTGTATGTGCAGAGCCAAATGTCCCACTTCTGCCAGGATCGTGATCTTTTCCTATACCCTAGGAAATCCTTCAAGAGCAGTAAATAATCTAGCTTTCATTTTGTATATTTGTTCACCATATCTGTTATCTTAAAGAGAAAATACATAATTTGTAAGAGAAGTGTTTTCCAAGGCTGTTCCTCTGGGTATAAGAAAAAAGTTGTAACTAATGTATTTTTTATTTCTTATTAGAGTCCATACTGGAAAGAAGCCCTCAACATATTAAAACTGGTGGTATCCCGGTCTGCAAGCCTTGTTGTCCCTAACGATATCCCTAAGAGTTATGGCAGTGATATGGGTTCTCCTGAAATATCATTCACAAAAATTTTTAATAATGTCTCCAAGGAGTTGCCTGGAAAGACATTAGATTTTCATTTTGATATATCTGAGGTAATTCTTTTATGTAATCAGAGTTGTATGAAAACACAAAAATATAACCCATTGTCTTTTCAACAGAATTGTGTGTGTGTGTGTGTGTGTGTGTGTGTGTGTGTGTGTGTATTTGGGAGTTTTCCCCCAGTGGAATCATAACAGTGCTGTTTAAGACTATTAAAATCCTGGGGGCAGCTAAGTGGAGCAGTGGAGAGAGCACCGGCCTTGGAATCAAGAAGACCTGAATTCAAATCTGGCCTCAGACACTTGACACTTATTAGCTGTGTGACCCTGGGCAAGTCACTTCACCCCATTGCCTAGCCAAAAAGAAAAAAAAAGGCTATTAAAATCCTGTGCACTGAAGATGTAATAATAGTCTTGGCAGTAGGTTTTTTTTTTTCTGTCTATTTAATGAGAGAAAGTGTGAGAGAGAGTTGTGTGTAAGCGAGTATACATGTGCTTTTTGAGCATTACCATCCCCCTGCATGGGCCCTGAAAGATGACAGGGATGAACAAGTGGTAAAGATGGGGAATTGTGCTTTATGGTATCTTCTGAGTGTGTTATTACAGTGAGGGTTTTTTTTGTTGTTGTTGTTGTTTTGCTTGCAACAAAGTAAGTTCCAGAATATTAGATATACTCATATCATGTTACAAAAAACAGCAAAGCCAAATATAAGGTATCTTTAGATGGTAAGTTAGAGATGGCAAAGAACTTAAAGTTGATTTATTAAACTTAAGGATCATTTTTTTCTTCAGATTTCATTAAGTATTTAGAAGACTCATCTTTGAATTCATTTAAAGACAAAAAAAATTTAACAGCATGTATTAAAAGACATTTTTTCTCACTTTACTGTATATCTGAAAGTTACAACGTATCATCATAGACTGATTTTCAGAAATTTCATTTTCTCTACCATTTACATCTACTCTTTTGAATTATTTGAGTGAAGCTTATTATTCCCTTTTTGTATAGACACCAATTATTGGAAATAAATATGGTGATCAACATAGTGCAGCTGGAAGAAATGGGAAACCAAAAGTCATTGCAGTTACTCGAAGTACCTCTTCAACTTCATCAGGTTCTAATTCAAATGCCCTTGTGCCTGTTAGCTGGAAGAGACCACAGTTATCCCAGGTATATGAGAGGGAGGGAGGGAAGTAGTAGAGAGAAAAGGAAGGAAGAAAGGGGTGGGGGGAGAAAAAAGGAAGAAAGTAGGCGGGAGGGAGTAATTTATTAAGTGTTTACTCTGTACCGATTACTCTGCTAAGTGCTGGAAATACAAATAAAAAATGGGAAGACAGTCTGTACTCTCATGGAGCTCACACTCTAATTGGAAGGAAACAACACATAGAGGCAAGTTCAGCTGTAGAGTCTATGAGAAGTCTGAATAGCTCTAAATGTTGAGTGTTGAGGCAAATGGCAAGGCACAGTGGTCCTAAAGTTACTCAAGATGACAGTGCCTAGGGAATGACTTAAAAGCAAGGCTGATAGTAAGACCTGAGAACTTCAGGGGGAGGCAGTAAGATCTTAAGTGTAGAATGGTAAGGCTAAGTGACTGGCCTGATAAAAAGTCACAGAGTTGGGATTCAGTTCATATTCTTTCTACTATATTGCATTTGTGCTATATTTTTTGTTAAAATGTATCATCTTTTGACACCGAATGCTACTTTTGTGTCCTAGAGAAGAACAAGAGAGAAGCTAATGAATGTGCTATCCCTCTGTGGTCCAGAGTCTGGTCTCCCAAAGAATCCATCGGTGAGTTCTTAGTAGATATTGAAGGAGCATATAATCCACACACAAAAAAAACAAATTGTTCTTTCCCATCGTTTTCATGTACTAACTACCACTACATTAAATCTGAGAGGAAATGTCTGTTATTCCTTATAACATTGCTTGTGGCCAACTAAGAAATTATGTTAAAAAAATTATGCCTTTTAAGACATTATCCATTTAGAGTAGGATGTCTTTGTGCTCTGATCCACAGTATTGTTCTGTTCTTATCTCTACAGGTTGTGTTTTCTTCTAATGAGGATTTGGAGGTTGGAGACCAACAAACTAGTCTTATTTCTGCAACAGAGGAAATAATTCAGGAGGAGGAAGTGGTTGTGGAGGACAACAGCAGCGAACAGCAATTTGGAGTTTTTAAGGATTTTGACTTTTTAGATGTGGAGCTGGAAGATGCAGAGGTAAGCATCTCTTGTAAATGGTAGCATACTTAAAATCAAATTTTTCTGAGAACTAAGAATGTACCTGTTTCATCCTTCGTACAAGTTCATTGTGAGGCCAGTTTATTATTCATAAACAATAAAAATTGAATTAGAAGCTTCTCATGTGATTTTAAGCATTACCCACAGTAAGCTTCAAAATGGAGAAACAGATATTTAAATATTAATAGACATTTTAAGCATTGAAATTTATTTTTAAAATTAAAAATTTTCTATGTTAACCTTCTAAGCTCCAAGATCACTGAAAATATAGACAAAAAAACCCCCACACAAATAATTCATTATTCAAAAGTAATTTATATATGCGTTTAAGTAACTGTCATAAGTTATTTAAATTCTTGCTCAGCAGAAGAGGAAAATAACATGATTTTAATTACTGGCAACATGATATATTGTTTTAAAAATAATATTTAAAGATGTCCCCATGGTCATTTTTCTGCCCAGTCCTCTTGAACTTCTCAGTGCCAAACCATTATTCCCTACAACATTCCCAGTTTCTTTCTTTATTATCATCTTGCCATCTCCCCTGAAATTTCAAATTGTATTTGTCCAAGAAGCCTTTTCCTTTAAGATGCTTTAGCTATAAAGCCTTCTATATCCTCAGAAGTTTTATTTATTAAATAGTGTATTACCCAGCATGAGAAATCCAACTAGCACTTCCTATTGTAAGGCAATAAACTATGAGCTGGGCTGAATGGATCAAGCTGTTGCCTTCTCCCATCACTATTACTAATCCCTCCGTTCCTTTGTAGTTTTTTTTTCCACTTAATAATATTTGATCAAATGTGAGGATTTATATAAACAAAAGATTCATTAACTAGATTTTCATCAGTCTGTCCCCTAACAAACAATACCTTAAGTGATAAAATAATTTTTTTTTCCTATTGAAGAATCTCTAGAGAATGAGAATTCCTTTTTGGACTTTAAATGCAACAATTATCTTTTTTAACAGGAGTTCAGAAAGACTTCAGAGAGATTAAGAAGTTTATTGCATTTCTGAGTTACAGTTACATCATTTTTCTTCAAAAATTTGCTCTTGAGCAGTAAACCAAATTTCTAAATGGCTTCCAAAACATGAATTGACCTGTCTGAAATAAGTGCTTTTATCTGAGGCTTTAAGAAAATATAAGCACATTCCTCATAAAGAGGCCCAGACCTGGGGCACTTTGATATAACATTAATACAATAGAAACAGTCACAACACCTTACTGTAATCCATGTCGTTCAGCTGATAACCATTTGTCACACTGTGCCTAATGAACTGTCTCCTCAGACATCAGTTCATCTATCATTGTGTTTTCACTGAACCAATTAACGATGTTCGGTAGGATATGCCTGTACTTCGAATAATTATGAAGAATGCAACTTTTATACCTACTTTATAAATCTTGAAATATATATTTTTAACAATTATTATCATGTCATAATTATTGTAGTATATAATATTATTAGAGGTGTAATTTGTCGTTACAAGGCTTTAGAGAAATTGTAAGAATTTTAATTCCTACATTTTCTTCTGACCTTTTGGAAATAGGAATAGATTATCTATTGATGATTGTGATCTTGATTATTAAATGTTTAAATGGACATAGGAAATGACTTCAAAAAATCAGGCATAGCCTTTCTACAGCGTTAAAATGTGAACCCTGTGTGTTGTTTTTGACTGTGAACAGTTTTAAGTCATTTTAATATTTCCTCACAAAGTAGTAGGTCTGTGTGAAATTAGAATTATAAAAATTCATTGACCAATTTGTTCTATATGTTTAGCCAAACAGAAATGTTGTTTCAAGTGTTTGTCTCTGACTTTTCCATACTATATTGCACATAAAGAGAGAAGTTTGGCTGGCCATGCTGGTGTTCTGAACAAAGCTTAATCCAGAGCTTGAATCAGTCTTTTACCATTGGCAAATCGTAAATAATTTCCCCCAAGTTAGAGACTGTTTTTAAATGTTTGTCTTCGTTTTTCTAATTATGTGTGTTTTCCTTTTTGCTAACCAGGAGCTACAGGTAAGTTGCAGCCTGGTGTAGGGGCTGGTTAATCTGTTGTCATCTGTGAAGTGTGTCTGTCTGTACTTTCATAGTCTCTTTATGTTTGTGTTTTAGCGCAGATATATGGCTTAGACATTAGAATTAGCTAGTCCCAAGTCATAACGCATAGAAAGTTCAGATAATTTTACATTGTCTAAAGTTAATTATAGGTTATCAACCATGTTTTGATCCAGTTAAATGCAAACATTTAACAATATGATGACATTTTTTAAAAATTAAAGGGCTGATTGAAACTCTGTTTATGATGTTTATGGTGATATTTCTACTTGTTACATGTTTTCCAATTATTATATTTTCAAAAGTGGTTATAAAGTAACTAATTATCTTGTCTTACAGGGTGAAAGTATGGACAATTTCAACTGGGGAGTCCGTCGGCGCTCACTTGACAGCATTGACAAAGGGGACACGCCCTCCCTTCAGGAATGTCAGTACTCTGGCAGCACACCCAGCCTCAACTTGACCAATCAGGAAGATACCGATGAGTCCTCAGAAGAGGAAGCAGCCCTGACAGCAAGCCAAATCCTCTCTCGCTCCCAAATGGTAAGTCTAGACCTTGCCAAATGATGGAGAAGCAGCATGGTGAATGGAAAGAGTGGTGGATTTGGAGTTAGTGGCCCTGGGTTCAGTCCTTGACTCTGCTACTTCCTTTGTGACCTTGGGTCATCAGTGAACCTCTAGGCCTCAGCTTCCTTATCTGTAAGCCAGCTTAGATGACCTACAATTCATTCCACCTTTACATTTATCAGCCTGTGCTTTCATTTAGTTTTTCTTTTCTTCAAAGGTGGAAACTGACCTCTTTTCTTAGTATATAAGCTTCACTTGATTTTATTAAAGTCCAGTCAGCTATGGGATATTATGGTGAAACTACTCATCACCATCAATGTCATATGGGAGTTTCAAGTAATTCTTTTTAGTAACAGCAATGGGTTAGTCATGTACCCCTCACCCCACCCCTGCACCCTACCCCTTTGCATTCCCTCTCTGTTTTTCCATCTTTTTTCCATTCTCATTCATCCAGTGATAGCAGGGGTATAGTAGATAAAATCCACAACCTTCTGGTGAGAACCCTGCTGCTGATCATGCTGACACTTGTTACCTTTGGGACCCTGGCCAATGCATTTATTCTCTCAGAGACTTCTGTAAAGTGAGGATAATAACATCTCATGAAGTCAGGAGACTTAAGTAAGATCCTGTTTCCATAATACATCACAAACCTGAAAGTGCAAAATAAATATCATTTCTTCCTTCAGTCATGGCACTCAAGGATAAAGAGCTTGCTAGTAGCCCTGACTGCCACATTTTCTGATGATGTAAAACCAAGAAAGATAACTTACAGTAGATGACAGAAACTGAAACAAAATGACCTTATTGGCCAGAGCTCTGGACAGAAACCAAAAAGAGGAAATGTAAAAAATTCAACAAATATTCATTAAGCGTCTATTATGTGTAGATCCCTGAGGGCAATAACAATTGAATAACAATTAGTATCTGCACTCTTGGAGCTTACAAGCTAACAGGGGCATACTCCACATTCATAAATAACCGTAATACAGAATTGACATAATAGCAGGTGAAAAACATCAAAAGACTATGGTATAAGGAAGGAAAGATCACATCCCTCTAGAGCAGGAGTTCTTAAACAGAGATAACTGTGAACATGAACGAGGGAAAAAAAATATGACATCTTTATTTTCACTACACTCTTAACTGGAATTTAACATTTCCTTCATTTGGTTTAAAATATTATTTTGAGAAGGGGATCCATAGGCTTTACAGGTGGGTTCATGACACAAGAAAAGTTAAGGACCTCTGAGCTAGAAGAATCAAGGATACTTCACGACAGCTGGTCTTGGAGGGACAGGGCTATGCGGGAGAGATTCAAAGCTCTACGAAGCCAAGTCCTAAGGCTTCATAGGGTTTCTGGTCTAGTTGAGGTATGTGAGACAGACATGGGCATAAAGAGATGAGTAATGAAAAACTTAAGTGTCAGAGGTACAGCTGTTTTCACTGTAATAGTATTAGCATGAGAGGCACTTTGGTATCCGAGATTGAGAAGTAACCCCAGAGTCAGAAAGACCTGGATTCAATTCCTGCCTCTAACATTTACTAGCAGTGGGACATGGGGAAAGTCATTTTACCCCTCTGTGTCCCATGCAGTGATCTGAGGCTCTGAAGTGGAAGTGAAGGTGCCAGTCTGTACTGATGAAGGAGGTTGTTCCTCACCAGGAGTTCCCTTTACTAATGAAGCTAAACGTCCATTTTTTTAAAAAAGTATTTGCATTGATTAGGTTTTACTTATATTCATGACTATTTTGGTTCCACTGATACTTTAATGAGTATGTTACTGATACCCATCATGGTTGTTTTTGAAATGAAAACAGGAAAAAAATCAAGAAATTGCTGAAACAGGTATTTTAACCCAAGCAACACAATGTTTTACATTGTAAACTTGATTTCCTACAATCTTTGGAACTATCATCGACTCCTAAATTTATATACTGTTTTGCTTTTTCTTGTCCTCTTAGTTAAACAATGAATCGGCTCTAGATGAAGTGCCAGACAACCAAGACTCCCTTCTTCAGTGCCGAGATTCAGCTAGCAGTGTCACCATAGAAGAAGTGCTTCAGATCAGAGCTGACAGCCCGAGTGTGGAGGCTTCTCTAGATAATGTTAACAGCCAGCTGCCTGAGGTGGGGAGACAGGTGGGCTGGCGCATGGCTGATCAGGGCTCTCCTTAGCACTTTCTCACTACTCTCTTTTCTTTCCAAAGAATTTTCATCTATTACACTATTATTTAATTTGTCTTCAGTATTTCTAACCTGTGGGAATGTCTTAAATTGTATTTTTTGTTAACATCTTCTCAAAATTGAGAGTTGCTGTGTTTCAGGAAACAACCCACAGGTTAAAAATAATTGCAAGTGTTTTCAATAAGCATTTTGTAGTGCAGAGTAACATTAAGTTAATGTATTAAATGCTTTTCTGGAGATGGTGATCATCTTTCTATGGCACTTTATTTTCTTTGAAAATACTGCTTTGTTCCTTTTTTGCTTTGTGTTTGGGTTTATTGATTGGTGCTGTGATTGAGATTAAAACCTCAGGCCAGCTGTGTTAGCAGTTGGTGCAATCAAAAACTTTAAAAAGGACCTTGGAACCCTAGTATTATGTTTTTTGGAAAGGCCTATGAGGAGTAAGCCAGATTTCAAGCTAATGACTGAACAAAAAGATGTGAGTATCTTAGCTGCTTTTTTGACTTTTGTAGATGATTAATTTTTAAAATACAGTTACTGTAGCTTTTTTATTCTTCTTAGGGGAAAATGAACATAAAGGTGAAATTTTAAATGACTCTTGATCCAATTATAGGTTTCAGTGTAGTAAATTTGCAAAAGCATTGCTAATATTAGAAAATTGCGTTTTTTCTCGGGTGTTACCAAAACAATACCATGGTAAATTTTCTTCTCATTAAGTATGTTATTTGGGACATAGAACTTAAAGTTCTTACTCCAGTTTATTGAGTAATGTTGTTCTCAAGTTCTTTACACATGACCCATCTTTGGCAAAGATGCACCTACTATGTGCCAGACTTTTTAATAAGTGCTGGGGATACAAATACAGAGAGAGACAGAGACAATCCCGGCCCTGTAGGAGCTTACAATCTAATGCGAGAAGATAAAACACAAAAGGAAACAAGGAAACTGATGAGGAGTGGGAGGAAGGGGAGATTGTTGTGGTAGTGGAGAAGCCAGAAAAGTCTCCAAGTAGTGTAGCCAGGTGAGAAATGAGGAGATTCAGCTGAATTCTCCTCAAACTGAAGTTTGGCGTTCATGGTCCCCACTCAGACAGGCAAAAGGTAGTGCTGAGATTGGAGCATTAAGGTTGTTAGAGATCTTACGGGATGATGAGATTATTTCATAATGAACTTCCTGGGGCATGAGGGAGAAGTCAGTCAGAGAAGTCCCCAAGTAGTATAACCAAGAGAGAGATCAGGAAATGTCTGAGATGAGTTTTATTTGAGCAAATAAATTCAATGTCTATACTCTCATTATTTGGGCTTGTTTAGTTAATAAATGCTAATAAGGAAATGTAATACTGTGAAGGAAAGGAAAGCAGAACTCACCAAAATGTAAGCTTTTTTTCCCTCTACTTTCTTCTTCTCTGGTTAAGTTTCATTATACTTGTATTACTTTTTAAAAACATTATAGGTCCTTTGCCTCTGAAAGAAGAGGCAGCATACCATAGTGGTAGGGAGCTGACTTTGAAGCTGAGACTATCCAGGTCCACGTCCTGCCTCTGATACTTCCTAGCCAGGTGATGTGGGACAAATAATTTCCCTTTCAGTGCTCCAAGCAGAGAAGGTGCTGACCTGCCATAGTGGAGAAAGTTGGCTCACCAGCAGTTTTCCTGTACCAATAAAATCATGACTCTATCCCCTACCCCTATGACCTTATGCCCTCACTATCTCTTAACTGGGACAAAAGCTTTATATATATGTGTATATATGTATACACACACACACACACACATACACATACACACATATATATATCTTTCCACTGAAATGGAAAAATAATTTTATGCATAAACATGTCTAATAAAAATACTGAATAGGTCTTCATAAAGTAGATCGTATAGAGTCAAAAAGTAATCAAGAGTGTCTACTTAGTGGAAAGCTCATATTCCTTCCAGTAATTGCTAAACTAAACAGCAAAAGTAAACTCTTATCTGTCACAGTTGTGTTATAAGTGTTTAAAGAATCAGATTAACTTTGATTTGAGAAGTAGTGGCATAATAGATCATCATCCGGATAGAGAGTTGAGATGCCCTTACCTGAAGTCCTGTCTCTGGCACATACTTGCTATGAGATCATGGGAGACTTGCCTAACTCCTCTGTACCCTAGGCCTCTCTAAGTTTCAGAAGAGTTACTGATCTGCATTGGTAGAGGGAGTCTTCTCACTGAGTGTTCACTATACCAGTGGAATCATAGGTCTGGACTAAAAAAAAAATTAATCTGATATTCCAGTTAATAGTATATGTTACCATAGCTACTATAGATTAGCATTTTGTCTTTTGGGGGGAATAATCTCTACATAATACTCCCCAAAAAAGGGAAAGGCAGACAAATATTGCCTTTCTTTGTATTCCCAGCACTTAATGCAGTGCCTGGCACATAATTGGAACTTAAAAAATATTTATTGACTTGGAGGAAATTAAGAGTTCTAAAAGGTAGATGTGAAGAGATAGTAAATTCCAGCTGTGGGGGAGACAGCTTGTAAAAGGCATATCAGTGGGAGATGCAATGCTGAATTTGAGGAGCAGTGAGTAGGAAAATTTGGCTGGACTACAGAGTGCATGAAGGAGGAGTATAGTGAAATAATCTTGAAAATGGTATGTCTTACACTCGGTATCTCTGTAATTTTTGACTGAAAGAGAAAAAAAAGGTAAATTGCATGCTACAGAGCAGAAGCCAATATTATTTCATTTGGAGGCTCAGAAGTTATACTACTGTAGAAAAATATCTCCAACTTCGTAGACTTTTAGAACATTGCCTTTATGCTGTTTTCCCGTTGAGGTTTTTTAACTCTTGCTATAAATAGTTTTTAAAATATAGCACTTAATAGAAGATTCCATTTGCAAAATGAGAAAAGGAAGGTGATAGAAAATTGAGTCTAGTCCATTCATTTTGTAGATGAGGAAACTCGTGCCCAGAGGTTAGATCACAGTGAAACAAACTGTAACATGTTCGTAACATGTTACAGGTAACATAGACACTGAGGTTTCTTAATTGATTAAAATACTTTTTTAAATTGGTTTTTAGAGTGCTATAACCAATTTCTATTAAGGCCTTACAAAAGTCTGGTTGACTAGAAGCAACAGTGACTGTAATATTCGAATGAATAATGAAAATAATATCTTATTTAATTGAGGAAAAAAATTTGTTACATCCTAAATATAAGTAAACTACCTATTAAAGTATATTCTGTTCTTTCTGATAGGTAGTGAAAAGGAAGGGAGTGAGTTGATGAGGAAAGATTGAAAATTAAAGGTGGGAGATAATTGTGCAGGCAGTTGTGCTGGAGAGATGGGAAGGAGTAGAATCAAAAGTACGTCTAGAGGGACTGGCTCTGGTGAAGGAAGGGGTCACCTCTTCATCAAAGACTGCAGGAAAGAAAGAGAATGAGAGATGAATTAGATTTGTGAGTAAAAGAAAAATGAGGAGTCAAAGATAACACTGAAATAAGTGACAAACCTAGGTGATTGAAAGAATGCTGCTGGCCTTGAAAAAAAGGGAGAAGTTTGAAGGCAGAGTAGGTTTGGAAGTAAAGATACTAAATTAAGTTTTGAACATGCTGAATTTGAAATGCCTAAGGAAATTCAGTTCAAAATGTTTAATATGAAGTTGAAATACCTTCTTGGCAAATAGTAATGCCACTTAGACCAGTAGTATCTTATTGGATCATTTTGAAGTACAAATGAGGTAATATATGCAAAATGTTTAGTAAGCCTTAAAGTGCTATATAAATGTTAGTTCTTATCATACTTTATTAATGGTAGCATACTGTTTTCCCTTTGGGGCTATGTAACTATACTGTATTAAAGTCATGTCATTAAATTTTGGAAGAGACAAGTTTGAGTACATTTTATACTAGATGTTAACTTTTATGGGTTTGTCATCTGAACTATATTTGCGCTTTAGTATTCATCTTATTAGATAAATCAACTTTCAGTTAAATTAATTTTTAAATGTCTTACATGCTAACATTTTTCCTTTGGGGCATTTAAAGGGAATTTCAAAACAGTTCCGATGACTAGAAACTATTAATCATATATGCTGAAAGTTATTATAAGCCTGAAAATGGCAAAAGAACCTCTGCTTTCAAATTGTAATCAAAGCCGTGGAATATCAGAAGACATAGTATTTCTGTTGCTACAAGGTTACAAGTACATTTTGAAATCACGTCAATAGTACTTCACAGTTTTCTACAATGTTGGAAGGGAATCTTGTTCAACACTCAGATTTTACAGTAAGGAAATGCAGATGAAAAGAGTTTTAGTGATTGAACTAGTGATCCCTCAATTAGCACCAGTGATATAGAATTGAAATATAACTAAAGATTACTTGTATTTAAAGATACCCACAATAAAATTGTGTGAATAAAGAAATAACTATCAAAAGAGAAGTGGGCTGGCAGCAATGTCATTCTAAATTCCATCTAGAAAAAGGAGAAATCCTCGAGGGCAGACACTGATTTTCATTATCTATCAGCAGGGCCACACACAATGTCTTATAACACAGTAGGCACTTAATAAATGATTGTTGGTTGGATTGGACATGAATATTATAATGAATTTGCTTTATTAAAATTCTTGAAAAGTAATGAAAACTTTACTTGCTTACAGGATGGAAGTTCATTATTGAAAGATGAACATGTTAACATGGCTTTTGAAGACGAAGGGTCCTATGTTATGCAAGAACAGCAAGAATCTCTCATGTGTCAAGAAATTCTTGAATTGGAAGAAACTGAAATCCCAGAGCCCCCAATCCTTGAAAGCTATCCTGAATCAGTGTGTGAAGAGGATGTTACCCTTGCTTTGAAAGAGCTGGATGAAAGATGTGAAGAAGAAGAAGCTGACTTCTCAGGTTTGTCTAGGTGAGAATCAACTCTGTTATGATATAATTTATAAGTACGAGAACAGGTATTTGTAACAGTGGCATTTTGTATTTTCTCATTTCTTAGAAAACTTTCCTGCTTTTTCATCTACTTAATTCTCTTGAAGTTTCTTCAACATATGTTTTCCTATAAGCTAACATTTTTTTAAGAGTGTAGTATTTTGGGGGCATCTAGGTGGCACAGTGGATAGAGCACTGGTCCTGGAGTCAGGATGACCTGGGTTCAAATCCAGTCTGACCAGACACTTGACACATACTAGCTGTGTAACTCTGGGCAAATCACTTAACCCCAATTGCCTTGCCAAAAAAAAAAAAAAAGAGTGTATTATTTTATAGTGCGGTATTTATTTACCAATATTTTCATATCTTTGCTTAGGAACAGCAAAAATCTAAGGATTTCAAAACCGTCTTCAAAGCATATTTGGGGTTCTTATGGTAAATGTTGATAAATATTATGTCTGGTACTTAGTATATATATATATACATATATATATATAACTTTGGTTTGATGAACAGAGTGTTAGACCTGAAACCAGGAAGACCTGGATTCAGATTTTGCATCTGACTCTTAAAAACTTGGAATCTATGAGCCAGTCATAACCCTCTAAGGCTTTGTTTGTTAATCTATAAAATGAAGATAATAATACCTATACAACCTATCTCCTGTGGCTCTTATGAGGATCAGGATAGAAAATGTATTTAAGATGCTTTGCAAACTTTAAAATGTTAGTAAATGTTAGCTATTCTAACTTATTTTTATATATTATAAATATTTAGATGTTGATGTTAGTCAGCTACCACATTAATATTTCCATAATCAGCTGAGATCCTACCTCTTCAAAAAAAATTTTTCCCAAATGCTTTAATCTACACTGATTTCTCTGTTCTATGAAATCCTATGGATCTTAGAGTTTGAATTAATAAATTTAAATATTTTATTATAAACTGTCTTATTTTCTCCTAGAATTGTTTGTACATTATCTTCCTGAGAAGATTTAAACTCTTCCTGATAACCACTTCTCATATTTGTTTTGTATGTTTCAGCTAGCACAGTACAGTACCCAATTGGCAATAATAAATACTGGTAATATATTTAGTTATAGGATACTTTTAATAAAATAAATTTGAAATTGATTTCAGTTAAAATAGATGTGGTCAGACAGTGGTGACATGGGCCCAGAAAACGAGTAAAGGGATAGGTAGAGGTCTGTGCCTGAGGTGCTAATTGTAGTTCTCAGGGATGAGAAAAGTAGGAATTAGGAAGATAAATTTGAGCAATATATTAGGAACCCAAGAACTAATCAGCTGGATAGTATAGTTCCAGTTAGGAAATTAGTGTGTGTCGTAGTGAATATGTATGTAAATTTGGTGCTGGTTGATTGCTGGCCCTAGTCAGTGGTATTTGCAGTGTGGATTATTTTTTTATAAAGCATTTTGATTAACTTGTTAATATTTATGTTAACAGCCAAGATGAGGAAGAACAGGATGGCTTTCCAGAAATGCAGACATCCCCGCCACCATCACCATTTCTTTCTGCCATAATAGCAGCTTTTCAGCCAGTAGCATATGATGATGAAGAAGAAGCCTGGCGTTGTCATGTCAACCAAATGCTTTCTGACACAGATGGGTCCTGCGCTGTCTTCACTTTCCATGTGTTCTCCAGGCTGTTTCAGGTCAGTGAAGTTTGGGGTTTCCAAAGTTCTCCCTTACTGTTGTCATACTTTTTGTTATTTAGTTCGTCTCCTGAGATCATCTTCTCTTGAATAATAATACTGATTTTTCTGGATATTTCTTCTTCTCTTATAATCTTCCAACCGCAGGAACTGGGTCATGCCTCTGAGCACTTGCAGCACACCCACAGCCACATGATTCCAGCCTTACTGTCACACTCTAGCCAAGCCCATCCCCAAACTCAGCATCCCATGTATTCATTCAGGCAGTTCTCCAAACCTGAAATATACAGCCTCCTCATCTCCATCTAGGAATCTTAGCAGAACTCTGCCCACATGCCCCCGTCTTTTATTTCTTCTTTGATCCTAAGGTCACCAAAGTGAAATTATAATATGTTACTTACTGCCTTAATCCTAAATTTATTTATGTATTAAATACCCTTGACTGTGCTAAGTAAACACAGTACTACTGATGTCAGGGATCGCAGATCTGCTGAGTCAGTTCAGCAATGCTCAGTCTCTTAGTTGCTGTGGGACCCTGGTTGTCTGCCTCACCTTTGGGAAGCTTAGTAATGATATTACTTAGCTTCCAGGGTGAAAAGCACTTTATAAACCGTAAGTTGTTCAGTTGTATCTGACTCTTTGTCCATGGGGTGTTCTTGGCAAGGATACTGGAATGGTTTGTTATTTCCTTCTCCAGTGGATTAAGGCAGAGAGGTTAAGTAACTTGCCTAGGGTCATACAGTTCAAGTGTCTGAGGTTTGAATTCAGGTCTTCCTGACTCCAGACCAGCACTGTATCCACTGAATCACCTACCTGCCTCCAATAAACCATAAAGCACTATCTAAATACAAGATATTACTATTAGAAGACTCATTATTATTATTGAATTAGGGTGATGATTAATTCATATGGAAATATCAGCATATAATTTAAATAAGCATGTAAATAAATGCTTAACAATGGAGTACCTGTATCTTTGCCTTTGTTTATCCAGTGCCCTTTCCACTTTTACCTATCTGTTAGCCCAACTGAACTGGCCTTTAATCTATGGATGAGCAGAGCTGAACAAAGCAAGCTAGAAACAGGAGAGTCAGGAATCAAACAGAAGTTTAATTTCAAAGTGAGGGAAACAGCTTGCTAGAGAATTCCTCCTTCCTAAGCAGCAGAGATAGGATTTTGTTTTTGTTTTTTTTTTTTAATTTTTAGGCAGTTGGGGTTAAGTGATTTGCCCAGAGTCACACACCTAGTAAATGTCAAGTGTTTGGTCTGAGGCCAGATTTGAACTCGGGTCCTTCTGACTTCAGTGCTGGTGCCCTATCCACTGTGCCACCCAGCTGCCCCCTGAGATAGGGTTTTTAAGCATGACAACTAAAAATGGCTGGATCACAAAGACAAGTATTCTTGGGTCTTAGATAAACATCCAAATCATTAGGGTAGTTGAGCCTTGTGGTTGTTCACCAGGGCTTAGAACCAAGGTTAACATAGCTGGGACTTTTGGCTCGAGCAGCAGCAGGGAACCAGATTTGGTTCACTTGGCTGTTAAAAGCACAGGAAATTGTTGTTACGCCAAGCTCAAGGCACAGCTTTCTTGTTGGGCCTTAGCTCTGGAAAACAGGGTGTCTCCTAATAGTATCTTGACATATTTAAATCTTGCCCAGTCTTCAAGGCTCACCAAAATTCCTGCTACCAGTTTCTTCATTTGGCCTTTGTAAATCACTTGAGCCCATTCCCTCCTTTGAACTCCTTAAAGTATATATTATTTATACTGCTTGTTTAACATTTCTCCACGTTGCTTTGTATTGTTTAGCTCTCTTCAGTGTCTCTAGTTAGGTTATAATATCCTTGATGGCAGGGATTGTCACATATACCCATCTTTCACTATAATAGGACACTCACTTTACAGATTTTTGCCTTAAGGCACTACAGTAAAATGTATACCTATTGTAGTATTATTATTATGATTTATTAATATAATATACCTATTCTACTATGACTGTTTTTCACTATATACTGAATACTTTTCACCATTATAAACAAATTCCTACAGCAATACAAGGATATAAGACATCTCCAAAGGCCTCGTGATGAAAAATACTATTCACATCCAAAGAAAGAATTATGGAGTTTGAATGCAGATCAAAGCATACTATTTGCTATTTTTTTTCCTTCTGTTGAGTTTTGGTTCCTCCTATTGGTTCTAATTCTTACTTACAACATCACTAAAGTGAAAATATCAGATTATGCGCCATGTTGGGGAGGGAGGGGGAGAAAAATTTTAAACTCAAAAGCATATGGAAGTGATTGTTGATAAATCAAAATAAATTAATTAAAAAAATAAAATAAACTCCTATACAGAAGGGGCCTGAGAGACAGTCATACATGGAAGAATACAGTGTAAAAGAGAAACTTCTGGTGTGCATCAGAAATAAAAGAGTGTGCCTCTATTCCCCCAAGACCTGAGCGACAAGTCTCCACTGAGACTTATCATTTGTTCATTTTTACTTTGTGTTTTTGTATCGAGTCTCAGAATGAGACATATCATAATGAGGGTTTACCATCCTCTGCATTACTCTTATTTCCACAGTGTTTAGCAGAAGATTGACTCTGTTTCCATCCTCTTTCCATCTCTTTATGCATATATCATTTTTTTTCTCCTTTCATTAAGCATTATGAATTTAACAAGCATTTGTGTATTTGAGTGAAAAAAGAGTGACTGGCCATCAGTTAAGGAATAGCTGAACAAGTTGTGGTATATGAATGTAATGGAATACTGTTGTGCTATAAGAGATGATGAGCAGGCTGACTTCAGAAAAACCTGGAAAAAACCTACATGAACTGATGCTAAGTGAATTGAGCAGAACCAGGAGAACATTGTACACAGTAATAGCAACACTGTGCAATGATCAACTGTGATAGACTTAGTTCTTCTCAGCAGTACAATGATCCAAGACAATTCCAAATGACTCAGGATGGAAAATGCTATCTACATCCAGAGAAGGAACTATGGAGTCTGAATGCAGATCTAAGCATACTATTTTCACTTTTTTTGTTTTTTGTTTTTTTCTTTCTCCTGGTTTTTCCCTTTTGTTCTGATTCTTCTTTTACAACATATCTAATATGGAAATATATTTAATATGATTGTATGTATATAACCTATATCAGATTGCTTACTGTCTTGGGGAGGGGGTGTGAAGGGAGGGAAGAGAAAAAATGTGGACATCAAAATCTTATAAAAGTGAATGTTGAAAACTAGCTTTACGTGTAATTGGAAAAAATAAAATACTGTTAAGTAGGGGGGAAAAAAAGAAAAAAGTGACTGAGAGAGAGGGAGAGAGTTGGGATCTAGGAGTACACCACAGTTTTTCCCATTTAAATGAATTGAAACAGAGTTTTCATTATGCATATTTTTTACCTTCTAGACAATTGTCATGAGGCAGATCTTGTTTGTATAGCAAAGAATGGATGTATTTATTTTATAATTCACCAGAGCATCTAACAGTACAGTGTTTGCTAGGCAGTGGTTAATACAAAAAGAAAAATAAAGCATTTATCACCTTCAAGGAGACTATAATCTGTTGGGGGAATAAAGCATATACATGAATTAAATAACAATGATTTCAGAGAGAGCACTAAAGATTTGGGGATTCAGGAAAGTTTCATGTAAGAAATAATAGCTAAGCTATGTTTTGAAGGGCCTTGAGACAGAGATGAAGAAGGGAGATAGTCCAGATACCTGTTTAAAAAGTCAGGTTATCTGAGTCACTGGTAGTGCCACTTTCTAACGTGTGATACGGTCATATTATTCTCCCTGAGTGGCCTTCTTCAACTTTAGAAAGTTTCATTTCTTTTAATGTATATTTGTGAATAGCAGTATGAGCATGCCTAACCCACACTCCTTTGAAGGGTATTTGTTAGCTCACGACTTGACACTTTTATTCTTTTTTCTCTTTACTGACTCATTTTCAGTTATCCATTTTGTCACCTTCCAGTCTCTGATTGTCTTCTTACTACCTGTATGTTCATAATGTTTTGTCACTTTTATATTGTCATAGTGTGTGTATATATACACACACATTGTTTTTCTAGTTTAGGGGCTCTTATCATTATTTTATGTCATTGACTCTTTCAGCAGTCATTCTGGCGAAGTCTGTGAACCCCTTTTCAGAATAGTGTTTTAAATGAAAAATTAAGAAGCCTGTTGATGAGGGTGAAAGAGGAGATTGTAAAAGCTGGTTTGAAGCTTAACAAACAAAAAAGTAAGATCTTGATAACTGGTGCCATCACTTCTGGCAAATAGAGGGAGAAGAAATGGAAGCAGTGTCAGATTGTATATTCTTGGCCTCAAAGATCACTGCAGACAGCAACTGCAGTCATGAAATTAAGAGATGCATGTTCCGGCCACTCCCGCCACCCAGAGACCGCTGAACCTTCCCCCTCCTCTGTCTGTCCGCCACTGCCACTCACTCTGGGCACAGAATATTCATGTCATGGATAAAATTGAGCTGGTACAGAAGGGCAAATTGGCTGAGCGATATGATGACATGGCAGCCTGCATGAAGTCTGTAACTGAGCAAGGAGCTGAATTATCCAGTGAGGGGAGGAATCTTCTCTCTGTTGCTTACAAAAATGTCATAGGGGCCTGAAGGTCATCTTGGAGGATTGTTTTAAGTATTGGGCAAAAGATAGAAGGTGCTGAGAAAAAACAGCAGATGGCCCGAGAATAAGAGAGAAAATTGAAACCAAACTAAGTGATATCTGCAATGATGTACTGTCTCTATTGGAAAAGTTCTTGATTCCTAGTGCTTCACAAGCAGAAAGCAAAGTTTTCTATTTGAAAATGAAAGGAGATTACTACCATTATTTGGCTGAGGTTGCTGCTGGTGATGACAAGAAAGAAATAATGGATTAATCACAACAGGCATATCAAAAAGCATTTGAAATCAGCAAAAAGGAGATGCAACCAGTGCATCCTATAAGATTGGGTCTGACCTTGAACTTCTCTGTGTTCTATTATGAGATCCTGAACTCTACAGAGAAAGCCTGTTCCCTCGCAAATACAGCTTTTGATGAAGCCATTAAATGAAGAATCATACAAAGATAGCACACTAATAATGCAGTTACTGAGAGACAACTTGACATTGTGGACATCGGACACCCAAGGAGATGAAGCTGAAGCAGGAGGAGGGAAGAATTAACCAACCTTCCAACTTTTGTCTGCCTCATTCTAAAATTTACACAATAGACCATCTGTCATCCATGCTGTCCCACAAATAGTTTTAGTTTATGATTTAAGACAGGTTTATGTTACTTCTATATTTCCCTTGTGGTTTTTATGTTTAATATTAGGGGAGTAAAGCCATTTAACATTTGGGGAGTTATCTGTTTTCATCTGAGGTGGCCAATATGGGGATATGGAGTTTTTATACATGTTTTACATGTTTGGCATAGTACGTTTGGTGTGATTTCACAAGGCCAATGTTAAAACAGTTTCCATGTCTAAGCAAAGAAAACTGCCTGCATACTGGTCCATCATGGTAGGGGGATAAAGGGATAATTGGTTCCAACCACAGATGTAGTTATTGTGGATCCTTTAGGGTTGGAGCACTCATGGCTCTGGTAGAAACAGATGTCCCATAGATATTATATGTCATTCCAAGTGTATCTGTGGAATACACAGTCTCAATGTGTACACCTGTATGATTGCAGTTGCAAAAGTTTTCCTTAAGACAAAGTTTTAACCCAGTCAATTTACGCTGGAGAAGGGTAGAAACAGTTCACATTCCTTTATTTGTAAAGTTCCCTGCTGTTCACTTTCATTATTTTTGCTACACTCATTTGTATTTAAATGGTTTAGGCAACCTAAGAACAAATGTACAAATAAAGATGCAGTAGAAATGAATTGCTTGATACTCATGAAGTCACTGTGTATCAAGCAGAGCAGTAAAACAAAAAACCTATGTATTTCCTTTTTTTTTTTTAGGTTGTTTGCTTTTGTGATTTTTTTTATACTTGACTAACATGTGCTGTAAAAATAGGATAACAGGGAAATAACTGGAGATGATGGCTAGCTTTGTTTAATGTCTTACGAAATTTTCACAAATAATCCAAGCATAATTGTTAAGAACGTGTGCATTAAGTTGATGTAAGTGGAGTAAAAGTTTTGTGAATGGACTTTTCAACTACTTTCTCTACAGCTTTTCATGTAAATCAAATCTTTAGTTCTGAAACTTCTCTAAAGGAAAATGTACATTTTGAAGATTTACTTCCCACTTGGTAGCTATATATATAATGGGCTTTAAGAAAAAAAGCATAAAAATTATCAAATGGAAAAAGTTCCATTGTTCCACTACCTTGATTTTCAGTTACTCTTTTAAAACAAAAGGTGGTGGTCTGAATAAAACCATATGTTCTACTTTAAAAAAAAAAGGCATTTTCCTTGAAAGGAAAGCTATAGCAAATCTGGACAGCATAGTAAAAAGCAGGGACATCACTTTGCCAACAAAGGTCCATATAGTCAAAGGCATGGTTTTTCCAGTAGCAATGTATGGCTGTGAGAGTTGGATTGTAAGGAAAGCTGAGAGCTGCAGAATTTAGGCTTTCAAATTGTGCTGCTGGAGAAAACTTCTGAGAGAACTTTGGACAGCAAAGACATCCAATCAGTTAATACTTAAATAAAGTAGTTCAGGCTATTCACTGGAAGGTCAGATACTGAAGCTGAAGCTTAAATATTTTGGCCACATAATAAGAAGACTGGGATTCATTGGAAAAGACCCTGATGTTGGGAAAGATTGAAGGGGATGGCAGAGGTTACACTAGATGGATAGTGTCATGGGAGTAACAAACGTGAACTTGGACAGACTTCAGGAGATAATGGAGGGTAGAAGGGCCTAGCATGTTATGGTCCATGGGTTCACGAAGAGTTGGACATTACCAAATGATTGAACAACAAAATATATAGGATTACAAAGGAAATCAAAGGGTAGTGAAAAGAAAATCTTATTTTTTTTTCCTATCCAAGGTCATAGACCCCATAAAATCTACCTGTGGACCCCAGTTAAAGATTCCTTCATTTCATTATTGTTTGTCTTTCCATGTTCTTAAGTATCTTTGTATTTTTTCATTTTTAATGGGCTATTACATTATAGATAGCCAAAAGTGAAATAAGCTGCTTGAAGAGGTAATGGGTTATTAGACTTCTTTAAGCAGAGACTGGGTAATCCCTTGTCATGTGTTTTATCTTGGGGATTCTTGATTCTTCAGGACTAAATCCAGGGTTGGCCTGATAGACAAGCATGTATGTTTAGTTTACTTCTTTGATGTTATTTGTTTTTTGAAATGGAGTTTTGAAAGCTTTAAAGTTTAATTTTTAAATTAAAAAGTTTAATTTTTAGTAAAATTAAAGATATAGATGGAAAGATACTTGTATGTGTACTGTGTTTATAAATAGTTTTCTCTTGTGTGTTTTATTCTAGACCATTCAAAGAAAATTTGGGGCTATAACAAATGATTCAGTCAGTTTTCTTGGAGAGAGTCTCCAGCGAATTGGAACAAAGTTTAAAAGTTCATTGGAAGTAATGATGATGTGTTCAGAATGCCCAACAGTATTTGTGGATGCTGAAACGGTAAATTGTCACATATGGGCCCAATACAAGGGGTTAAAAGTCTTCATGTAATGAAAAATCTTAGAAAGCTAAAAATGCCTTACAATGAAAAAAAAAGGGATGTGTGTGTGTATACATATATATGTGTGTGTGTGTGTGTGTATGTATGTATGTATATATATGTATATATAATCTTGTCTTGCCATTTTTAGATTTGTTGGCCTAACCCATCCATGAGGCCTATCCAGATTACCCCAACTACTAATGCTTGCTTCCCCAAGTTACCTTGTATTTACTTTATAAATATTTTGTATATATGTCATGTCTATATTGTTTCCCAAAGCTCCTTGAAGACAGGGAATCATTTTATTTTTTATTTTATACTATTAGAATGTAAGTAGGTAGTATTAAGTCCAGAGTCGCACAGCTAGTTAGCAGCAAAGTTAAAGTATACCACCCAGGTTTTTTGACTCCCAGACCAGTGCTCATTCTACTACAGCACAGTGCATAATCTAAAATGGTCTTCCATAGACCTTTCTCTCAGTACTTTGGGAAAATAAGTAGGTAGGCTAGGGCAAACCCTAGGCAGAATTTTTCTTTTGCTGTCCTGCATTCCCTTTTATACATTATTCTCAGTCCCCACCCCCAATTAGGTACCTAGCATTCTCATCCTGTGTTGCCATCCCCTGTGTCTAAACTCTATTCGGGTCATTCACAATAAGAATAAATGTCTCCCTTCAAGGCACCTATTTTGTCAATCTCACTTTCACAGGTTATGACAATGCAGCAAAAACTCAGTTCTCCCATACCTCCCTTCCCACTCCAAACCCTAGACCTCTTAGTTTGGTTGACGGTTCTTCGTCTGTGATGACCACACCTTCACTTACCTTCTACCAACATGGTTTGGCTCCTGTGGCATTGAGTATCTGATGCCCCCAGTTTCCATTTTTAACCATACATTTCTATGTGCACCTTAGGGAGTTGTTGGCACCACCAGAAATGGGAACTCCAAAACCCTGTGCTTGAACATGGAGATGAGATTAAATTCTTACGGGCTGTTCTTCTATTCTTAGACATTCTTCCCAAGGAACAGGCTATCTAAAACCTATCAATGGAAATTGAGAAGCTAGCAAGAGCTCAGCCCTTTCTAGTGTCCAGATTGAGGTTGAGTCCCTTACTCAGGACATCCTGCAGAACCACATGGTGCTCCATCTCATTACTGCCTCTGAGGGGATCGCCTGCACTATGATTAACCAATCTTATTGCTCATGTATCAACAGATCTGGGGATTTCTAAACCTCCCTACACAGACTCCAGTACTCATTGTCTCATGTCAGTACTCAATCTTTCTCCTCATGGGACTTGACCATGTGACTTGCTTGGCTCGGGGCGGGGGGGGGGGGGGGCGGGGGTTTGGTGGTACCATACTCTGCCTCCTGCTTTGTGTCCTGAGATTTATATTTTTGTTCAGATTCTTACTTGGTGCTCCTTCCTTTCCTTTACACTGGCCAACTACTCCCCTCTAATGTCTGTGTGAGTAGATTACTCCTACCTTCAATATCTCAGCCTGGATCAAATTTTCTCTATGTAACTGGCAAATCAGCAGGCTCTTTGAGTCCTAGGTCAAATGGGGTTAATGTTAGAACAAAGGGACTCCTTTTGTGACTATAAGTTCTGCCTCTCAACACTGATGTTTTTGAGTTGTTTCCTTCAAATGTTTTCTGTAAAATCCCCCACTGAAGAGAAATCAGCTCATACCCTAAACCTGTTGCAGCTTGGCTGATATAGTCCTGTCCCCCTTGTGCACTATGTAAAAATCATATAAAAGCTAAAATGCCACAAGCCTGTGGGTCATTGCACTGACGGAGAGTCTTAGACCCGATTTGTTTCTGCAACCACATGCCTTGCTAAATAAATTATTGTCTAGATGTAAAAATAATAAATGAATGAAGAATGCCTCGTAATACCTGAGTGACACCAGCATATTTCTGGATTCAGTTAGTGGGTATTGGGTATCTTGGGGGAGTATTCTGGCTTTCTTAGCCTTCCTAAAGAAACTTAAATGGACCTTCAGCTGCTCCATTTAAGTGTAAGGCCATTCCTACTCGAAAGAGAAAAATGAGCTCAATAACTCTAGGACATGCATCCCTTGGGTAAGCAGAGGTAATCCTGATACGCCTTCAGCTACAAATTTTTAATTTTGTGATCATTACCAAATTGGCAAACCATTCAAAAAATCTTTTTGTTTTTACAGTTGATGTCATGTGGTTTGCTAGAAACACTAAAGTTCAGCGTGTTAGAATTGCAAGAACATCTGGATACGTATAATGCCAAAAGAGAAGCAGCTGAACAGGTGAGTCATTTCAAAGAGCGTATTTTCTTTAATAGAAAGGATAGTTGCTGATTTGCCTTTGGCCATAAATTTTAAGGGGGAGTAAAATACCTGGGATGTTAGATTTAGACTCTAATCTCTTGAGTCTTTACTGCTTTCAAACACAACTCCTTCTTCCTATCTAGTTGGGTACACTGGGGGGGACACTTGAGATTTTGTAATGGAGCAGCTAGGTCTCCTAGGTCTCTCTAGGCTAGGTCTTCATAGTAGTTGAATACTACTGACATATACTTCTTAAAGCTATAATTTCTGCAGAATAGACCAACTAAGTAGGTAGTTATACAACTGAAATTGGGGTAGTTAACTCCTTAAAAGGAAAGGAGAAGAGAATAAGCATTTATATAGTGTGTACACACCAGGCCTTGTGCTAAATGCTTTACAAATATTATTTCATTTGATTAAAGGAGGGAATGTGCATTATAGAATTTTAAGAAAATGACATTCTCAATAATAGTGGTACTCCTAGACCATGAGCCCTTCCCTTTGGTATGTATGTGTGGCTAATATAAAGACTGATACTATAGATTACTGACTCCTGCCATCTTCAGCAGTTCAGCGACTCCTATGATCTCACCAATGCGGGTAATCTCTCCATCAATGGAGATCACAATCCATATGCTTCCTGATTCTATGTTAATTTTTGTCCATGTTCTTCTCAGAGATGTTTCACCTCATGTGCCAGAGACTTTCTTCTAGGTCTTATTAACATCTGAAGATGTTAGTGGGGCATCAGGCTAGCTGTTACCCTTTTCTTGAAACACATGACTAACTTCCATCCTTTTCTAACCATATCCTTCCTCAATGAGGTTTAGACCCTTAAGCCATTTCTTGAACACCAGTCAATACTGAAAACATATGATAGCTTGCTTATACCTACCATGAATGAATGGAAAAATATAATACTATGCTTTGCACTGCTGTTACAAATAGAAAAGGGAAATCATGCCCATTCTAAGAGGGGCAGATAGCGTATATGAGAGGTCTTGGCTACAAGTGGACAACAACGACAACAAGCATTTATTAAGCAACTATTCTGTGCCAGGCACCATTCTAAGCACTAGGAATAAAAAGAAAGTCAAAACCAGACCTTCCCTCAAAGAGCTTATGATATAATGGGGGTGACAGTGTGCAAACAGTTACTCATAAACAACATAGGGTAAATTGAAGATAATCTCAGAAGGAAAGCACTTAGCATTCAGTGGAATCAGGAAAGTTGTCTTATAGAAGGTGACATTTTAGCTGGAACTTGAAGGAAGCTTGAGAAGAGGAGAAGAGAGAGAATGCCAGGCATAGGAAACAGCCAGTAAAAATGCACTGAATCAGGAGGAGGAATGTCTTGTGCAAAGAGCAGCTCTAAGGCCAATGTCATTGGATTGTAGAGATTGTGGAAGAAAGAAAGGTATAAGAAGACTGGAAAGGGAAGAAGGGTTCAGAAATGAAGGGCTTAAATGCCAAACAGAGGATTTATATCTAATCCTCCAGGTTCTAGGAGCCACTGGAGTTTATTGAAAAGGTAGGTGGCTGGAAGGCTAATATGGGAATCCTCAAGACTTAGATTATTGTGGAATATTCCTGGAAAGGTAAGAGTTGTGATGAAAATGGTATTTGTGCAAGCTGTCTACAGAATGAAATGAAAAGGCAGGAAGATCTTTGCAATGACCATGGTCAGGGGTGGGAAACCTGTGGCTTTGACTGAGTCAGTCAAAGGGCCACACTTGAGGACCTAGGGGGCCACATGTGGCCTCGAGGCCTGGAGTTTCCCACCCCTGACCTAGGTCATTGGAGGTCTCCAGAGCTTCTTAAATTAAAGGTCGTGAGTAGAAAAAATTTAAGAAGCCCTGCTCTAGACTAATAAGTCAAATGTAGAAATATAGGAAAGAGGATATTATTTTGAGACATTTGTTCAGGGATAAGTTGTACTAGATGGACTCTGAGGCCCCTTCCAACTCAGATTCTATAAATTGGCAGTATAATTTGCCTTTTCTTTGAGGACATTAAAATTAGTATAGGAGCCCTGGCGATGTACAAGAGCTTCAGTGCTACAGCTGAGCCTAGAATCGAGGGCTCAATCTGAGTTTTCCTTTGGGATGTGTTCCTTCTCTATTTGACTTGAATTTTTTTTTTTATAGTTTTATTATGCTATATTATAATAATGCTATATTATGGTATAAAGCTGCTTGGTTTCTGGACACTTGAGGCTCTGGGATACTTCACCTGTTGGAAGCTGTAATTATGAGTACTTTTTTTTTCTTTTTTTTTTAGCAGACATCAACATGATTATGAAACGTGTTGAGTAAACAAACTTGATTGAAATCTTGAGCGCACTACAGAGTACTCTCTGTCATTCTGGCGTATAATATAGCTAGAGATTTAGTGAGTTGACTTTGTAAGCCAACACCCAGCTGTTTGTTTTACACATTCCCCTCAGTGCCCATAGTGCAGAAGCTTTTCTTGTATTGATTCATACATTTAGAGCAGGGAGAGGAACTCTGAGATCATGTAGTTCAACCCCTTCATTTAACAGATACAGAAATAAACCACCAGAAAGCTTAAGTGACCTGCCCCTGCCCATGGTCACAAAGCCAGTTTCACCAGGGCTTAGCTGAATCCTTCACTGGTATCTGCCAGACTAAAATTGTCTCCTACTTTTGTGAGGGTGACATGGCAGGGCCTGGGACCAGTAGGGGAGGAGGGGAGAAAACACCAATAATCAGTGTAATGAGAATACAACGTATGTATTGTCAGACATACATTGCATGTTATTTTGCAAACAAAGGATTGATATCTTGGGTTGTGGGAAAGATGCCTTTTTAAGATTTAAAATTATTACTATTGGTGTATTTGCTAATAGTGACAGCTTTAAAAAAAAACAAGCACCTACCTTGTTTCTGTTAGACAGCAGTCTGTGAATAAAGATAATGCATAATCTTGTGATAGATGTCTACTGTGTAAGTTGATAGTAAGAAACTGCTGGATAGTATTTGACAATAGTTTCTGTCAGCCTTATCTCACTAGGAATGCACAACATGTTTTTCTTCAGTGATGCTGTCAAAAAATAGCCCACGGACCACTTCAGTCTGAATGTTTGGGGTAGAGGTCCAATCTGGTCAAAAGTCCTGTTTTGAAATAACTGAGATCAGGCCTCATTTTCTATTCTTTACATGTTGAAAGCTAAGATAGAGGTGAAAATGTTACTTTTATTGGTCATTAAAATATTTCAGCTAAATATTGTAAGCAGGTTTTTTCCATGCCCTGGAATTTTGCTCTTTAATAGTTTCGCACATTCTGAATATGTTACATAGGACTGAACCAATCTACCCAGTGAAAACTGATGGTTAACATTTTTTCCTACTATATCCATTTGATAATATATTTTCATCAAGCAATAATGTGTTAAATGTGTATGACTTTAGGAGCAGGAAAAAACAAAGTGTACTCACTGCATAGCAAAAAAATGATCAGGTCTACATCTGATTTTTCAAGCTAAAATGTTTCTTGACACCCATGATTTTTTTTTCTTTGTTACTAGATTTAAAATGGATCTTGGATTCTGTGTCACTAATTGAAACTGACACTAGTGTTTAGAGAATTCCACTTCTGATAAGCAAACAGACCTAGTAAATTCACTAAGGAGTCTTTATTAAATTGACCAGATGAGAAATCTCATTTTTCATTTCCCAGTCTTACATCTCACAGAGGTTAGATATAGGTCATGAAGATTTCCAGTGAAATCTACAGGGTAAAGTGGACTATTTACTGATCTCTGTGTCTTGAGGTAGACAGTCAAAGAAGCTTTACCATGTTTGAATTTGTACTTCAGTTTCAGCAATGTGTACATTACCCTACTGTTACTGAATACAATTCTGCATTATTAAATAAAGTTGTAATCAGAGCTTCATTTTACTCATGTTAAACAACATTTTAAATTTTAAATTTATAATATTTATTAATTCTAAATAAAATTAAGATATTGTGATGTTTTTATCAGAAACTATATACATCTGAGGAAATACTTTTTAACCAAATGTATGAGGTCATGTTTAAGTGCTTTGAAATCTGATATTTAAATCTAAGACAATGGTATTCCTTAAGTTTAATGGACTTCTTAATTATACTTATCCCCCATGTGCTTGATTCCCTGAAGTTAAAAAAAAATTAAATCAATGATTGCAAAATTTTTTCTGAAGATTATAGAGGTTAATTATGTTTTAACAGGAGCTTTTCATCTGGAGAGGTTGCCTGTCATAGTAGTCATCCATCACTTGTTTTGGAGTCAGTCAGAAGACTTGGCTTGGCAGCCCATTTTCCCCATATCTATCCTACATGACCCCAATTGGGCAAAGTCACTTAACCTCTCTTTTATAAAGTATTAGGTGATATATCTAAATGAGCTTTATTTCCTCTCTTTCAATTTTCAGAGAAATGGTTGCAGTTATTTATCCTGCATATGGATGGACAATATACCAAGGAAAAAAATACCAGTGTAGTTGTTGATGTTAAATTATCCAGCTAAAGAGTGGGATGACTGTAGTTAAAGAAAAAAAGTAATTATCAGGCCATCTCTAGAGCACAAAATATCTTCATATATGCCAAGTGCTATGATAGAATGGAAAGAGCATTCGATTTGAAGTCAGGAAGACCTGACCTCCAAACTTTACTAGCTGCCAAGCTACTCTTTTTTCTACTCTCCGAATCAGTTTTCTCTTCAGTAAAATGAAGTTCCATTGAGCTGTAAAATAATAGTTACTTGAGAGGGTTCTAATAAGGTATGGTAAGTGTCTTACAATGATGGGTGTTGTTATGTGACCCAGCCTACGTTGGTGAAGCTACTTTACTCAGCATTACTTATCCTTTTTTTTTTTTTTCCTTGTAGTGGTTAGAAAATTGCAAGAGGACATTTGGTGGTGGTGATAACATGTATAGAAATAACACAGATGCACAGGTAAGTGTCTTATTCTCATTTTCTTGGTACATTTCTAAGGCAAGTAAAAATACTCGTGTTCCAGTTCTTGTCTGATATTCTTAGAAATAATAAAGAATATTTGTAAAGCTTCTCATTTTAGTTATCAGAATCATCTTTGTGAAAGTTAGGTTCCCATGAAATATTGGCTTAGTAATGAAAATTTCACTGTAATAAAAATAAGCAACCAGTTTGTGATATGAGGTTTAATAATATTCAGTATATAAGCTAGATAAAAATCTGTGTACCAGTCAGTCCAGGTCTTTGAGTGCAGCCGTCTCTAGAAGAAAAGGAATTAGTATTCTGCATCAGTACCTGACAAATACATTGTCTAGTCCAAAAACCAGACCTGAAATTAGCACTGTAGAACTATATTATAGCCTTTCTGATGATGGAATTCTAGTTGGACACTTTGCAATTTGCTCATATAAAAGTTCAGTAAAAAATACAAATGGGCTGAATACATTACATTAAATGGACATTATCCCAATTAATTTTTGCATGGGGGGAAATTCTGTCTATTTTGCTTTTAACAATCGAAAGAAATTAAACAAAATTGTCAATGTAAAGTTTAATAAACTTCCTACTCCAAAGAACAGTGTTGAGGAGTTTGGATCAGGCTAAGAAAGGACATTTTTTTTTTTCCAAATCTTCAATACTTTCCTGCTTATTTTGGAGAGAAAAATAGCCTGAAGAATCATTTTATATATACAAACACACACATATACGTGTGTGTGTGTGTGTGTGTGTGTATAATATCTTGATCAGGGATGTTAAGTGGGAGCATATGAATTAGAATGAAATACTTTTCACTTTCTTTGAAAAGCTATATGGAAAATAGTCATGCTATAAAACTAAAGAGAACTGTTCCAGGTGAGAGAAGAAAGAAGGAAACGGACAACAGCAAGAGGGAAGAAAAAACTGTCGGTAGAGAGCAGTCAGCAAAGGCAAAATTTGGGGACTCATTCACCGGGAACCATTATGGTTGGGAGTGATTCATTGAACTTATGACTGTGGGATATTTGGGACTATTAGGTACTTATTTATTTTGTCCTCACTCTCAATAAAACTTGTTAAAACTAAAACTTTAAAAACAGGAATAATATAGAGATGTGAGTTTCGATATCCTCTTGTGCTGTTCTTAATTTGTGCAAATCACTGATTATTTTTAGGAACTGATTGGGGAGGGGGAGTCATTCTCTGCATATAGTGTATTTTCAGATATTAACTGATTTGTGGAACTCGTTTCATAACATTCTGCTTTGCCCTTTTAAAATTATACACTTGACTTTAAAAATACTCTAAGGTTCTACTCTCTCTTATTTTATGAAAGTCAGCTCATAACCTATAAATTAAAGTTATTATTGTTTTAGATGTATTTTAAAAGGCTATCATTTAATATACATAAAGGTATACTCATTTTTTTAAAAAACACATATGCTTTCTGAAAACATGCAGGAGTCTAAACTAATAAAGATTAAATGGAAAGCTAAAACAACATTAAAATTTAATTCACCTTTCAAAATTAACACTAACATATCTCCTATTTATATGTTTAATTCATTTTTCATTCATATTTAATTCATTCAACAAACATTTCTTAAGTGTTTATAAAACATCCTTATCCTGAAGTTCTTAGTCAAGTAGGAGTTAAGATGTGTATACACAGATAATAGTTATCCTCTTCTAATATGCATAATATTTGAAGCATTTAAAAAGATATGAAAATTTCAAAGTGACCATTGGCTATTATGTACTACTCTGCTGATAAAGGATTGAAAATACAAATACTAGGAAAATAGAAAATATGAAAATGTAAAGTCATTTCCTGACCAGGTATTGATAACCCCAATACAGTAAATCATCTCTAAATAGCACATATGATATATGCTCAGTGATCCAGACTGTACTAGCAATTCACTTAAATTCAGAAAGGCTTCTGTGTTGTGGTGCTCTATATTCATGATAACAAAAATTGGACAGAAACTTAAAGTTTAGGAAAACCTATCTTCATTGACAATGTAAGTAACTAAGAAATAAATATGTAAGTGGAAATGCTTAAACAATTTGAGACTATTCATTTTTCTTATATTGGAATACTTTTAGAAGGTAAGCATCATTTATACAATAAAAATTTAGATTTTAATTTTAAAATTATTCTTTTCTGTAAATGAAGGCAAGTGGCCTCATCTCATTTTAGTTCCTGATTTTTTTTAACACTGTCAAAAACCTAGCTAAAAATAAGAACATATCCAATACTATTCATGATAAACAATTTATGAGTGGTCTAACTCTTTAAGATTTTATTTTACTGTTGTTGGCTTTTATATTTTATGTATTTAAATAACAATACACCAGATTTTCATTGTAACTGTCAAATTGTATTTTTTTGGCAAAGCAAAAAGACTAGTTTCATTCTGATTGCTTGATAATTTTCCTTTGGGGAATAAATACATTTCTTTCAGTTTGCCTGGGACATCTATGACCCTAGTTAAAATGATTTCCTACACTAATTCTTGGTCTCTTTCTTCCTTTGTATTTTTTGTGACCCGCTCACCTTCTTGCTTAGCAAATGGAAATTCTAGCAGTAAGTGAACTGTCTTGATTTATAGACTTACTTAACCATGTCAGACAACAAACTGGTCTTCATCTGTCTCTTGTCCATATGTGACATAGTAATGTTCTTGTCATAGACTACCTTAAGAATAGTGTGTGCTTCAGTTTTGCATAGCCCTAACCCATGAAATGCTGGTCCTACATTGATTAATGGAATTTCATAATTAAAGCTAACTAGCAGTGGCTTTTTCTAAGAAATTTTTAATAATTATTAAAAATGCACATGTTAATATCATTTTCTTACTTCAATGAGGATATAAAATTTGGGGGAGTTGATAAAAATTCATTTTAGAGAAGGAAATGATTATTCTTACTTCTGAGTAAGAATTCATTTAGTTTTTGTTTGCTTTCTCAGGCAGCTGTAAGTAAATGCAATGGGATGTGCTTTTTCTCTATGGTGAAAAATAACTTCTTTATATTTATAAGTTGTTTTCTTGAATTTAAGTATTACATGGGCACTATGTCTTTAAGCACTCTGCATATGGCCTTGGTGGACCAACATTATTATTATGTTGGAAATGTGCTTAACTCTAAAAATAAAATAGCCTGTTATCAGTGGTTCATCTTTAAGTATTAATTATAAATTGAGATTCCCTAAGCATCTTTCATCTGCCTTTAATCAGCTTTACACCCTATTAACTTGTCAAAATTTCCTTCATTTCCTTCTCTGCAGTAAACAAGTAACTATTTACAAATTCTTTGCTGGAAAGCTGGCTAAAATGTGTCTTGTCATATGTTTACAGAAAAATAATTCCAAAACCTTAATATAATGTTGCTTATTCCTAGGAACTGGAATTGTGTCGAAGGTTATACAAATTGCATTTCCAGTTGCTACTTCTGTTCCAGGCCTACTGTAAACTTATCAGCCAAGTAGATACAATCAAAAATGAAGCAGAGGTAAAAAAAAAAAAGATAAAACAAAACCATGTATTTGTAGTTTACATATATATTCGATCACTGTTGGAACGGTCTAATTATTAAAAAAAAAACTACATGCTAGTTAACTATCTTGGTCAAGTTATACATCAGTTGAAATGAATAATTTCTCAGTTCATGAAATAATTTTTGTTTATTACTTCAAGACATTAATATTCAAGAAAACATTCAGTAAGATAGTAACCTATGGAAAAAGTTTCAAGGATTCTAAATATCACAATTGTAATCATAGATAACTCCTAATCAAGCAGCAAACAAGGAACATCAAGATAAATCAAGAGATGAAATTATATTATAAAGCCTCAAACACATTTCCCATGGCTTCTGATCAGTGCATTGTGCCTTCCTTAGTTCCATTAGTGCATATGAAAATATGAACATGTTAAAATCAATTTGTAATGTTAGAAATAATTTAAAGGGGCTTTAACTCTTAGTTAATAGATTGGATGAAAGATTTTGATTTCCATTTTTTTCTGGAATCTGTTATAATTAGTCATAAGTTATCTTTTTTTTCTACTTTGTTAAAAAATAATCTGTCAAGGATCATTAAGATTCTGTGACATTCTGTGTACTTCTTTTTAGTGCACATATATTACACTCAAAACCAGCCTAATCCATTCTCTAAACCTATTGTAAATAATGTGCTGGATATATTGTATGTGTGTGTGTGTGAAAGAGAGAGAGAGAGAAATCTGAGATCAAATGATATTATGATTTTAAAATATCCCCTGGTTACTGTACAAATTAAAGCTGAGACTAAACTTGTTCTTCATCATATATGTAATAATCTCTGTGGTGTAGTAGTATGAATCCTGGCTCTGCTACTTACTATTTGAATAGCTTTGGCTAAGTTATTGCACTTTTTAGGGCCTTGCTTTTCCCATCTATAAAATGCCAAGTTGCTTAATGTCTGCTAAGACTATGTTCTTAGTAGACGTCATTACCTTATACCAGGGGTAAGCAATTTGCGGCCTCAAGGCCACATGTGACCTTCTAGGTCCTTGGGTGCAGCCCTTTGACTAAGTACAAGTTTTACAGAACAAATGCTTTTACTAAGGGGATTTGTTCGATGAAGTTTGGATTCAGTCAAAGGACCACACTTGAGGACCTAGGTCCTGACCCCTGCCTTATACCTTATACCTTATACCTCCAAAATCCTATGATCCCACTCTATGTAGAGGATCTAATTTCATAGTACATTTATAGAACAAAAGAGAGAACAAATATATTTAATCTGTACTGTATTAGGAAAATTTGGTTAACATTCAAACTGGTATCCTTAAAGAGCCATTTTTAAACAGATTTTTAAAGGAAATTCATTTTTTTGCTATAAAGTTTATTTTTATAACTATTATAACTTAAATCTGCCTTCTGTTATATACTGAAAAGTTATGAAAGGATTATTTGTTTTAGGTCATTAACATGTCAGATGAACTTGCCCAGTTGGAAAGTTTTCTTCAGGAGGCTGAAGCTGCCTCCGAGAACATTGAAGAGGCTGATGTACCTGAGGCTGCACAGGCAACAATAGAAACTGCCATTCATTCTCTCATTGAAACTTTGAGAAATAAGGAGTTTATGGCAGCAGTAGCACAAGTCAAAACATTCAGGTAAAATATGAAGTCACTTGGAAGTGAATCTTTTAGAGCTAGGCCAAAGTAACATACCACTGGCCATTTAATGACATTACGTCTTTCCGTGCTTCAGTAGTGTAAAGGACACGGCATGAACAAAGTTGACTGTAGTCTTTCAGATGAGGTCCCTGGTAAGCAGTGGCAGCCTGAAATCTGAAAGGAGTGCCGGGGCAAAGACCTGGGGTTGCCAGTAGGAAAAATAGCTGCTATTTTTCTGTTGTATCATGCTGCATCACCACCTATATCATGTGTTACATGGGGTTTTATGAGCTTGCCCAGGCCTCTTAGCCACACAGAGATGGGAAAATATGATAATAGATTAATGCTGCCTGTATATCATTTCTGAAAGTGAAATATTTTCACCACGGTTTTCTGAAAGTTAACTTTTTAAAGATATAATATCTATAATTTATTAAAAGTGGTCAATTATTAACCATACTTGCTTAATTTTTTTATTTCAATGCTTATTTAAATATGTATTTGCAGGTGTCTTTGGCCCAATGACATATTTGGCAGTTGTGAAGATGATCCTGTTCAAACACTGTTACACATATATTTCCGTCATCAAACATTGGGCCAGACAGGCAGTTTTGCAGTTATAGGCTCTAACCAGGACATGTCAGAAGCCGGTTTAAAACTGATGGAACTTAATCTAGAAATAAGAGAATCTCTACGAATGGTGCAATCATATCAGCTTCTAACAAAGGCCAAACCTATTGGAAATTTGGTGAGCACTGGATTCTGAAAAGCTTCATCATTTAGAAAATGAAAAAGATTAAAACTGAGAGATACTTCAGAATTTTATCAAGCACCTTTCACAAACTGTTGCAACTTTTATTGATACTTTTTCCAGCAGCATCCACAACCTTGGTGACCAATGTAGAATTTTATCAAAATAAGAAATTAAGAACTTGAAAACAAAAGCTCTGAAGGAAAAAAAAATGCTTACTGACTGCCATTACTTCACATAACTATGTACAGTAGTAACTTTTTAAAAAATTATATAAAATAAACTACATGAAAGGAAAAGGGCTAAAAGCGATGCACAGAAATGCATTATTTTCTGCAGCAAGAAAATAATTCCAAGAGTAGTTGCAATAATGTTTCTCTAATAATGAAACAATGAAAAGCAGGTGGAATGAGGCTGAAATCAAGGCTGATTTATTTTAGCTGAAGACCTGCAAGGCTTCCTGGCTTTCCAGCAATCATAAGCATAATCGTCACTTGATACCTAATTATCTACATGAAGAATGTGCAGTCAGACATCAGCAGAAAAAGACTTGTTTGCAAAAACCATTGATTGCTTAATGTTTGGGGATTGCAGTTGTGTGTGGTGGACTTTTTTGTTTTTGTTTTGTCTGCATAAGGAATTATATGTGCGAGAGTTAGGATGTGTGGATATGTGACAGTCACATTTTCAAAGTATGGATGTTTGTTGATAAAGTCTCAGAGCATGCCTAAAAGAGCACTGCAAATTATTTTTGAAGAAATTTTATTTTATTAGATCTAACTCTTCATAGTGTGTAAATGTTAGGACATTAAATAATATTTTAAAACTGGGCTTTCCCAGAATTTCTAAAAGAAATAATATATCTGTTAACTTTATTGGAATGCTGCTCAGTTCTCTGATCAGTGCTTATGTTACAATTATTGATAACAACTAACCAAAGTAGCTGCCTGCAGAGACTTTAAAATGTATATTAAAGATAATATGCTGCCCATCAGCAACTCACTAGAAAAAAGTTAACTTATTTTATTCTGTAAATATTCTAGAAATTGTATAGAATAAAACCAGTATTTTTCTTGTACATTTGTGCAATGCACTGTTATACAAGAATAGGTGTACAAAGCTAATGAAAAAATTGTGGCCACTGGTGGTAGAAACATATGACTTGCAGATCCTGTTGTCTGCTGAAGAGGTGCAAATGTATTGATGTTTATTCAGGACTTAAGTGACAACTAAGGAAGCTTGGGCTGCAGAAGAAAAATAAAATAAAAGGACCACAGAGGATGGATACCAAAACATGCGATAGACTTCTCCATTGAGTCTGTGGTATAACATGAACTGTACCTGTTGGGGTTTTTTTTAAAAGCATTTTGTAAACGAAATGAATGTAGTCCCACGATTCCTCTGATTTGAAAGGAACACCTTGTATTTTTTATATGCATCTCTTACCCACTGTGATTTTTTTAAAAACCAGGCTCTGTGATTCCAGAGTTTAGAATGTAGAAATGATATTCTTAGCTTTGCCTTTTCTTGGGGAAGAGGACCCCACCAGAAATGTAATTATGCTGAAATGCATTAATTGAAGGCACTGTGCGCGCTGTTGGACTGCTGACAGTAGTTATGTTACCTTTAAAGTTCTATAACTGGTCATGGCACATTCATAATCACTGTATTTTTTTGACCCTGATAAAACTGAGTTATTTTGATGGCTTGTTGGTACTGTAGATGGTGTTCTTTTAATTATTTAATAACTATTTACTGAGGTTAGGTAGTTTTATTTAGTGGTGCGTTACATACTTTTATTCACATCATCTCTTACCATTTCCTATTTTCTCTCTTCCTTTGACCCTTTTTTTGTTTTTATTAAAATAAAAACTTTGTATCTCTTACTCTGTGTATCATTGTGAAAGGGGTTAAATAATTTAATGTCATAAATATCTAGGATTTTTAGAACATTAACTTGACTTCTCTCTTGTGTATTTTTATTTTAAAAGATTATAAAATGGTTTCTCATACTTCATTACAGACCCAGAAATATATAGTTATATCCTAATGTTAAACTCACTCAAACTAATTAATATTGAACAGAATATTTCCAAAGTATAGTTTAAAATCACTTTATTTTTTTAAAATTGTAACAAAAGATTCTTTGAAGCCATCTATTAAAACACTGAATTAAAGACTTAGGTAAATATTACTTACAGGAATATAACAAGTCATAAATTACTATGAAATGGGAGTTTGAGAACCAATTTAGGATTATTTCCCTAAAAATTCTTAGTTTAGGGGGAAAAACCTTCAACAGTCTGGTATGTTCAGAAAACAGAATTCCAAGGTACTTATGACAAGAGATGACTATACTGTCATCAAAAGCCTAAATGGCATAAAACTTAAGTACAAGTATAGAATCAAGCCTCTATTATGAAAGTTGAAAATAAATTTCTTCCTGGTAATCTACAATTACAGCCCAACAAAAATATTACATATCCCTAGGAGGAATGCCCTCTCTCCCTCAGTGATCTCTTGTTACCAACCTTCTCTCCCTCAGGAAGGCAGTTTTGTACAAAATTTTAGTAGACAAAAAAGAATTAGCCTGAATAACCTGAAAAAGGTCAAAGAGTGTCATTGCCTTCAGTAGTAGTCAGAAGTACTAATAGCTGCAAGAGGTTTGGGAAATAGACTTGTATTTTGATCATTTGCTTGTGAACCCCTTTGGCCCACATTTAACACAGAGTAAAGGCAAGAATAGTTGCTTATCATCAGTGGGGAGGTGTGTGACATATGAGGCTTTATGTACAGAAGTATGACTTTGGGAATAGACCAAGTCATTGAGAATCAATCTACAAGTCAGAAATACTCTACTGGTGATACAAACTTGAGAATGAAACAGTCCCTACTCACAAGTAGCTTCCTTCAAATGAAGCTTTCAGAAATCCTATCTGAATTCAAAGTGAAAGTTTTCATTCGAATTCTAACTGCCAACCTTCTTCAGAAATGGTTGAAGTAATAGTAAGTTGGAAGAGGCATTATAAAAGGTGTCCTGAGAAAAACCAAAAATGATTATCTGGTTCTTCACACCATGCTTCCTGTTCTGTAAAAGAACTAAAGGTTACAGGTGAGGGGACTGGAAAAAATAGAAATTCATTGGTTTTGCAAAAAAATCATCTTTTTATTCACAAAATTTGAGAAATTAATTTTTAAACTGAATTAATTTTGACTCAAACTGGAATCTTAATTCTAATGTTGGGATATGAAATCCAAAATCACGTGACAGTGAGCTGTGTTATAAACTGTTAAAGAAAGATAATTGGTAACTGGAAAATTACTTTTCACCAGAATAACAAAAACAAGTAATAACAGAACAAATTCTCAAAATGTATCCTACCTATGTGAGGTTTTCTTTGCTAGGTCATGAAGGAAGTCATTATGAAAGTTGATTTCTTTTCAGTAAAACATGAACCTCCAGGGAGTTTGATGGCACTAAGATATTTTCATGTACCTTTTTTGTCTTCTATAAATTATTTCTTGATCCTGTTGCCTTAGTAAACCTCATCCAAGCTGCTTGCTACAAAAACAGAAAACTATTGATTACTAATTTTATTTTAGTCACATTCAAAGCAAATGGCTAAATAGCTTAAATCAATTATAAACCAGTGCCTACCCCTACCAAGTGTTTTATGCAAATTAGAAACCAATTGTTAATATTCAGATATTTTATAAAAAATATTCTCAAATGAAATTTTTTTTCAACTGTAAAACGGGAATAATAACATCTGTGTTGTTATTGAGGAGCAAGGTTGTTAATAAGGAGCAAATAAGGTATCTGTAAAGCACTTAGGTGCTACATAAATTCTTACTTCAAATCAGAGCATAGTAAAGTTTCTGTAACAATATAGCCGACCTCTAGTCAAAGTGACACAGTTAAGCCTATGAAGAAATTTTTTAAAAGCAGTATTTAAAATTGGTAAACTTGTTTCATTGTCCTACTCCTTAGCCTCTACAACTATAAAAGGAGACGTGAAATGACTGGAGAATCAAAATACTAAATCTAACAATGGCCCCCTACCCAATGAAAAAACTCAGCAACCTCTGATGGTATGGGTTGAACTAGAACACTCCCTCTTCCAATATTAGCCATCCACTGTTCTGAAGTGAGAATCTTAGGCGCTTGGTGCGCTGAGAGGTGGTCAATTGCTCTGAGTAACAGACAGTATGACATTTAAAACTCGGTTTTCCTCATGCAAAGAATACTCAGTATCCACTAAAGATTTTATCAGGTTTTCCTTGTAGGTTTTTTTCCCCTGGGTAATTCAGTTAAATTAAAAGGGTATTTATAAAGCACCCATTATGTGTCAGGCACTATGCTGGGCACTTTATCACATTATTATAAAGAACTTACTGCCAAATATTAATTCCCAAACAGCTTTATTTGACTCCTATTTAAACTATCATTCTGCACTGGTTTAAACTGTTTTAAAGATGTTTTTCTCATCTTCACCAAAGAACTGATTTTGTACATTTGAATTGGCATGAAAATCTTTTGTCCAGTACACTTCCATTTTACATAGCTAAGATACTGTGAACGTTTAAGCACCTAGTATGGGCTGCAGTTTAGATAATAGTCTCTGCCCTCCAGGAATTAATCCTGGTAAAGGGATAAATCTCTATCACATTCACTGCAATTTACCCAAGTACATTAGAATTGCCAAATAAAGAAAAAAAAAGTGCTGAGAGGGAAGAATAATTGATATTCATGTAACATTTTACAGTCTGCAGGAGCTTTGTTCCACAAAACCCTGTGAGGCAACAGATGATATCAAGAAAGACTTCATGAGGTTTTCTTTAGAGTTGGGCTTTAAAGCACTTGAAATTAAATAAGCAAAGAGAAGGACTGAATAACAGGCGTTGGCAACATGGAAGCATATGAATGAGCCCTTTTGCAGGTCTGAGGGCAGAAAGATGTCAAATTTGATTCCAGCATATGGCTGCAAAGGCAGGAAGACACCAAGTTAAGAGGGACTTAAAGAGTTTGAATTTTACATGGGCAACGGGGGACCTTTGAAGATTTTTGATATAAGCACAAGAGGTCATTCTGGCAACAGCAGGGAGGATGGATTAGAATTCACCCTTTTATTCATGGATTCTGTGGTCTAAAAATCTTTATTGAAAACCAATGACTCTAAGTAAATATTCCTAGAAAAGTAGCCATAGCAAAAAAAAACAAGTTATTATTGAATAAGTGTATCAGTGTGAGGGTTATATTTAAAACAAAAAGATTTTATAATTGTAACTTCTGCCTTCTGTTACAGCGATTGTTAAGAAACATAAGCTACCTTCAGTTACGTTTTCTACTCAAAAAAATCTCTTTACAGTTTTTGCAAAATTAGCAACTATGTTTTTTAGGATAAGAAACTGGAACATAAAAGACCTCCTATCCGTCTCTCAATTCTGCTGCTGTTGTTCAGTTGTGTCCAACTCTTCCCGACTCTCCATTTGAGGTTTTCCCTGGCAAAGATACCGGAATGGTGTGCCATTTCTTTCTGCAGCTTATTTTATAGATGAGGAAATGAGGCAGACAGGGTTCAGTGACTGGCCCAGGGTCACACAGCTAAGTATCTGAGGCCAAATTTAAATTCGGGTCCTCCTGGGGCACCTAGAGAGCACCAGCCCTGGAGTCAGGGGGACCCAAGTTCAAATCCGGCCTCAGACACATAACACTCACTAGCTGTGTGACTCTGGACAAATCACTTAACCCCAATTGCCTCACCAAAAAAAAAAAAAAAAAAAAATTCAGGTCCTCCTGACTCCAGGGCTGGCACACTATCCACTGAGCCCATAGCTGCCATCTCCATTCTACTGTGTAATAAAAATCTGAACATGTATACATACAGAAGTCATTGTCCTCCCACACTGCATATAGCAGAGAGTACCAATGTCATAGCCTTTATAAAATAATCTAGGCCAGGATACATTATAGAAGCCAATAGTTGAGCCCAATGGGATTAGATGCCATTCTAGTCTTATAAATTGTTGGATTATTTTGTCTTTCTTTGGGAGGAGGGAGTACAGTTGAAATGGGGAATGTAGCAAATAATGATTATAACAAGTCTTATTCAAAAGCATAAGGCACTTAGGATCACTCCAAATCTCAGTTAACCCTCAAAATTTGTTCATTCAGGGTTTTATAACACCTGCCTCCATGACAGATAGGTTGTTTTATTTTTTTTTAAACTTCAATAGCTCTAGTTTTAATTTTAATTAGCATATGAGCAAAGATATAAAGAGGGGCCAGAGGGTGAAAGAAGGAATTGGACTTTCACAACAGACTTGGATTTGGCTTCTACAACCTTTCCTCCCTCAAGTCACTTTAGTTTCTTAATTAATAAAAATTTGTTAAATTAATAACATTCCTTGTTTTAGATACTGTTTCTTAAAAGTATGTAAAAGCATCTCTAAATCAATTTCTCCTGTGAAACCTACAACTGACTTTTGTAAAGCAAAGAATCCTTTTGCAATATTCACTCACTAAATTTCTAAGTTGTAAATTTGGTTTTTAGCAGATGGTCTTCTTAAAAGAACATTAAAGCTACTCAATTGTATTACATCAAAGTTCTTTTGATCTCCAAATTTGTTAACAGCCAAAGGAAGCCAGTTTTGGCATCTAAGTTGTTGGGCTACTATTAGGTTTTCAGTTATGATTAATAAAAACCCCTTCTATTCTGATTTTCTATATTCCATTTAATTACTTCATGTGAGCAGTATTTAAAAATAGAAGATCCTATAATTATCCCAATTATGGGTAAGTTTATATTCCACTTCACTGAAAGCAAGATCGCCTCATATCTTTGCCTTGAATGTTATGTCAATATGAAATTTAAAAAAGATGCATACTTAAATTTTCTTCAAGGTACCTGGTTAGATCACAGTCAACATCAAATAGAGCCAGAATTATTTTCTTCTTAGCTTCCAAAGGGAAATGATTTGGCTACTATCAACATAGCCAACTGACTTTAGATAACTGATTTTCAATTTCATGTTTCCATATGCACCAGAATAAATTTAGAGAAAAAGGAAGCTGGGTTTTTTTCCCCTTCCCCAGAAGCAAATTCTTACTTATTACATATATGTAATCGTACCACAAATAAGTAGCTTTAGATTTTTCTTTTAGATCTACATTCTGATCTCTAGAACACCATCAAGTAACTATCGCTGATGATTTGTTTCTGTACAAAAGCAGATTTAATTTCTGGAATCCATCTTGCCATATGAGTTACATGTTATTTTTTTCCCCCAATTCAATTTGTTTTCTAGGATGGAAAATTTTAAAAGCAAAAAAAAGGTAAGGCTTCAATAATGTATGGATTGTTTTTGCAATACATTTATTTAAAGGCTCTAAGTATTCCTGCTATTTTGATTAGTCTTTTCAGGGAAGGGAAGGTGGTAAGCAAAAGAAGCTCATTGCAGAAATTACATCTGTACTCTTTACATATTCATTCACTTAAATGATATATTTAAAGCTGAAGGTGCTGTCACAGGAGAGCCGTTTTCCTTTGCATCTCCCGCACAAATCCTGACGATGAGGTCTTTTGGGATCTACATGGCGAAGTTTCACTGGGCAGGAGCATCTTGTCTGTTTACAACTCTGAAAAAAATTTTAAGCATGCTATATGTACCAAAAATTGAGCCAGAGGATTATGCAGCCTCAGTAACGGGAATGTGGCATAGAATCTAGCCTTGTAACCACATAATCTAAGAACTGGAAGGAATTCAGAGACCATCTTTCTAGCCAAGAATCCTTTCTACAACATCCCCAGATAGCCTTCTTCTGGACCAAGTTAGTATCCAAATAAAGTTAGGACCCATGTTCTCCTAGCCTTCTAATCTAATGCCCTTGTTATTATACTCCTGTGATTCCATAACTACAGTCAAGGCCACTAGCTATCAAGTTAGCCTCTTTAGAAATAAAGTACATTAAGAAAACAACCCAAATCACACCTGCTACCTCCCCTACAAAGATCCCAAAAGCATGGAAAGACTTTTTACTTGACAGGCGATATCCTCCACTCGGTATGGGTTGTAAGACTTCTGACAAGTTCTGCAAAACTGCTTGAAGTAGACCTGATACATGAGAGATTTTAAAATAAGTGTGCCCTCTCCTTCCCCCCCCACCATCCCTAGAACCTTAACATAGAAAAAATGATCAGTTACATCATGTGTCTTACCTTATTGGTACCCTGCACGCACCACACATATGCACTTTCCCATCGAATGTTGCAGTCTTTGCAGTGATAATAGCCATATTTCTGCTCTAAGAACTAAAGAACAATATTATATAACAGGGCAAACAAGACATAATATCAATATCTTCTTTCTCATATTTCAGAGATGGTGATGGGAGTTAAGGTCAACTTTGGGACTAGGTCAATTATATTCTACAAACCAAAGGAAATGAGAATGTAAACTGTTTGTACAGATTCACTTCCTAGAACATACTAGTGAAGAAACTACTGATCCATTTAACCAAGCAAAACAAAATATAATTCCAAGGGCTCAAGGTAGACAAGAGTGGGCTAGCTTGAGAGGCAAGGTGACAGATGCCAAATGGGCATTCTCAAGGGCCAAAGGGGTCAGAGAAGCTCAAAAGCCGAGACTTTCTGCAGTTTGGGATTCCTTTTAGGAAGAGAAATGACGTCCTATATAAACCCAATAAGACAGAAGGGACCCTATGTTAGAAGATACTCTCCTATGCTTTTGAGATTTAGAATTTCACACTGAAGGGACCTCAAAGGCCATCCAACTCCATCTGTACCTGAACTAAAATTGCCTCTACAACATTCTCAACTAGTCACTCAGACTTTCCCAAAGTCCTCCAGGGAAGAGGAACAGTCATTCCCCCCAGGAAGTAGTGCACATAGATAATCCACAATAGTGACTAACACAAATGACTTACTCTTGACATTGGCTCAATGTGGTAGCAAGTACTAATAACAAAGAATCAAAATCATTTTTAAGGCTGAAAGAAGACCTAGAAGTCTGAGCTAACTGGAGGTCTAGTAATTTCAAAAGCTTAAGATCATAAAATTAAGGACAGAACCAACCCTAAAACACAAGAACCTTGACTCAGAGCAGGGCTTTTGGCATCACGTTAACTTTTTCTACAACACAGTTTTGCTCTCATCCAGTATCTTTCTTCCTCTTGGAAGGGGAAATAAATATAATGTGGAAGTTCTTAGTCTTCATTTGGCCAAAGTTTGTTGAGTATAATATAAGAACTAATCAGATCATTATTCTACTTCACAACAGGATGCTCCTCAATCTTTATCTTTGATTTTTTCCTACTTCCCCTGGGTTGTAGAGTTTTTCTCCCCATCACTGCATTTTGCCTTCAAGGCCTACCAGTAAAGTGGCCCAAAGCTATTATAACTGATTAGACTAACTGCTTTTGCAACAACGAGTTGTATAGGCCCCACACCTGAATTTCTTTTTTTAAATCAAAGAAAATTCTGTATAATCATTGATCCTTACACCCTTTTCTAAAATAGACCAAAGCTGCCTCACAGTTTGAATCTATTCCCCCCCACCAGAAGGAGTGAAAGGATTGTCTGTTGAAGGTAGAAATTTCATAAAATCTAGGTTGTGATCAACTTTGCCCCAGTTGCTTAGTAAATGAAGTTAGTTTAAAAAAAAAAAGCGTCCAAGCTGAGAGGACTATCAAAAGACTTAATACTTTCCATAGCATTACAATGAAAACATTACAGAAGTGGGTAGGGAAGGTGAAAGAGAGGAATGGAAACTAAAAGTCATAAAATCCTTTCTTCCACAAAAACTGGTTTTTGTCCCGCCTAAGCACACACCACAATTGGAAATAAAGTATGGCTAACCCTAATAATATTTAGCAAAGTTGGCAAACCAAATGCAGGTTAATGTTTTTTTTTTTCCCTACAGCATACAAGTCTGTAACAAAAGGTTGTTATTCTTTCCGGTAAGAAAGCTACAGGACAGTAGCTCATTGCAACCAGCTTGTTACAAAATGGGCGGGTTGTGGGTTCTGGACCAAAGGCAGGGTCAGGGTGCTGAGGCAGCAACATTTTCAGACCAGCGGGCTTCTTTGGCGGGGATGCTGAGGACGGGCTACTCCTCCTGCATCCTCCCGATTATCTGGAGGGCGGGGTCATCGACACTCCTGGGGTCAGGAGTCTGTTATTTGTTGTTTTTTTACTTCACCCAAGCAGTGTGCTCCGCAAACAGTAGGCGGCTAGTAAAAGTGTGGGGTGGAAGGAAAGGCTAATAGGAAGGTGAGTGGGGGGGGGGGAAGGTAACCCGGCCCGCGTCCCTCACCTGGAAGCGCAGCCGCGGCTTATTCTGCCCGGGGCTCTGTGGCTGCGGGGCCTCGGCCTCGGCCTCCTCCTCCTCCTCGGGCTCCTCGACCGGCTCTCCGTCCATCAGGCCGCCGGGCCGGGGCGGCTGATTCTCCCACGCAGCTCGCACTGCGGCCTGGGCCTGGCCGCCGCCCTCCTGGAGCTCGGGCCTCGGCGCGTCCGCCGCACCCTCCCCGCGCTCGTGCTCCGGCTCGGGCCGCGCCGCCGCCTCAGGCGCCTCCCCCGCGGGGCCTACGGCCTCGGCCTCCTCCACGAAGGTGGCGAGGCGGCGCGAGGCCACGGGCGAGTAGACGGCGACGGTGCGCGGGAACCGCGCGGGCCGCGGCGCGCCGGCCACGGGGCTGCCCTGCGCGGGAGGCCGCGGCGGCGGCGGCGGCGGCGGGGACGCGGCCGTGGGCAACGGGACGTCTCCCGGCTCCCGGCCCCGGCGGACCAGGGTGCGGCGCCCGAGCGAGCACTGCACCGAGGCGTCCTGGCGCGGGTTCACCTGCACGGCCGCGTCGCGGGTGCTGGCCTTGCGGAGCCGCGGGACGAGGCCCGGGTTCACCTGCGACAGGATGGCCATGAGCTGCGCCCGCTGGTAGCTGTCGAAGTACTCGGCCGCCGTCAGCTGCCCGTAGCCCGACAGGGCGGACGCCGCCCCCCCCCGGGGCCGCCAGCCGCCGCCGCCCCCGGAGCCTTTGCCCTTGGGGCCCGGCGCGTAGGGGAAAGAGTAGGGGCTGTAGGGCGTGTACACGTAGCCGTCCAGCCCGTCGTCCCCCAGGGCCGCCATGTGCGCAGCCCGGGCCTCGGCCCGCCCGCCGACGCCCTAAATAGACGGCCCTGCGGGGGCGGCCCGGGCCGCCCGCCCACTCCCTTCTTTAGCCGGCCTGGGCCGGCCGGAGGCCCGCGATGGGCGCCGTCTGCGGTCGCCTCGAAGGCCTGCGGCCCAGGTAAGCCTTTCCGGGCCGCGAAGCCGCGTCCCCCTTCCCCTCCCCCAGCCCCCAGGGGAGCCGGGGCGGGGCTCGGGGGTAGTTGGATTGTCTGGACCCCGAGGGGTGAATGAGGACTAGGGTGAAAACCCAGGCGTTAAGTGCCTCGGGAGCGGCCCCGAAAGGGGTCACTTCTGCATCTGCCAGGTCTAATGGCTGAAGCCCTGCTCAAGTAAATTAATTTGGGGCTCCCCAGATAGTGAACACGTGGAAGGTCTCAAGAACCTCCATGTTGTCCCTGGAAGGCAGGGTGAGATTGATTGCGAGTCAGTGGTACCTGGTGAGTCCCTGTTATGGGGCCAGGAAGGGGGCTGCAGGGAGGCTGTGGAAACATGTCAGAGAACCCCCGAATTGGACCAGCTTTTGCCAAGGCCCTTTTCTCTTCCTCGCCGCTGTACCCCTTAACCATGAGGGAATTTCTCAGTGGTGGACCTGTTTCTTATTCTTCTTGAGAGTGTTATAATAATGCAAGATTTTTTAACCAAATTCGAATGGCCCATAGATAAATGTGTAGCAAGGTGTATTTGTTTAAATTATTAATTTAAGAACCACTTCACTTGGGGAGAGGCAGAATCTTAAATAATTAGCTTTTAGTACCGAGGGATAAAGAATATCAGCTTAAGTAATAATAGGCATTTTAATGTCTTTACTGATTTCTTTAATGTGATGCATGTTGAACAGACTAGACATTGTTACACTGTTTTTATTTGACTGAGCTCAACTCTGAGTACAAGACAAATACTACATTTCTTTTACAATGAATACATATGATTTGATTATGTTCTTACTTATGTTTTTACTCACAGTGCACCAAAATTTTATGTTTGAGAGGTCATGGTTTCTAATAGCTTCCCCATTTTAGAAGAATAATTTAAATAGGCAACATCAAAAGCATGAACAGACATTAACTTCACTTCAACTTTGTGTTGGCAAACTGATGTATAGGTTATGACATTGAATGTACTTAAATTTTTAAATTTGAGGAAATGTTTGAGCTGACATTAGTGAAGCCATGATCATCTTACAATGGAAGGGGTACTATAGTTATAGTTAGAAGAATCCTGCTATATTAAAGCCATTTAATACTGCTTGAGCATACCACAGACCATAAATAGGAGGTAAGGATGGAAGCCCCTGTGTTGCTCTACATTAAATGTAATCTACAGTGAAGTCTGGGTGGGCTCCATCATTATTGAATTATGCTCATCTATTTTAACTGATCCATATGACGTATCTGCCATTTCTTCTTCCTTCAGTTTCTTATAAGAAATATCTGTATCATCTTCATCCAGAGGATCTTGCTTATGCACAATTTCCCTTCCATACATCTTATATACTAATACAAAAATCCCTGCTTCTGCAGACTGGAAAAGAGCATAAAGCAAAGGAAACATGTACATACTTCCTATGAGCTGTGGAGGAAAGGTTAGTTTTAGAATAGCAGTACAGAGTTGTACATTCTGACTACCTGTTTCCAGAGAGACAGTCCTCTTGCAGTTGGATGGAAGATGGAATAAGGTAGCTAAACCATATCCTGACACATATCCAGCCAAAGGCATAAATATGGCAACAATATAAACAGTTGCAGGAATACTTGCCAACAGTTCAGGTCCTAACATAGTGCCAGTCATAATGAAAAGGACCACCAGAGTCACTAGCAGAGACCACAGGGAAACCTTGTAATAGAAAATGGATAAATCAGTTTTAAAATCAGATAAAATGCAGGAAAATTAAATAAATAAATTATAGATATTAGCATATACAGCAAGTGAATAGTAATGGACTAAGAGTAAGGAAGGCCAGGGTTCAGATGTGCTTCTGATATTTATTAGCTTTGTGATCCTGGGTAATCACTTGACTTCTCCCAGGCTGACTCCTCATCTGTAAAATAGGAGTGGTAATACTTGCCTTACAGCGTTGTAAACTGCTTGGCAACTTTAGTCAGCTATTGTCAGGCTTATCCAGTCAGTTTGCTGTTAGTGAACAGAGATATGTTTTAGTAAATCCTTCCTTTATGTCGAACTGAACTTTCCCTTCTATAGTTTCTACCAGTTAGTTTTTGTCCTGCCACTTGAAGCAAAACAGCTTCTTCCATATAACTACCTTAAAATAGGCAAAGATCTGTCATCCTGTCCCCCCTCCACTCTTCTCCACACTGAACATCCCTAGTTTTTTTCAACTGTTAATCATATAACATAGTTTCTATATTCTTACTACCTCTTCTAGAGTTTCCTGGTTCATTTCACAAATCTCCATTGTCCCTCTTAAAATGCAGCACCTCGAATTGAACATAGAATTCCAAATGTGGTCTTACCAATAAAATATATAGCAAGGCTTCCTGAACATCATTGCTTTCTACATGAGAACTAGTCTTGTATTATGTCTGGGATTAAATGAATAAAATATTATAATTCCTTTTGACAAGCAATATTTTTAACACTTGGGATTGTATTTCACATTCCAAAGGATTTTTCATAATATTGAAACATGACATCTTTTAGGTTTTATGATGACAAGAATGTAAACGTGCTAGTGTCAAATGTAGATGTATTTCTTTTACAAAGTTAAATTGAATCTTCCCATATTCTGTTAATTCTTACCTGTTAGACTCTAAAACAGCTTCCTATGATATTTTATCATCATCATAATAAGCAGCTTGTTTATACATTGCAGCTAGCACTAAATATGTTTTTCTGTGTTACAGGACACTGTTGTCTTGGTATCTTGCCAGATACTGTTAATTCATTCAAGTAAAATAGACTGTATGATGAGAGTAGTGGGGAAAAAATCCTTTTGCTACAGACTGTTAGCAAAGATTTTAGATAGTGCCTTTGATGATCCATCAGATTCCTAGATAGTTGTGAAGAGAGTTTCATATGTGTGATTAGCATACTTAATATTACTTTAAAAAAATAATTGGGGGGCAACTAGGTGGCCTAGTGGATAGAGCACCAGCCCTGTAGCCAGGAGGACCTGAGTTCAAATCTGGCCTCAGACACTTACTAGCTGTGCGACGCTGGGCAAGTCACTTAACCCCAATTGCCTTAAAAAAAAAACTAATTGTAATTTAAATATATATATTTTAGCTAGTAACTTTTGAGTCAAATCTCAACATTAAAGGATTCTAAAAGTATGTTCAACATACTTTCAAACAAGATATAGGTAGAAACTAAACAATCATATGATCCTTATAGCTTAAAATATGAAAAACATTGTTCCATTTGAATTGTCAGTACAGATGGAAAATCAGTACAGAGAAAATAACTTTTGTTTACTTTGATATATTGAATTGTAGAGTTGTCTCTGCCTTCCAACTACTTTAATTCTTTTGGTAATTACTGAGATTTGGTGCTGATTTTAAAATTGTATAGGTATCTGACAATATTATTAAATATCTTACCATTACATTTTCCTAAACTAACTCACATTTAAGGAAATTTAAGAATCAACTCTGACATAGTAGATCAAGAGTTGGCTTCTGTATAGGGAAAACCTGGAGGTTCAAGTCCTGGCTCTGACTGAGCTATATCTGGTAGAGGGAGCAGCTTCACTTGAATTCCCTTACTGGGATGAAATCACAGATCTAGTCCCCCCAAACCCACTCACATTTCATTATCATTTTTTGAAGTTTGCTAAGTACCTTTAAAGGGGACTTCCTGCTAGTTTGGACTTAGCAGTCCATGTCCCTTAAGGCAAAGTGACTTTAAGGTTTGAGAAGTATTTCCTCAAAGCAGTCCTCTAAGATGTAGCTAGTTGAAAGTATTATCCCTGTTTTAGAGAAGAGGAATCTGGGGCTCTAGGAAATTAAGAGATATATTATATAGCTAGCTACTGAAAGTATCAAGTGAAATTCAGATCCATGTCTGCTGACCCCCAAGTCTGGCATTCTTTCTACCATGCCAGTTGGGTCACCAGCTTCACATTAATCTCAAATATATTCACTTATTTTTATTTAAGTGATTAAAATTGTTCTGTTTTTAGCATGCAAACTGCTAATTTGACTTTTGTCGATTAAGTTATGGAGAAAATTTAACCTTTTAACACTTAAAAAATTAGGTATAAAATCCATTTTAAGGCTATATATGTCTTCATAAGACTTTTGAGTTGAGTATATGTGCAAAGAGAAGACATAATTATTTTTGACAATAAATTTAGGCCTTCTATATAATAATATAACCTTAGGAAATAAAGACATTGCTGATGACAAAGCAAAACAAATGAACTATTCTCAAATGTCACATAATTGAAACTTTATCATAGAGTTTCCCATTCAATATCTTTGTTTTTGTTTAATATGTTGACCGTTTTTGTTGATTTGACTAAATATTGGTATAGAAAACTTTATTTATTTATTGGAAGAGCTGGTTCAGTAGCTCTCCCACAGAGAAAAGTACTACTGTTGGTGATTATTATTTATAGTTAGTAGATTGTGTCTCTGGATTTTTTTTTGTTGTTGGAGGAATACATTTTTTGGAATTCTTACATTTTTCTCCTTTTCTCTAAGGTATTAGAAAACTCTAACTACAACAGCCAAAAATAATGCAAGATTGTGTTTGGCCAAGAAGGAACAGCCAAGATTATGGCATAAGATATATTTCAAAAATAAAATTTTATTTTGTGTTCACATATACATATTTTGTGTTCATATAGTGTCCATTTGCTCAGTCATCATTTCTATTCCTTTAAGTGGTTTTAATGTCCAGGTTTGTTTCTGAGAATATTAAATCCCTTTATAGCCTGAAAAACATGAGAACTGGTTTAATTTTTTTTTTCAATAAGCTATGTTTAGATAATGTTCTTAAGGACAATTTTTGTGAGCTTTACAAAACACAGTAGATTGTTCCTAAGGTTTCATACAAACCATATTTTGATAGTTTTATTTGATCAGCTCTTACTGTTAGAGGGAAATAGTTTTGCTGTACACAGGATTTTCTTAATTTTTTCCAGCTGTTTCTGTTTTGTTCCTTCTATTTGTGCCTTGAAATATTCTTTTCAGCAAAGCTTTTTCTATAGTGATAATTCTCCTGTAGTGGAGATGATCTTTTGCTATATGGACTATGTAAAGAAATAGCTTCTTCCTTGTAGAATGTGAAGCAGATTCTCCCCCTTGTTCAGCCCAGTTAAGGGTCAAAGAAGTGATAAGAGAATAAGTGATAAGAAGTGATCTGAGGCTCTTATAAACAAGACTGAGTTTGGGAACAGAATCTGGACCATACCTTAAGGACATAGTCAGCAACTCGTGTATATTTGTAGCGGATGAAGACACCTACACCAATAGGAATCAGGGTGCTGCAGAGGGTCAGGGTCACTGCTCCCAGTGGTAATAACTGCACCAGAGCTGTATTGATCCAGGCCCGACTATAGATCCACAGGCACAGGGGCATCAATAGCAAAGCCAGAAGTGTGGAAGAAATAGTCATGATAATACTGTAGAGATGGAAGTAAACACAATAAGCATAAACACAATAAGCATCAAGTTAGCACTAACTCACCAACCAGCCTCTGTACAGAAGGGGAAGTGACTACAGGGAAAAGTGAATCTTAATTACCCAGTTTAAGGTCTGGAGAGGGGTCCTTAAGCATCTGAGGAGAGCTTCGGGGAGAAACCAACATATTTGAGTGATAGAAGGGCAGAGGACCCACACTCCTAATGAAACAGGGTAAAAGGAATGTTAAGAGTTATGTTCCACTACTGTCCCCTGTCTTTATTTTTCCAAGATTTTAAAGTAATCCATTGATCTGGGTTGGATCTAGTTAATTAGAAGGACAAAGATCTCTGATTGTTGGATTTTTTTTATATTTCTTTGTTTTTTAGTTTTCCTTGAATAAATACTTGTTGAATTGAATTCCACAGATATTTTGTGTGGTTCAGCTGCCCAAAGAAACTAAACATCATTCCTGACACCCCCAAATTACAAAGTAATTCCAGCTTTTAAACTCATTGAAGAGTTGGAGGATCACAGCTTATCATGTTTCCTTCCCTTTCTTCACTCCCACTTTCACAACTACAATCCTTTTTTCTAATGCTTCTATTAATTTGAAAGCTTCTCGCATTAAATCCTTTCTCTACTTTTTGCCCATTTCACATTCTTTTTCACAACCCCCTTTATTTTTCTCACCTTATTGTGTAGCTAATTGGGTTGGAGTAGCTACCTACAGTAGAGATAACTGAAGCTCTTACCTGAGGTTCATGTCGCCATTCACCAGCAGAGACATAAGATTGGAAAGGTTTCCACCTGGACAACAGCCGCACAATAATACTGCTACAGCCTCCACTTCATCCAGAGAGAAGATGAGGGCCAGAAGGAAGGCCAGTAGGGGCATGAAGACAAACTGGCAGATGAGTGCCAGCAGTACCCCTATGGGCCTGCGGATGTGAGCCCCTATGTGATTCACCTCCACAGTGCAGCCCAGACCCAGCATGGTAATGCACAATGCCACTCCCACAAATACATTCAGTCCATGGTTTAAAGGGGTGTCCCAGAACGGATTGTCTTGGGAACCCCAATCCTGTGGGAGGTGAGCAAAACCTTGTGGACTACTGCTGATCTTTGACTCCCAGGTGGTGGGGGTAGGATTCAGATTGGAGCTGAGACTGGGGCTAGGGATGAGGCTGGGGCTAGGGATATAGCTGAGGCTGGGGATATGGCTGGGGCTGGGGCTGGAGCTGGAGCTGGAGCTGGAGCTGGAGTCAGGGACAATGCTAGAGCTAAAATTGGGGCTTAGGCTGGGGTCAGCAATGATGCTGGGACTGAAATTAAGGCCAGGGCTTGGGCTGAAGCTGCTGATGTTGATTTTCTGGGTGTAGTTATCCAGCTCTGAAGGAGGCAAGAACAGCAGAGTCTCATTGTCTTTGCTATCCATGGCTGAGAATCCTTGGTGGATGAGTTGGTTTGATCTATGTCCTGCCTTTGCCGCTGATTCCTTTCTCAGTCCTGAAGGCTGTGAGCTGAGCTGCAAGTTCCCTGTAGCTCATCCAAACTCTCAAAGCAGCCAAGAAGGGAGCAGCAGGTACTGAAGAGACGTAGAGATTGAAGAGACTGTCGCTCTGCCGAGTGAGATTCACTCCCTGGTGCACTCGATGTATTCCCCACCCCCAGCTGCCTTACCCAACACCTTTCTCCTTTGCTGCTGTCAACCCATACACTGGGGAGACCCGGGAGCACCCTGTAGTCCTTGGTCCTTACAGCCACTGAAAAGCACAGACCTCCCAGCTTCCAGCAGACCCAGGATTCCTGAGATTTTCTGCCTCTTATGGGAACCCTTTCCTACTCCTCGTAGTCCTAAGTATGAATCCTCCTCCCACTGTGCTTGAGAGGGCTGAGATAAGTCCTTAAGTCAGGCTTCCTTGAATAATCATGGAATTGAATCATTTGAGAGCAAAGCCAGCTCCCAGACTTTCACTGCCTCTACTTTTGTGTCCCTAGTCCCTAGGGGCAGCACTGGCTCCTCCCTTTAATCGCCATTAAGTGGTTCTGTTAGAGTGTGACCTGAGGCTGAACAAAGACTTAACATAGAAGGGGGATGGGGTGGGGAAGAAAGCTTGGTTGGGCGTTTCTGTCAGCCCAGTTTTCCTTGATAATGATGTTTGATGGTAGTTTCTCCATATAAAAACAGACAGAATATAATGCTGTTCCAATAATCTATAACATTGCTACAGATGTGTCACAGGGTCAAGTCTGAACTGCAAATGGGTATGTGACAACCATTAGAACTATTGAGCAGAAATGCTGTTATTATTCAGGAATAATATCAAGGACTTTAATGTTATTGGTGTCTAGGAACTAGATAGGGTCCCTCTTACCAAAAGAGGTGTTGTTAATGAACTAAATAATGTTTCTAAATGTTTCACTATTTATTCTTGTATCTCTTGTACTTGGGTTTTTCAGTGATCTGTGGTAGAGAGAGTATATACAGATAAGAACTTCTTAATGAGAAAAATCTTTGTGGAGGAAATGAAATTTTGAGGGAGAGAAGAAAAGATGCTTTAATAAAGAGGAATGTTTTCTTTAAAGAATGATATCCAATTTTAAGTTTAAAATTTTTTTCTTAATAGAGTATTCTATTTTCTCTCCTTTGAAATTTACCACATGCCTACAGAATGATAGTTTGTTGCTTAATTTCCCTGTTATTGACACATAGCATCACAGGGTAATTTCCTTCCTAAAAATGTTACCAAGTGTGATGTAAGAGAAACAAATTTCTTGTCTAATGATTCAAAAAAAAGTAAGAAAATGATGCCTTTTTTTTTTTAGATAAAGACAGGTCTGTATATCCATTCCTAATTTAAAAATTATTCTTTCTCCTCGAAGTAATAATTTTTAAAATCAAATCTGTATTTATTAAGTGCCTACTATGTATCAAGCACTGTTCTAGGTCTTGGGCATAGAGGTACCAAGTAAAACAATCCCTACAGACAAAAATAGCTATTTGTAGAGTACTTAAAATTAAACATCTACAAAGTGTTTTATATTTTTCTATCTCATTTTGTTCTTAACTCTGCGGGAATTTATATAGTGCCAACTACATGCCAGACACTGTGCTCCGGGCGTTACGGATATGTACGTACATGATCCTCACAATCATCCTAAGTGGTAGGTGCTATTATTATAATTTTACATTTGAGGAATTATACGTTATACCATTATATAGTAGTATACATTACACAATTGTATCATTATACAGTTGAGGAAACTAAGGCAAACAGGGTAAGTGACTTGCCCCATAGCAACCAAATTTAAACTCAGATTTTCCTAACTATCTATTGCACCACTATCTAACCTCTAGATCCAGCCAGCCAACTAGTTCTGCATGTGCGTTTGATTGTATTATTGTCTAATTAATATTTCTCCAGTGTCTCTACAAAAATAGTATGAGATCCTTCATCAAAACCTTTGCTAAAATCTTGATAAAGTATATATCCATAGCATTCCCCTCATTTGGTTTAGGAATACTATTTTAACATGCCTTCAGTGTTGTCTTTATCAACTTGCTTTAGACTGGCAGCTTAAGTTTCCAAAAGGAAGGATACTCCACTAAGGATCCTATGGGTAACCTTAAAGGGTTGTGGTTTCTAATATTGTTACTCATGAGCCCCTATCCAGTATGCCTCTGGTCCCAGTATCATTCACCCAGGGGAACCCTATTCATTTCTATAATAGGATATTTACTGAGAAAGTATGACAAAGGCGAAGTTACAGAAATATTCCCCAAACTAGGAGCACATTGTCCTCTTGCATATGTAACACTAGGTACTAAGAATATAGGACAGCAAGGAGATGCAGTGGATGGAGTACCATGCGCAGAGTCAGTTTTGAGTTCAAATCCAGTGTCAAACACTTTTTAAGTTGTGCGATCCTGAGCAACTCATTTAACCTGTCTGCCCCCGTTTCCTTATCTGTTAAATGATGATTAAAAATAGCATGTACCTCCCAGGGTTGTTGTGATGATGAAATGAAATAGTAATTGTAAAGCACCTAGCACATAGTAAGTGCTGTATAAATGTTAGCTATTAAAGTGAAATGGTCCTTGCCCTCAAAGAACTTAGAATCTGGGTGTGAGGGAGACAATATGTGCATATCTAAGAATATGCAAAATAGATTAAAGATAATTTGTTGGGGGGAAAAGAACTATTTGAAAAGAGTTTAAGAAAAGCTTCTTGTAGGGAGTGATTGAGCTGAATCTTAAGGAAAGATAGGGATTCTCTGAGATGCAGGTGAGAAGGAAGTGCATTCTGAGCATGGGGGAAGACCACTGCAAAGACTGGGAGACAGGAGAACATGTGGAGAACAATAAGAAAGCAAATTTGACTGGAGAATAGAGTGGTAAAGGTAAGTAACATGTAATAAGTCTAGAAAGTTCTGATGGAACTGGATTGTCAAGAACTTTAAATGACAGAAAAGTTTACAATTGATTCTATAAGTAACAGGGAACCACTAGAATTTTTTGAGTAAGGGAATAGTGACATTGTCAGACTTGCACATTAGGAACATGACTTTGACAACTGTATGTAAAATGATCATAGTGGGAAGAACCTTGAGGTAGTCCAAATAAGAGGCCTTTTTCTTCAAAAAAAAAAAACAGGTTTTAAAAAAATTTCTTTTTCCCCAGTTACAGGTGAAGACAATTTTTATCATTCATTTTAAAAATGTTTTGATTTCCAAATTTTCTCCTTCCCTCATTTCCTTTCTCCCTGAGACAGTAAGCAATTTGATATAAGTTATACATGTTCAATCATGCAAAACATATTACCATATTAGTCATGTTGTGAAAGAAGACATAGACCCAGAGAGAAAAAAATACAGAAAGTGAAAACCAGTATACTTCTATCTGCATTCATACTCCATCAGTTCTTTCTCTGGAGGTGAATAGCATTTTTCCTGAGTCCTTTGCAATTTTCTTTGATTATTGTTTTGCTAAGAATAGCTAAGTCATTCATTGTTGATCATCATACAGTATTGCTGTTACTGCGTACAATGTTCTGCCGGTTATGTTCACTTCAATTTGTATCAATTCATATAAGTCTTTCCAGGTTTTTCTGAAATCAACCTGCTCATTATTTCTTATATCACAGTAATATTCCATTACAATCCTATACCACACTTGTTTAGCCATTCCCCAATTGATAGGTATCCCCTCAATTTCTAATTCTTCACCACTACAAAAAAGAAATAGTATAAATATTTTTTTACATATACGTCCTTTCCCACTCCCCCTTTTTAAAATTATGTCTCTTTGGGATACAGACCCAGTAGTGATATTGCAGGATCAAAGGGTAAGCACAGTTTTGTAGCCATTTGGACATAGTTCCAAATTGCTCTACAGAATGGTTGGATTAGTTTACAACTCCACAAACAGTACATTAATGTTCCAGTTTTCCCACATCCCCTCCGACATTTATTATTTTCTGTCACATAAGCCAATCTGGTATGTGTGAAGTGGTACCTCAGAGTTTTAATTTTTATTTCTCTAATCAGTAGTGATTTAGAGCATTTTTTTCATATGACTGTAGACAGCTTAGATTTCTTCATCTGAAGACTGCCTGTTCATATCCTCTGACCATTTATCAATTGGGGAATGACTTGTCTGCTTATAAATTTGACTCAGTTCTCTATCCATTTGAGAAATGAGGCCTTTATCAGAAACGCTGGCCATAAAAACTGTTTCCCAGCTTTCTGCTTTCCTTCTAATCTTGGTTGCATTGGCTTTGTTTGTGCAAAATCTTTTTAATTTAATATAATCAAAATTGTCCATTTTATATCTAATAATGCTCTCTATCTCTTGTTTGGTCATAAATTCTTCCATCTCCTTACATCTAACAGGTAAACTGTTCCTTGTTCTAATTTGCTTATGGTATTGCCCTTCATGTTTAAATCATGTACCCATTTTGATCTTATCTTGGTATAAAATGTTGGTCTGTACCTAGTTTCTGCCTTACTCTTCTTAAGCTTTCCCAGCAATTTTTGTCAAATAGTGAGTTCTTATCCCAAAAGCTGAGGTCTTTGGGTTTATCAAACACTGAATTATTATGGTTATTTAAGAGGCTTTTCTCAAGAGGCCAACCAAGAGGTGATGAAGGCCTGAACTGTAGAAAGAACTACAGATTTGTCAACTGATTCAATATGTGAAATGAGGAAGAATAAGTAGCTGAGGATGACAGTAAGTTTACAAACCTGAGTAACCAGAAAGATGGTGGTATTGTCCATAGATATAGGAAAGTGTAGAAGAATGGTGGGTTTTAGGGGGAAAATGATTTTTGTTTTGGGACTGCAGAATTTGAGATGCTTACAGGACATACAGTTCAAAATGTCTAATAGGTACTTCATGATGGGAGAGCAGAAAAGAGATTAAGACTGAATATATAAATCTGAGAGTCATCATTGTTGAAATTATAATTAAACCAATGAATGGAGCTTCCAGGGGATGGAACCAATATGTCAGAGTAAGGGCAGGGATTCACCTGAACTCTCTCAAATTCCCCTCCAAACAACATTAAAATAATACTGCAAATTGATTTCTGGAGTGACGGAATCAACAGAAGGTTAGGGTGAAACAGTATTCTAGCCCAATACAGATTAGGAGGTGGGTAGGAAAAGTCTCTCACCAGGGTACTAATTGGGCATGGAATACAGTACAGGCCCACCTCAGCATCACCAGTAGCAGGCCTTGAAGGCAGATGCAACAGCAGTAGCACCGCTTTAGGAGCTCTCAGCCCTTAGATGGTAAGTATTAGACAACTATTCAGAAAGTGATCACAGGAGATCTTTGGCTGGTGTTGGGTTTAGTACTCCCTTGCACTGCCTTTGCACAGTTCCAAGTCACAATTCCAAA